ATTTTTTTAATCTATTTTTTTCAATCTAAAAAATAAGATTATTTAACTAAACATAATTTTGTACAAAAAATAAAACATTTAGCATAGATTAAATTTTTTTTATTGGTATACTTTAATGTATTATTACAATATAATTCAATAGAATTTAGATTGTATTGTAAAATTAAAAAAATAATTAAACTAAAATATACATTTTCTTTAAAAGGCCAAGTACAAACAGAAAGTAAAAAAAAATAGTACAAAATATTTTATAAAAAATATGTATATTTATCATTGCGAGAGTTTAACATTTCGTGATAATTTTTTTGAGATATTAATATCTAACTTTAGTAGGAAATTGTTTTTAATAATAATAAAAAAAATCTGCTCCAGTACTGGAATCCACCTTTTAAAAAAAAAAGAAGATCGCCCCAGTGAGAATTGAGACCTCGAACACAGTAATAATCATCTCCCATCTTAAAACACCTGACCATCCAACTCAACCCTCTCACCTTTAGTAAACCATGTATAAATGTGGATAAAATCACTCTCCCGATTAAAAATTCTTGGTGAGAATCAATTTTATATCTACTATCATGAAGCTCAACACCCTAAACACTAGATTGTACACTATATTTTAGTTTAGTAATTTTTTGAATTGGATAATACAATCTATAGTTTGTTTATTCAATTTGTAATAAATTAAAATCTACTAACATATTAATTTTTAATCTATGCTAAATGTTTTATTTTTTTGTAAAAAATTAGTTTTTAGTCAAAATATTATTATTTAAATTGAAAAAAGGATTAAAAAACTAATATTATTATTGTCAAGTTATATTATTAAAAAATAAATTTGCATAGTAGTGTTTAAAAAGAAATAGTTTTTGTTTAAAAGATCATATAATATATTTTTATAGTTATGAGAAATAATAAAAACAAATAAAAAACAGAAAAAATTAAATAAAAAGTGTAAAAAGACTGTTTGGCTATTTTTAAAAATTTTTAGGGTTGTTTTTATAATTTTCAAAACTATTAGGGTATTTTTTATAATTAAAACTAATAGAATTCCGTTAATTTAAACAGAAATTGGCCAATTGGACAAAATCGGTTAACAGTTGAATAGCTTAGGATAATATTGGCTAATCGAAAAAGAATAGGGTGGAATTGACAACGCATGTCAACCTTTGGGTAGATCGGCCAATTTTTCCCTTTATATATGTACTCTTCAATCTTGAATTGATGCCAAGTTTTAGGGTATGTTTGTTTCGTTTTTTTAGTGTGTTTTTAGGTGTTTTTTGTATTGACAATGTAAAAAGATGTCTTAGAATGTAAAAAGGTATGTTGGAATGAGACAGTTATTATTAAAATAATCTGAAAAAACCATTCAAAAAACCAAACAAACATATCCTAAGTTTTACTCATTCAATTAAGTTGGACGATAATTATGGAACATTGCAAAAATAATGAAACCATTTTCACTAAAAAGTGTGATACTAATCCGAGTATCGAAGATGTTTCATAATATTCAAACTTTGGCATTGAAACTGATAAAACTGATATTGAGAGGAACATTTACTATAAAGTACACATGAGGGAGCTATCTGCAATATATGCAATTAACTCCAAAAAAAAAACAAAGATTAAGAAAAACATAAAACAGACATCTTGCCAAATTACAGATGGATCAAACAATGAGCAGCCACCCTATAATCAACTTTTTAAGCACAGAAATTCATGGTGTTCCGGACAAATAAAAGCAGACATGAAGCTCAATTATTATGAAGATGTCATTGAATATATAGGTCGTTGATTTGATCGGATGATGGATTTATCTCTAGTCTTCTCTCGTGAGAGATTAGACTGTGAATGAACATATGACATATTGACGTCAGCTTGATTGACTGCCCGCTGTGTGAACACCATTACACACACTCCCAAGCAGAAGCTAGCCAAGCAACACTTTTTTTCTTTTTTTTTTTTTGTTCTTCAATTTTCTGCAATCGACAAAGTACATCAAAAAAAAAAAAAAAAGTCCGATACGTAACTTCAATTTTTGTGTGTTAATTTGTAAAAAAAGACTTCCATTTTGTTCCCTTTTCTTTTGTACCGCACTACACTATCATTAATTTACTTGGCTCTGTTTGATTTATTTTTTAGTGTGTATTTTTAGATATTTTTTATATTGGGAATATAAAAAGATATATTGGGAATGTAAAAAAATATGCAGGATGAGATAGTTATTAATATTTAATTCTGGCAAAACGTAGTAGAAATGGAAACAAACAGAAGCAATTAATTACCAGAAACTCCCGAGATGTAAAACAAAACATAGATCGGCCTCCAATTTTGAAGGAACTGTGATCTAACCTCTTGACTTCACAAAACGCTAATGCATATAGTTACACACGTAAAATGAAAGATGGTAATTCATAATTGGTATACATATGTAAACTAAATGAATTTGGAAGAAGAGGGACAGTTCAAAAGCAGTAATATTTACTTCGCACCGAAAAGTTATAGGTATGAATTTTTTTGATAATGAGGGAATGACATACTTTTGACTGATTAATACAGGTGATATATATAGCTTCTACAAATCTTTTAAAAAAATCAATCCATAATTTCTCTAAAGGTTAGGGACCTTTCACTCGTCAATAATAGGTCAACTTGGAGACAACGAGGGAACAAATTAAGGATGTGATACATTCGTTGCGAACTAACATGCATATTATTCTAGTATAGATGAAATGCATTATTGCTTCGTCCATCTTGTCCTGAAGGAAACATCCATTGTTCCCGTGATAATTTTCCAGCAGCTTCGCACGAATTTTTCGCTCAACCTTTGTACTTTTCCCTATATCCTATCCCCGGCGTTGGTTTAAATATTCCTATTTGGCCGTTTCATTTCTTGGTTGTACTTGCTAAAGTCATACTCTCCTTCCCCAAGTATACCTTCCCTAACAAGGTTAGGTGTAAGTTGAATAATAATAATAAATAAAAAAGATACTTGTCACCAAAATAGTCCATCCGAGTCAAATGAGAATTAACTGAATGTAGCGGGTGTTTGCATCAAATATATCATGGTTTATGTGCAGAAATAAAGTTACATGAAATCATAATAAAATGGACTGTAGAATTGAAGCATGTATTCAGCGAGACGAATTTTGCAACTGACTAATTTGATTTCATCAGTAACTGGTAGTTCAGGAGGATACTGTATTGTTTATGATCTATCATCTCTTATTTACATTCGTGGTTAGCACACGTTATTAACATCGTGTTTCATCTACAGAAGACTTACCTTTTTATGATTAAAAAAAGGGTAGTGAATTTCGTGATGGAATTAACATTATGTACATAATTCGTTTATTTAAAGAAACTTTTTGAAAATATAGGAAGTCATACCTCCAAATTAACAAAGACCATACTAAATGATTCATCATAATGGAAAATTAAAATGATGAATAAGATCACGTCGACGTAATCTTGTCTCGCTTATAGTGGAACAGGTGAACCTCAAAAATCACAAAAACAAAAAAGTCAAGAAAAGAAGTTGACCCCTTTGAAGAAATGTGAGGTTGTCATGAAGACGTTATAAGTTGACACTTGGGAAAACTTTAAAAGGCGACGTAAGACTCTTCACGCCTTAGCTTTTCCAATAACTTGGAAAGCTATTCATGGAATCCAGACATCCACCCTTAGTGCCATTTCCTACTTTTCTTTTCTTTTCTTTTCTTCTGTTTGTATGTACGCAGCTGCAGATCTGAACAGAAACATGGGGTCCTTTCTGTCTTTGGATTTTAACTCATTTCAGCAATGCTTAAAATTTAGTTAGGACTAATGCTGTATGCTAGGACTTAGGTTAGGATCCGGGGCCAAATTTACTTCACATCTGACATCAACTTTAATGAGCACAATTAAATGAGTATATATAGTGTGACCCAAATTAACTTCACTTTGCACTATAAAACTAATATTGTTAGTTTCTCAAATTAGAGTTAGGTGGTAGTCTAGTTCTAATTTGTCACACGATCTTTGTAGTGAACCCCTTGTGGCAGCTAGGTCAAACGAGAGTGATTTCAATTTATTAAAATGTTGCAAAATGTAAAAAATAAAAAAATAATAATAAAAAATCTTCATTCTAATAAATCTTCTGAACACATGAAACCAATTACAAGTTTGGGTAATTGCTCACATTTTCACCATTGTTTCGTGCAAGCGATTGACTGATTCCATGAAAAATGAAATATTGAATTTCAGTTAGGATATCGATCAACTTCGACGGTTCCACCGGTGTTTGGCCAAAACTTCATCAAAGCTATGTGAAATGTGATGTACACAAGATACAAACCACACATGCGAGTCTTATCACTTCAAAATGCGGTCAATCCGGGTCAACCACGTATGACTACTTTGCAGCTGCTCCGGTTGCCAAAAATAGAATCCCATCACGGCAAAGCAAAAAAAAATTTCCACCGGACACATACACACCTTTATTAAGAAATCATCATAATGCATGCTTCAGAAACTCATGTATATCCAACATCTGTTAAAACCAGAAAAATAGGTGGCAGATATCACTCCTTGAGTTGCAATTCCGATTAGATATAAAGCAAGCCAGAGCAGCATAAATTTCTGGAACTTCCGGCCACTTTTACTTTGGTTGTCACTATTGTGGTGTTTGCGGCCGTTCAATTTTTGAGCCTTAAAATGGAACACTGGGACCTCCTCGGCGGGCAGCAGTAAAACTTTGAACACCAACCCACTCAATCAATCAAATCCAATTAACAAGAAATAATGCTAAGTTAAGTACGTACTCTTTGGGGGAAATTATCAAATTAATTAGGCACACAAAAACACACAAATAATTGAATTATTTAATTAGATAAAATTAATGGTCCCACAACCCACTAAATGCTTTAGCGAAATGGATCGATCCCACCGATTGGTACTTTGGTTTGCTACTTCTATATACTGAGACCTTCTATAAAGGCTAAGGGCTCCAAGATGCCAGAATTGCCAGTAGTAGTAACTACCCAATTAGCCCACACCTCCCAATTCCCATATCATCTCTCATCAAAATCTCAATCCTTTCGTAATTCCCCAAAAGAGATGGGGAAAAAAATAAATAAATAAAAGAAAGAATCCAATTGATCATTTTTTTTTCCCTCCGCAAGATTCTAACACCTTTAGATTGGTCACTTTAAGGAAGAATCATAGAATTATACTTCGCATTTATTAGTAGAACTTTTAAACCACTAACAACAATAGTATTCAACTAGGTTCCATTCTCATTTACCCAAAACAATAACAAAAAATCAAAATGGGCAACGCTGATGATTATATGTATCCATCATCCATGAATAGTAACGGCGGCGAAAGCGGCAGTCACCGGGTCGCCATCCCGCCACCACAGCCGTTTCTTATCTCACTTAAGAACACCGTCAAGGAGACATTGTTCCCGGACGACCCGTTACGCCAGTTCAAGGACCAGCCGCCTCGCCGGAAACTCATCCTCGGCCTCCAGTACTTCTTCCCGATCCTCGAATGGGGCCCGCGTTACAGCTTCGACTTCTTCAAGTCCGACCTCATCTCCGGCATCACCATCGCCAGCCTCGCCATTCCTCAGGGTATCAGCTACGCAAAGCTCGCCAACTTGCCACCGATTCTCGGCCTCTGTAAGCAAACCTTATACTCCCTCATCGTCCAAAAATTATCGTATAGTTTGAATTTTCATTTTAGTTCAAATTGTATTGAAAGTGAAATCTCAAACTGCACAGTAATTTTGGGACGGAGACAATAACATATTTCTTCGAGGTTTTATTTTCTTCATGCATGGGATCTTTTGGTTTAGTTTACTTTTGTAAACGTTTCAGATTCAAGTTTTGTTCCGCCGTTGATTTATGCACTGATGGGAAGTTCAAGAGATTTAGCAGTTGGAACGGTGGCTGTTGCATCGCTTCTTACAGCTTCCATGTTGGGAAATGAAGTCAACGCTGCTGAGAATCCGACACTCTATCTTCACTTGGCTTTTACGGCAACTTTCTTTGCCGGAGTGTTTCAGGCAGCTTTGGGCATTGTCAGGTAATTAATTAATTTAACTGATTTAACTTCCACTTGAACGTATGAATGGCGGTTAGTCAAGAATCTTACCCCTTTTTCACTAACTTTTAGGTGGGAAAAATCATTATTTTGGCTAATACATGTCGGTGGTTTTACTTGAAACTGTTTGTAGTAAAAATGTTACTAGTGAGTTTGGTACATCGTACGAACAGCAGATACGTGTCGGAAATCCTCGTAATGGTGAAAATTAACGTAACTCCAACTCATGCGGGCACATGCTGAATTCCTGCACGGTTACGCTAAATAAGAATCCTTAGTCATGTAATGTTTGGTGATCAAGTGATTTTTTTTAGTTTTACCATCATTATTGGATTTCTTTTTTCCTTATACTACGTTAAAATTTAACTTACATGGAAAATTACAAAGACAGTCCATTAATTTTATTCTTCAAATGGATTGGTCTCTTTATCTTTTTAAAAAAGTTTCAAACAGTCCCTCTAAAATTTATCCAAATTTCAGTTAAGAACCATAATAATGTTAGAAAATCAGAGTCGGTACAATCAGGTCAAGTCATGGTCTATTGATTTCTATTCTGTGATAAAATTATCCTTAGCTTACTAATATTACTCCTTATGTCCTAAAATTATTGTCCAGTTTGAGAATTTATTTTTAGTTCATTTTAAATTACAAATGAAAACTCAAACTGGACAATAATTATGGGACGGAGGAAATATTTATTTTCGTCCCAAAAAATAATTAAGTCGGTCAAATGGAAAGGATGGAGTACTAATTATGGCAAGATATAAATGGGGGAATGGTGCAGGTTAGGATTCATAGTGGATTTTCTGTCGCACGCAACAATAGTAGGATTCATGGCGGGTGCAGCCACGGTGGTGTGCCTCCAACAGCTAAAAGGCATGCTTGGGCTGGACCATTTTACCCATGAAACCGACGTTGTCTCCGTCATGCGTTCTGTCTTCAGTCAAACTCATCAGGTCCTTTTTCATTTCTCTTTAAACTTTTATAAAGTAGCGATACATAAACTTTTCTTTTTCTTTCTTTTACAAGAATTAATTGTTGAATTCCCTCAAATGGATAGATTACATCATTACAGCCATAGGCGATTATAGTTCAAATTCACATAATTGCTTGTGATTTTTTTTTATTCAAATAAATTGTCACTCAAACTTTTATACGTGCAAAAACAGAATAATTAATATTTTCCCGTCAGACTAAGAAAAATGATCTACTTTATTATTATATTATTTTAATTTAATAAACTCTCCCATTTTTCTAAAACGAAATGAATAATATATTATTAATAGTTTTTTTCGTGCGACAATTACAATATTTTTAGTACTTTTTGTAATTGACGGGATATATATATGTACGTTTATATTTTAATTGCAGTGGAGATGGGAAAGTGCCGTGCTGGGATGCTGTTTCCTTTTCTACCTGCTGCTGGCTAGATTCTTCGTGAGTAATCCAATTAATCTAATGAATTTAATTACTATATTTAATGAAATATCAACATTCAACACCAACCCCTGTACTGTTTTCTTGCATGATGAGTCCGATGATTGATTTCTTGGGCAGTCTGAAATTAAACTTACATCATTGTCAAGGCTACGATTTCGTGTCAATTTTCAAAGTATTTTACGCCATAAAATACTGTTGCTTTATGACATTTTGGTCTACCTACGTGTTGTATAGACGTAACACTATGGGAAAGGTTGACTGATAACGCCGACATTATATTGTACTCCCTCTGTCCCAAAATTATTGTCTAGTTTGAAATTTCACTTTTAATACAATTTGAATTAAAAATGAAAACTCAAAGTGGACAATAATTACGAGACGGAGGGAGTATAACATTGTTGTTCTTACTTGAACAAGAAATTCACGATCTTAGTAATGTTTATTAATAAAACAAAATAAAAGAAAAAAAGTAGGCTTGGTTAATTGTTTTTCAACCACTAGAGCTAGCATATGTCTCGATATGCATTTGTCAATTTTGTCGTCCTCCCAAATCTAGGTAAATTATTTTTTCACTCCACATGCACGCCCCTTTCACATAAGATAATTTCAAGTGAATGAATTTGATTGTTTGCTATTTTTCTAAGTTAATTAGTAATGTTCAGAACCAAAAGATGATTAGTAATCCGTTCCGTGGAGTTGTATTTTTTAAATTTTCTTTTTTTGCTTTCAATAAATTGACAATGAATATGCATGCAGAGCAAAAAGAAACCAAAATTGTTCTGGATATCGGCAATGGCTCCATTGACATCTGTGATTTTGGGAAGTCTGCTTGTTTACCTCACACATGCAGAAAAACATGGCGTTCAAGTGGTAAGCAACTGAGCTTTACTGTCGACAAATCTCAACACTCTGTAGTACCACTTTTCATTGTCTGAATGGCTAAATGTAAGTGTCTGTCTCCATCCTCAAATAACGTAAACACACTTAAAGAATTACTCCATCCGTTCCAAAATTATTGTCCAGTTTGAGATTTCACTTTTAGTATAATTTGAATTAGAAATGAAAACTCAAACTGGACAATAATTATGGGACGGAGGGAGTACTTAATTCGCGTTTGAGACCATGCCTTTATCTTAATCATGGATGTCACTAATTTTAGGTTTGCTAATACTACATTACAAAAGTTCTGGAAGTGTGGAATAGTCAACTGGTTGATTAATTGTTGATCTTTCTACGTTTGCGTTATTGAAAAGGAAAATAGTTGGTGGAGTTTTGTTTTAGAGTGGAGGTAACCTTTTTTAACACGAAAGTAATTAACTTTAGTAAATGATCCAAGCAGATGAGTTTACGTGGATGATTTATATATTTGATCCATTTGATTGGATTGATTAACTGGGCCAGGAAACTTAACAACCTTGCATTTTATTTGTTTAACTGAAAAGAAAAAAAAAATGGTTGGGAGGAATATTTTCTTGATTGCTGTGAACTATTAATCTATTTTTGGCGGAATGTTTTGATAAAGGTTTTTGGATGTGCCTAATTTTGGATTTATGTACATACCACGAACAACAGATAGGCCACTTGAAGAAAGGGTTAAATCCACCCTCAATAATGGATCTTGAATTCGGGTCACCTCATTTGACCCTCGCAATCAAAACTGGCATTGTCACTGGTGTTATCGCTCTCGCGGTAAGTGATCTCCATTCTCAGTTTCTAAATTTTGCTTGAAACTAATTGCTGTTCAATTTATTATTTTAATATGACGGTCACTTTATTAGATTATTTTAATTTAGTAACAATATACTCTGTTAACAAAAAATATTACTCCCTCCGTCCTATAATTATTGTCCAGTTTTACTAAAATGAAAGATTTTATTTTTGGTCAAATTTAATTATATTTTACCTTAAACAACCGGATATACCCCTACATAAGTAATTATTTAACCACTAAGATTTTATGAATGATGTTTTTTACTAAGGACAAATGTGTAACTTGATTCATAAAAAGTCAAATTGGACAATAATTTTGGAACAAAATTTTTTGGACAAAGTGGACAATAATTATGGGACGGAGGGAGTATGTTAATTAAGCTAAGATATGATTACGCGCATGCAGGAAGGAATTGCGGTGGGAAGAAGTTTTGCCATGTTCAAGAATTACCATATCGATGGGAACAAAGAGATGATTGCGATTGGAACCATGAACATAATTGGCTCTTTCACTTATTGCTATCTCACCACCGGTAAATTATTTTTGTTTCCCCCATCCTTCATTCTTTGTCACTACACCCATATTGCCATTAAATTAGAATGATGCTCAAAAAATAGATAAAATTTTTATGTGAATTGATACTTACATGGGATGATTAAATCGATATAATTAGTGCTACTTTACTAATAATTGTTACACACAAATGTGACAAATTACAGGACCATTTTCAAGATCGGCAGTCAACTTCAACGCAGGCTGTAAAACGGCAGTATCAAACATCGTTATGGCAATCGCTGTGATGCTGACGCTATTGTTCTTGACGCCGTTATTCCACTACACTCCCATCGTGGTGTTGGCGGCGATTATAATCGCGGCCATGCTCGGCCTCATAGACTACGAAGCAGCGATCCATCTATGGCAGATTGACAAATTCGACTTCTTCGTCTGCATTAGTGCTTACGTTGGTGTGGTATTCGGAAGCGTCGAAATTGGCTTGGTCATTGCAGTATGCACTATAATCCACATAATATCTAAGTGATTCAAAGTTGTATTTTGATATCTAAAGATCGATTTCACTAATGAATGGTACATTTTGTTGTTTTAGGTAACGCTATCGGTTCTAAGAGTTTTGTTGTTCATTGCAAGACCAAGGACGTTAGTTTTGGGTAACATTCCAGACACCAAACTCTATCGAAGTGTTGACCATTATCCTAATGCCAGAAACGTTCCTGGAGTACTCATACTTGAAATTGATGCACCTATATACTTTGCCAATTCCAGCTACCTGAGAGAAAGGTAACAAAATATTCAACCACATATTTCTATCATATCACGGATAATAAATGGACTAATTGCGAACTCATTGAGATGGCGAAAAACGATCAATTAAACTAATTTGGTGACTGTATGGTTTTTCTTTTTTTTTTTTTTTTGGGCTCATAGAATTGCGAGATGGATCGACGAAGAAGAAGACAGGTTGAAATCTTGTGGAGAAAGCAACCTGCAGTATGTAATACTAAATATGAGTGGTGAGTGTATATATCTTTGAGTTACAACACTATAAAAATGTGTAAATGTTCCACGGACTAATTGATGATGATGATAATGATTGATGTGTGTATAAATTGTTTTCATTGCCAGCTGTGGGTAACATTGATACCAGTGGGATTGAAATGCTTCAAGAGGTTAAAAAGAAACTTGATCGAACCGGGCTCAAGGTGAGTTAACTCTTACCCAAATCAGGCATTAATTTGTCACAATGTTTGGTGGATTCTATGTCAATTTTTTACCTTTTTTTTTTGGGGTTAACTGGTGTGAAATTAATTGAATGCCACATTCAGCTTGTATTGGCGAATCCGGGGGCTGAAGTAATGAAGAAAATCAACAAGGCGAAATTTGTCGAGGAAATTGGTCCCGAGTGGATATTTTTGACAGTGGGAGATGCGGTGGAAGCTTGTTCTTTTATGCTTCATACTTATAAGCCAAAACCTGAGACGGATGGATCAGGGAAATGGAGCAATAGTGTATAAAGGTGGATGGATGGAATTAGGTGATAAGTAGTGAAGGATTTTCGAGGACAGAGGTCCTTGTTTCAGTTAATTAACTTGACATCTCGACAATTGCTATAAATAAATAAAAATTTCAAATTTCGAAGCTTACAAATTGTTGTCAAGTTAAAAATATGTATAAAGCACATTCTTAGTTAAGTAACCGTAATAAATTATCAGTTTTTAACTTATAAAATGAACTAACTTGGAAGATTGCAAATGGCACCTTGATAGTTGATATACAACAATTTAGACGCGATTTTGAACTAGGGTTGTTACTTATCTCATGTGTATATTTAGTGGTACAACCCTGATTAATACTCCTTCCGTCCCATAATTATTGTCCTTTTCGTTTTTAGTTCAAATTGTACTAAAAGTGAAATCTCAAATTGGACAATAATTTTGGGACAGAGGGAGTAATAAGTATCAAAGTGTTGTCCACCAACACTAATGATTGAATCATAGAAATCTTTCATCACCAAACTGCGCAGGCCCAGGCAAACACTAATCTTAACTCGGCTTTGTTGCTCCCATTTGCGTTTATATTGGACTAATCTACCACTGTGTGTAAAAGAGGGCTGCATTATCTGTTCTTTATGGTTTACTGAGCTTCTGCTGGAAGTTGGTTTATTAAATTGCCAGACGAACTTACTTAAAAAACTTGGGTGTTCTTTTACTGCAAAAGAATCGTATTTAATATTTAGTGCGGGTGTATAGCTTCACCAATTTCTTTAGGCCAGCAATATTTCTGTTGATATTTTCCCATAGCCTATAAACCAACCCATCGAGTGAAACTATGCCACTTTTCTGGATCGGGCAAGGAAATGAAACCTAATGAGGATAGAAAGACTGAGGCTTTTGAGTTTTTTGAGCAACCAATGATGATATGATTAAATATTTGGATAGAGAGAGTTGGGCCCAAAAACTGTTTGGATAGCCATCAGCAACAACTGACGATATAATGAGCTCAATTTTTTTTTATCATTTAAATTTAAAAGAAATTTCTAATTATTGAGTAAACTGCTAAAATGGTCTTTTATATTTGGCAAAAAAATTTATTTTAGTTTTTTACATTAACAATTTACTGATTTGGTCCTTTACATATGTAATTTATATTAATTTAGTCATTTTTACTTTTTTGATCCTTTACATTTGGAGGTTTTTGGGTTAACCATTTCTTAGTCAAGTCAACAGAGGTATTTTCGGTAACTTACAATTTTCAAATTTTCAAAATAATAAAAAACTAAAAATTGATTAAAATAATATTAAAAATATTATATTAACTTTATAATTAATGATAAAAAATTGTAACTTCAAAAAAAATCCAAAATCTGGTTATTCTTTTTTATCATGTGGGCCCCCCGCGTGATTTTTTCTTTACCCTTATTTTGTAATTTTTTTTTCTCTCCCTGATCAAACACCTAACCAAATTTCAAACCCCCCGATCTTATACTCAAGAAGAAATCGGACTAAGGGTAAAGAAGAAAAAAATTCAAGAAGGAAAAAAATAATATAATATGTTTAATTTTATTTTAATCAACAGGGTATATTCAAGAAGAGAAAAATTACAGACTAGGGTATATTCAAAAAGAAAAAAATTACAGACTAACGATAAAGAAGACGTATGAGGCCCCCGTGGTAAAGAATAACTCAAATTTCGGACAAAAATAATTTTGAACTTTGAATTTTTTTTCTATTTTTAATAATTAATTATAAAATAAAACAATATGTTTAATATTATTTTAATCAATTTTTGGTTTTTTAGTATTTTTAAAATTTTAAAAATTATAAGTTACCAAAAATACCTTTGTTGACTTGACCAAAAAATGATCAACCCAAAGACCCTCAAATGTAAAGGGTCAAAAAAAAGTAAAAAGGACTAAATTAGTGTAAAACACATGTGTAAAAGACCAAACCAGTGAAATATTAATGTAAAAGACCAAAATAAGTTTTTTGTCAAATGTAAAGCACCCTTTGAGCAATTTACTCCCAATTATTTTACACAAACTCTCTGTTTTTTATTTGATCAGTTTTCTTTACTCCATGTTAATTCTTTCCTGTTGATAGAAAAAAAAAATGTGCCAGCTACATTTGTTCTAAAGGTTAAAAAGTCCAAATTTCACAAGTTTGTACAAATGTAACATTATCTTACCACATTCTGAGCAGACATTTCGAGTTTACAAGATTCTCAGGGCTTGTATGGACAATTATTTGTTTTAGTTTTTTATTTGAGTTTGAGATGTGATTTAAAATATGTTTTAAGAGAAAATTTTAAAGATTGTTTGGGTATTATTTTAAATAAAATAATAATATTTTTACACCACTACGGGACCACTTCCACCACCGCCGCCGCTGCCGGACCGTCGCCGGCCGGCGACCAGCCGCCCGGAATCCAGCTAGCCGGCGATGAAGGTGGTCCGATGGTTGTAGATAAAACTTGTGTAAAAATAATTTTTAAAATAAATTTTAAAAAGTAAAATAAAAAATTGTTTGGATGATATTGAATTTTGTATTTGAAAAGTGTTTTAAAAGGTAAAATGAGACAAAAGGACAAAAAGAGAGTTAGACGAACAAGACTTAATTTTCTCCTCTCCCAAAAGAGATTACTATGAGAATGACACTTGGAACTAAAGTGCTTTAGAGTTTATGTGAATTTTGGGTTGGGAAATTGACACCCTTTGGAAGAAACTTTTAAATTCTTGTACTTATTTCTGTCATTATATTGGACGATTTGATAGTTATAACTTGCAATAAACGCTACTTTCATGTTGAGGAAATTGAAAAGCCAAACCAGAGATCTTGATTGTGCATGATTTTCATGAAGTAACTATCATGAAAAGGAGTGTGAAATGGACCTAGGCTAGTGCCAAAATAGAAAACTAGGTTGATGAAAACTAGTGTGAGATGGACCTAGGTCACTGCCAAAATGAAAAATGAGGTTGTCGATCTAAGTAAATCAATTCTAACGCAACGGAATAAACACAGATTAATTTTATGCTAAGATCACTTTATAATCTATGAATAATATAAACAGTTCGGAATTGTGTACTTTTAATAGCTAATTCAACAATCACGATCAACAAATAGTGAAGTTTGATCACAAAGCTGTTCAAGTGTCCATCTTCTAACGGTATCCACAAAACAATTCTTAGAATACAGACACAAGGCATGACGGCTAGTTCTCTGGATTATAACTAGGATTTTTGGAACCGACAGATTAATTCCGGAACTTGTGTCTGTGACTTATTTATACATAAGTCTATGGGTTTAGATGATTACCATAAAGCCCATGACTCATTTATTAATAAGTTCTTATGATTAATTTATCACATAAATTAATTCCTTAACTATTTCAAATAATTGTTTTATTGTGTGTGACCTTTTAGCTTCCTAAAACACGTTGGCAATAAATATAAATTTTAATCCTAGTATTAACGGCTTTTGGACCTAAAACCAACAGAAAGCCTGAAACATTAATAAGGGATCGATCTTGATTGCAGAATTCCCCTTCTCATCTTTACATAGAAGAACGAAAGAGAACAAGAACAAGAAGAAGAATATATATTATTCTCCGAGTTTATCCCACATCCCACGCCATTTTACATCCCATTCAAGTTTTTCCCGAGTTTACATTTAATGGCACGCTATATTTTCACATGATTTTGGCACTAGTCACTATGGCAATGGCAATTAGTGCCTTAATCATTTTCAATGTGGATTTAATCATACCGGGCACTGAAGTGTCTACCTTACAAAGGTACTTTGAATTTGTATATTTCACTAAACGTATTCACTGGCTGTCTTTTTAGCCGCATGCATAGTAATTTCTATTTGATTTTTCTTTTTTGCTGCCTATTTGGGAGGCTACATGATATACCTATCCTGCCAAATGGTCTTCGTTCTGGTTGTTATATCTTTATTACTTGTTATAAAATTCTCTGTCTCCCCTACATACAAGAAAGACATCATAAAGAAAGGGTGGTTGTGTCAGTTGGAATGAACTATATGGTTATTGAGAATTTTGACCAACACGGATGCTGCGACAAGCCACATAATTGCAAGCAAAATCAGGATTACAGTGCTTGGAACGACCAGATTTGGTGCTACGATTGTGTTTCTTGCCTAACAGAAACGTTTATTTATCAAAGGAAATACAGTGAGAAAGTTAAAACCATTGTATCATTTTTGCATCGCATTACTTGTTATTATCACTATTGCTCAAGTGGTTGAAATGAGTTGTGGGCTTAGAGTTTATTAGACTGTATTTTGTACTGTGGTGGCATAGCACAACTTATATATTAATTTAATAAAATAATTCACTTTTTCCACATCCCTGTTAACATTTACTATTATTTTTTTAATCGTTTATACTTTCATTATACACTACAAAGAAAGACACCTTAGCAAGAGTATCAGTGCACGAATTATTATCTCTAAACGTGTGCGAGAAACATACATTTTAGTTGGTATACAAAAGAGAATAGATCCGTCTTGATTCAGGATGCAGAGAGACTTGTGACTGATCCTTTATGTTTATGTGATATACATTGTAGTGTTCTTCATCACCTATATCGTCCAAACGACGGGCCTGTATATGGGGTCTGCACTACAAATCGTGCACGAGCATTGCACATATTTTTATTCAAATTAAGTGAATTATAAACACACATATATAATCATCATATTATAAATTTGTGCATGTAATTAATTATAAGAGCATAAAATAAAAGATGACCCATTATTATGCATAACATGTGTACCCTATGTACAAAAAAAATAATGTAACTAAATTATGTCAACTTAATTCTTGAAATGAGCAAAATGTGAGTTGTTAACTAGAATCTTGCCTGATAGTTAAAATTTTAATATTATTTAGAATAACTCCAATCATTGCATTACATTTTACACCAAATTTGGTGTAGAAATAAATCATATAAGTATCTTCTTATACAAAAATACTTTGCACGCTAATTCTGATGCACCAAATGTCTAAATGCTTTAGTTTGAATTTTATGTTAAAATATGGCATCTTGGTGATAATTTTGTGTAGATTATTTTGTAGTCACCTTTATTTGATAGTAGAAATATCAAGTCATTTCAATTTAACTATGAAGAGAATTTTATAGTTTCAGTCTTTAAGATAACTGCGTGTACAATCCCCAAGTCATTCTTCTTGCGGTTTGTGGTCGCAAAGGTAATAGTGTGGATGGATTCCGTTTTACCAACCCCTCAAAAAGATGGAGGAGTTAATCTGCGGGGACGAAAATGACTGGGCGGCGGTGACAAGTGAAAACTTGCCTAGCGGAGTCTAATTTTTGTGCCCGAATCCCTCAACAACACGGTTGCTCAATGCCAGCTGACTGCGGCCGTGATGTTTCTCTTGATAAACCGAGGGATGGCACTGAATGGAAGAGGGACGTCAATCGACTTTGTTACACGTGTGACTGTAAAAAACACGATAATCAATTATCACACGTAAAAATCACGGTGAGCATATATGTGGTTCTACAAGGTTTCATTTCCTTTGCTCAAATCGTTGAATTGGTAACGAGCATTGATCCAAATGTACTAATAATAATACAATTTTGTAATAATGTATTACTCTGAATGAATAAGACTTTGTGTCTACTTCATTAGTATTCATATCATGCATCTCCTTTTCTATTATTTGTAATAATGTAGTACGTACTATGTTTATGAATGAATAAGACTTGTGAATGAATAATGTATTCCCTTTGTCCTAAAATTATTGTCTAACTTGGATTTTCATTTTTAGTTCAATTTGTACTGAAACTGAAAATCCAAATTTCATTGGGCTGCCGCATGTTTGCCACTTTCCGTCATTACTGTTTTTCACTGGCTGTCCACTGTTTGTAGCATAATACTACTTCAGAATTATAATGCCGATCCTGTGTGTTGCTCGGAGTTTCTTCTCTGCTCGGATGTCTTTCCCAGTCGGTTCTTATTCTCGGCTCGTTTTTTTCTTGTTCTTCTCTCTGTTCAGCGGCTTTGTTCCTTGCTTTCCAGTCGCAGCGGCTGTGTTCTGTTTGATCTTTACCTGAGTCATTAACCAATTATAGTGCCTATTTCACTATGTCTCTTCCCTATTGAATTGGAATGGAGAGAGTACAAAACTAACACAGTTCCACCATTTTGGACGATAAAGGTAGCGGAGAAAACTACAATAAATGTCCCTTCCCTTTGATGAATTGTTGTAATTCCATTTTTTTTTTTTTGAAATTTAAAATGCGACTTCTGGTTGGGGGTACAGCTGAAACAGAGAACCTCCCTTTGAGAAATCCATACATCACAGTCGACGTTCACGGTTCGGTTCTTGGCGCAGCCAACCGCCTTTGGTGCAATAGGCTTATTCTTCCTTCAAGTGCTCATTGCAAAACAATTTTTATTTTCCTTTTTTTTTTTCCAATTATTTCATGTTCCATTTTTTTTTTTGGGAAGATGACACTGATACCGCCATTATAATTAATAGGAATACCACTATTATTTGACAGATAACATATCTGATATAACTTATCAGATAGTTTCTGGCTATACACGTCCAAATAATACCTGCAATGCATGCAATAAGTTGACATCCCACTTGACGTCTTATGGGCAATTTACGGGAGATAATTTTCTTCCACGGACCTGTATTGCAAGTTCATTATCAGAATCAAAATTATTGCGATCAACGACAAGAATGTAGCAGTACCCATCCTAAAAAGTATTGTCATTCTTGACAAACTCTTTTTTTTTTAAAAAAAAGGAAAATAAAATGAAGATATCAATGCAAATTGGAATAGGAGAGCAAGAAGAAAGCAGACGTGCAGTAAAGGGGAGCAACACCAACAACATTAGCAACAATTAGAGCAACACAACTGGAGTAAGTAGAAACAACATCAGCTCGTAGAGATGACAAAGATTGTGGATATTCTAAAATTTAGTCCCACGTCAGACATAAATATTAATTTTATCTATAAATTCTTTAAGATACTCTCATTATTATCACTAAACATTAAGAGCATTTAATTGAATACGACTCCCAATTTCACAATATTAGATGAATTACTCAAAACTAACCATTTACATTATATTACCTATTTTTCTTAATTCTATATTTGTCTAAATGGGTCTACTGAATCAAAATGGAGCGACTCTATAAATCGTGCACGAGCATTACACATGTTCTTTATTCAAATTAACTGAATTATAGACACACACACACACACCCCACATATATACGTACATATATATATATATATATGATCATATTATAAATTTTTGTTTGTAATTATAAGAGCATAAAATAAAATACGGCCTATTATTAAACATAATATGTGTACCCTATGTGCAAACAAAATAATATAATTAATTATGACAACTTAATTCCTGAAATGAGCAAAATGTGACTTGTTAACTAGAATTTGGCTGGTTAGTTAATAATTTCATATCACTTAATGTCAGCCGCGTCTCTATGATTTGTCACGCAGAAATGTCAGAATACATTTTTTTTTTGCAACATGGACTATATTTTTTCTCTCAAAATTACAGTTTTAATTTAATGATTGTGTCCGACTATACAATCCATCCAAACTAAGCTGGGCTTGTCGTTTTAAAATTTTTAATCTAAGTTGGGTCAACTATTTTGTTAAGAAAAAAAGAAAAAAAAACCTTGTGAGTCCACACATTTATAAATATATGTAAAATAAAATTCAAAAGACTGAAAGGGATTACTCACTGTTATTAATAATGAACATTTTACAAATATGGAAACAAGAAATAAAATTCTAATGGGATTGAATCTCGAAACATCTTAAAATCGATTTCTCAAGTCCTTATTATTTATTTTGACTTCCTAAGGAGTAAAAATTGAAGGAATATAATCTTTGTTTCAAAAAAAAAACGAAAAAGAAAAGAAAACGGAATATAATCTCAAATGATAATTTCAGCAGTAGAATGAATTACTATTATTATTCTTCTTCTTCTGGGTGAAAAGAGTACTACTTAAAAAGGCTTAACGAGAACGGCCCGTACCCAAAAAAAAACACAAAAGGTTAAAGACATTAGGCCCGTTGTAACTTTTTAGACTAACTTGGGCCTTGTTCTAAATTGGGTGGTAACTATTCAGACAACAATCTGGCCAATCAGAAAGTGAAAGGGAAAGTTTTGGTGGTTAATCTGAAAATATGGCACCTCCAAAGAAAGTCAAGAAAACGAAGAAGGATCCGAAGAAGTTGAAGAAAATCAAAAACAAAAATGGCAAGTCCAACACTACTGCAAGACCAATTCCCGCAGAGAACGGAGCTGCCATTGATTCTGAGTGGTGGGATTCTTTCTGGAGCAAGAACTCTTCAATCCCAGGTACCCATTCTCCAATTTGATTGCTTCAATTTACAGTTTTTTTTCCCTTTTCATTCTGAAATTTTAGAACCCAACTAGATTGTTTCAATCATTTGAACAAGGCAAATGATTGATGTATTATGAACTCGGGTTTTCATGTAAGTGTTCTAAGATGCCCAAATTGTTATCATTTTGAAGGAATTCGTTACGTAGAACTAAACTATACTAAAGGGCTTGTGTTTAGAAGTTGGATTTTTAAATGAGAATTGGCAATATATGTGCAGATGTACCTTCAGATGAGGAGGAAGGATTCAAGTATTATTTTCGAATGTCGAAAAAGACTTTTGAGTACATATGCTCGCTTGTAAGGGAAGACCTTATTTCGAGGCCGCCTTCAGGACTTATTAATATCGAAGGAAGGCTTCTCAGTGTGGAGAAGCAAGTTGCAATTGCATTGAGAAGATTAGCTTCCGGTGAGTCTCAGGTTTCGGTTGGAGCTTCCTTTGGAGTAGGGCAGTCCACTGTTTCGCAGGTGACTTGGAGATTCATCGAGGCGCTGGAAGAACGCGCCAAACATCACCTTACTTGGCCTAGTTCCAATCGGATGGAGAAAATAAAATCTGCGTTTGAAGCGTCTTTCGGCTTGCTTAATTGTTGTGGTGCCATTGATGCAACGCACATTGTTATGACGCTTCCTGCTGTTCAAACTTCGGATGACTGGTGTGATCAAGCGAAAAATTTCAGTATGTATGTACAGGGTATCGTTGATAATGAGATGAGATTCTTAGATATTGTGACGGGTTGGCCTGGTGGCATGACTGTTTCAAGGCTGCTGAAGTTTTCTGGGATTTTCAAGCTTTGCGAGTCTGGTGATCGTATGAATGGTATTGTCAAAAGATCTTCTGATGGCGGCAGTGTGAGGGAATATATAGTAGGTGATGTCGGATATCCTCTTCTGCCATGGCTCATAACTCCTTACGAAGAAGATAACAATGACTTGTCTGATGCTATGATGAATTTCAATAAGATGCACGAGGCTACAAAATCAGTAGCACTGAGGGCATTCTCGCAGCTGAAGGGCAGTTGGAGAATCCTAAACAAGGTTATGTGGAGACCTGATAAGCGGAAACTCCCGAGCATTGTCTTAGTGTGTTGTTTGCTTCATAATATTATCATTGACTGCGGAGACGGTTCTCAGTCAAATGTTGCCTTGTCCTGTCATCATGACTCAGGTTATGTTGAACAGAAATGTAAGCAAGTTACCCCATTGGGCAAGACATTGAGGGACAATCTCGCCAATCACTTGCTCCATTTAGAAGGGAAAAGTGGTAGGTAAGCATCAACTGCATTTCTGTGATGTACTCATTTAATGAATTTTCAATCTATCATTGTTGTGTTGATCAAATGTACTGTGTAAATATGTACGTTCTGATTATCTCTCCAGGAATTGAAGTTCCATTGGAAAATATTGTTGATTGCCACAAATGAATGACCTAGTTCTATTTATAGGGAAGTATTATCCATAGATGTTACTTTTCTTTTTCGTTTTGTGGTATTGGGGCCTGATACTTCTAAGCTATGTGTTCCATGGATTTCGAGTGCAAACTTAAAGTTACTAGTCCCCAATTGTTGCTCATTCTACCGAATCAGTAACATTGTAAGTTTTTAGCACATTTAAATGTTAGAATTATAGATCCTTGAGTTTATCGTGAATATCCAATTGTAACTTGGTTTCCAGTCTAATGATATGTAGTCTTCGAAAAGATTAAATCCAGCAGTAGTTGCAATGAGATGCAACCACGGAAGACCATGACTGCGTTTAATGCGTTATTCATATATCTAACATATCACAAAGCCTACATAACATTCCTTTTCATCATTCTACAGGATAATTAATCAAACCCGCTGCATACGATCTTGAGCGAAAGTCGCAGTATCTTATCTTTAGAGGTAAGAGGCAAAGATTTACAACACTTTGGCTAGAAAGGGATAATACAATTCCTAACCACCAGTGGTTTTGAACTCTCACCGGTGCTCAGTTGACACAGAAATGGAAGAAAAATAAAGTATACAAAGCTATTCTAACCAAACATTAGGCTATCAAAATAAACATAGTAAGAAAGCAAATGCTTGATCAATCTCCTTCGGTCCGAGGCTGGACGCATCCACAGAAGGGAGTTCTCTTTCGCCTGTGGCTAGATCTTATAACTCCATAACCATAGAGATAGTCTCTGAGCAGAACTCTTCTTTTTGTCTCAGCAGCTTTGCTTTTGCCTTTTCCATCTTTTTCATCATCCAGTTTCAGAAGGACAAACTGTATCTTTTGCACTTCCAACTGCAACCGCCCGATCCTCTCTGAAACCCTCCGTGCCTGTTCTGTTACTTTCCTCTTCTTCGAGCTTCCATTTTCATCTGAATCCATCGAAGATGACTTTGAATGGTGAGAAGACAAGGGAGTACCACTTTCAACATTTTTTGTCAATCTGCCATTGAGATCAAATAGCTTTAAGATTGCTGCATCTGCTTCTTCCAGCTGCTCCTTTAAAATATCACATTCATCTATAGCTTTTCCCTTTTTGCTCTTCCCAATAACCTCAAGCTTTCGCTTCAAGTCCTGCACGGTAATCTGAAGATTCGTCAATTTCTGGACATCAGAATTAAGCCTTTCCAAGACCTTCCTTTTGTTCCCTTCCTGAAGAGGCTCACTAAATCTCTTGGAAATCTCTAACTTGTCCACTCCCAGCTCCTTTTCAACCAGTATTTCCACAGTAGGGAGGTCATTTTTCTGTTTCTTTGCTGATTTCACCCGATGGAAGCTAGCAGTTCTGTCAGTTGATGGGTTCACCATCTTACTTGTCTTGCTTACAGTGAGATCAATGCTGCCATCCTGATCGATGGTTTCCCACGACTCGAGACTTCGGCTATCAGGGTCAACCTGCTCTCTCCTACTACTTCGATAGGGTGAAAATTCAGATACCTGGTCGAGCATGATGTCTTTTGTTAAAAGTCCATTGTCCACTTCTGACATCGGCTTAGAATTTCTCCTGCGCTGGCTGTTCTCAGATTTCAAATCTGCAATCAGTTTCATTGCAGCTTCCAGCTCTGCATGTACACTTTGGTTTTCCAGCGACATGAGTTGCTCTTTGGAAGTAACTGCCTCCTCGATGAATTGAATTCTCCTCTGCAGAGATTGTAAATGTAAAAGCGGATCATCCACTACTTCATTATGATTTGTGCTGTTTCCACGTGCATGATCGCCCAATGTAGCATCATCCTGAGACATGGAAATCAGGCAAATGTTATATTTCCAAGTTAGGTATACATGCTACTTTGGCAACACACGGCAGTTAATTTCAACTATTAGGACCAGGCAACTGTTGAACAATAAGGTTTTAATTAGCATGTACCAGAAGATGATTATTAATTTGATTAAAATAGATGCAGTTCCTACATGCAGGCAATGAAGGAATTTATAGCAAGTTAGCAACCATAAAAGAAATCAAGCCAGTATGTGTCACAGATAAAAGTCGATAAATCAGGCAATACCTTCAGGTCTGCATTTTCAGATACCTCGGGATGTCCTTGAAGACAGGTCTGCTCTTCTAAGGACAACATGTGTGCTCCTAACAAAGCAATAGCAGGGACAAAAGCAGCCAACTTTGCATTAAGGCCCTCATTTTCACTTGCCAGTGCACTTGCTCTCTCTCTCAGACACTTGAGTTCAGTGTCTTTTGTTGCATTTTCATCTTTGAAACTCTCACAAGTTTTAGTAAGCTCGTGAATCTTCTCCTCGTACAGCACTTGAAAGATATTTGAAATCTGCAGTTCAACAAAGGTGTCTAAAGCATGAGCCTCCCAAATGTCAGCCTCGTTTTTCACCACGTGCAGCTCAGAGCGTAGTGATTGTTCCTGGATTTTGGTATGTTGATGCTCTTCACGGAGTTTCTGCAGTTCCATTTCTTTCAGAATCAGTAACTCCTCCAATCTTTGCTCGGTTGCGTACAATCTTTGCCTAATATCATCATTGTCAACATTAAGATTGTGTAGCTGTTTAACAAGCTTGCTGAACTCCACAGACTTCTCGCCAATGCAATTCCTCAACAAGATAGAAAAACAATCCAGAGACAAAATTTCACTGCACAAAGCGGAATTTTCCACTTCCAGAACCTGAGAGTTTTTCTCCAACTGTAAGAACTCATTTGTCAAGGATTCCTTCTCTCTAAGAATTTCAACATTTCCTCGCTCTAAATCTTGGCAAGACCCTTGTAAATCCATTACCCTCTGCCACAAATCTGAAATTTGCGTCTGTAGGGCTTTCTGTGTTTCCTCGCCCTCCATGACTTTCATTTTCATTTCTTCTTTTACCTGATGCAGCATGAGAGCCTCATTTTGGGAAGCTAACAATTCTCTGCTCCTGGAACTGAACTCCTGTTCAATGCTACATTTCTCCGATTCAAGATTTTTTAAGTGGTATGCCAGATCTCCAAGCATCGCAAGAAGAACAGAGAACTCAACAGCGTGATGCAGAGTTTCTTCCTCAGTTTTACAGAAACAGGTTTTGATATCTTCAAGCTTACTTAAGATGTGATTCAGATAAATGTGGTCCTGCCCTCTCCTACCATCATATTCATGCTCTAAAACAATGTCTAGAGCTTTAAGCAACTTATCTATGCCCTTCCTCAGAGTGCTGCCATGATCAGACAGGGACACTATCTCTAGTTTCTGATTCATATTATCTTGCTTCAAGTTGGTAAGCATACCCTCCAAGGATATTGTTGTTTCCAAAAGTTCCTGATTCTTTGTTGATAGAGATAAGTTCTTCTCCTCTAGATCTCGAGCACATCTCCTCAAAATGAAAACCTCTGTGTGAGACTCAAAGTTATTATCCAATTCCATCTCCAGTTCTGTCTTTGTGAATTTAATTTCATCTTGCAAAAGTTGCATCTCATCTTTCATGGAAGCCAAGTGTATCTCATTCGCATGGCAAAGATTGAGGTAGTCCTGCTTTTGTACAGCCAAAGAAGTCTCTAACTCTTGGATCTTAACAACAGATAACTCTTTCTCCTTCTCTAGAGCAGAATATCGTTCTCCCATTTCTGCATATCTGTTTTCCAGGTTTTCCAGTCTCATTTGGTTGCTTTCCAATTGACCAGTCAAAATATCCTTTTCAGCAGCAACTCTACCCTTTTCATTGGCCAGTAAATTGCAGGATTCCTCCAAGTTCATGGACTTTGTCTTTAGCACTTCAAGTTCATCACGCGCATCACAAAGGGAGTTTTCTAGAGCAGTATTCTTCTCTGTGAGTTCTCCCAAATTTTCACTGGCAACTTGCAGTTGAACTTGTAACGATGCCTTCTCATCAAGAAGGGAAGATTTCTCATCCACTAGACACTGACAAGATTCTTCCAGAGATTGTATCTTTTCCCGAACCGCTTCTAGTTCAGCATTCAAATCTGATAAGGAATTCTCCAGCATGGAATTTTTCTCTATAAGATGTTCCAAGATTTCCAGTTTTCCCAAAAGAGCTAACTTCTCATTTCTCTCCCTCTCGCAAGCTTCTTTCAATTTGGAGTTGTCATCTTGCAATTCCCTCACTGCTGAACCGAAGCTGTCCGCATCTAGTCCTGTTGCATGCACCTGCGCCATGAAGGTTGAGTTTTTCTTGTTCAAATCATTCAATTCTTCTTTCATACAGTAGATCTCTTGTTGGAGTGCATTTCTTTGGTCTACTCGAAGTTCCACCTCCTCCTCAAGTTTCCCTTTGGCTTCAGTCAAGTTAGAGATTTCATTCTGCAGATCTTTTATTGTGATGGCTGAGGATACACTTAACTCATTGAGGGATTTATTCTCCTCTTTCACCTTCAGAACTTCATCGTGCAAATTTTTCTTCTGAGTATCTGTTTCTGCTAGAGTTTGAACCTTATTCTGCAACTCGAAGGCCAATGATCGCAGTTCTTCCTGAGCTTGAGCGTGCAAATGCTGCAAAGTTTGGAATGCGGTTTCAGCCTCCACAAAACGCAATCGCTCTTCCTGTATGCAAGTCCACAGCCTTCCAAGTTCCTTCTGCTTTTCCGTAAGTTCTTGACTTTGACTTCCTGTCTTCAGTATCAATGCTTCTAACTCCGAGTGAAGAGATTGATTTGTTCTTTCTAACAGAAGACGCTGCTCCTCAGAGCCCTTTAAATCAGTGACTCCTTTCTCAATCTCGGTTTTGAGCCTCTGTGCCTCCTCCTGAGCCAAAGAGAGGTTATTCTCTAACCTTGAAATGGTTTCCATGCACTGGTGATACTCAAGTTCTGCAGCTTCTTTCTCCTCTCTCAATTTGGTTATGGATTGCTTAAGCCGTTCAACCTCATTTTCAGCTTTCTCGGCTCTCTCTTTAAACTTTGCTGCAGTCTCTTCAGCACACTTTAACTTGTGCTCCAGGTTTGCAATGAACTCCAAGGAACTCACATACTGATCAAGAGCTGCATCTTTTTCGGCTGATACTTTAGCGAGTTCATCTTTAACTGATTGAGCTTCGGTTTCAGCGTTAATAGCTCTTTGGTTAAGCTCCTCAGCATCCTTTTCAGCATGAGACACAGAATCCTCGAGGCCAGATATCTTTTCCAAGCAGTGGCGATACTGCAAAAGGTTACTTTCGCGTTCAGCTTCTAACTTAGCCAAGTTTTCCTTCAGAGACTGAGCTTCAGCTTCAGCTTGGCTGGCTTGTTCAGCAAGTCCTTTGGAATCCTCCTGGATACGCGAAATTTGTGACTCTAGTGCTGACAATTTCTCCAAACTCTGCTTGTACTGAGAAAGGCCGGCTTCTTTCTCTGCTTGAAGCTCAGCAAGGGCCTTCTTTAAACTCAGGATCTCCTCAGATTCTTTAGGCTGATCCGACTCAGAGTTTGCCAGGGAATGTTTTTGGTGAGAATCTACCGACTCATGAAACTTGAGGCTCTTCCTCACCTTCCCCTCGACAAATTTAGAGCCATTCCTCTTAGCATCGTTGAAATGAGAATCTGAGTGACCCAACGATTCATTTTGCAAGTCATCAGGCTCGAAAAAGCCCCGTGCAGGGGTGGACATATCGGGTGTCTGACTTTCAGTCCCCGAATCATCAAGCATAGGGGGAACTTGATTTGGAAATGCTTCTGTCATAGTACGGTGAGCATGACGAATTACCCCTGTTGCATGATCATATCTTTCAGCTAGTGCACGGTATGCACGATAGAACTCTTCCACCATCTTCATGAGCTCTGGACGTTTCTTGTAATACATCTCTGCCCTCCTAGCAAATGAATCAGCATCTTCTTCGATGAGCTTTATCATCGATTTGACTTTTGCATCCATGTCTGCAAGTAAATTAGAACTCATTAAATCACATGAAGAAGGCATATTCCGTCAACAGAAAGAAACTCAAATACGTAAACATAACAAAAGAAACATAGAAGTAATCATTGCTTTTCTAGCCATCACCTAAGGGATCAACTTGCAAGGAAAGCAGACATATATTAGCATTGCACATCAGAAACAATTGCAAATTATTGAGCATGGCTGTGAGTGATAATATACTTATGCCTGAGCTGCAAGCATCAAAGAGGACTCGAGTCTCAAACTATGAACTCAAAGACACTGAAAATTTATATTTTGCTCATAAACCACAGTACTTCAAAAAGGGGGAAAGAGAAGTAAAAGAGTTGAATTTGAGAATGCAGGTAATTCAGGAGAAAATGCGATCAACAACAATACCTGTGAGATTCTCCTGAAGCCATTTGGAATTTTTGGGACTAATATGACTATCCCACCACCAAGAGTACATCCGCCTGGAATTCGTATGTGAAAATGTCGCCATGGTTCCAACTATACTGCCACCAAATTTGTTGGAACTACCAAAACTCTTTCTTCACCGCCAAAAAAGAAAACGGAGGAAGAATTCTGAAACTGATAATTCGGTTTCAACCGGCAGAATTGGGTGTTAAAATCTCACAATTCTACACAGTTGGTTCCAACCTAGTCCTAGAAAATACAAAAGACAAGAAGACGACAAACATAATAATCAGTATCAAACGTTATCAGCTGTGACACAAGATCGAACTTGAATATGATATAGGTAAGAAGATCAGAGGATGCAAACCGGTCACCTGATTAGTGAAAATTGAAACTCAAAATCTCCAAAATTGTTGAAAGTAAAAGAACAGCCAGCCTATTGTCTTCAATATACTGAAAATAAAGAAGAAAAACCGATCAACTGAGTCAGATCATCACAATTTCCCAGTAAACTTCCATAAAGGTGCAGAAAGATCGGATCTTTTCATATTATTAACAGTAATATCACCCAAAACAAACCAAAACCAAAACCCATCCAAATGCAAAATTCAGACATGAAAAAGATCATAACCATTACCTAGAAGTCTAAAGCTGAAAAACTCAAAACAGAGTTATTCTTAATGATCTTAGCGTACAAAATACAACCGAAAACCAAACTTTACACTTTGAAAGACATATACAACAACCTAGTTTACTCCGATGACGACTGAATTTCACATGATCAAACCGTAAACTGAGAAAAAAAAAAAAATTGAGATAGAAAAGAGAGAAAAACTCACCAGAAAAGCAACCCAAAATTAAGAAAAGAGAGAAAAAAAAAGAAAGTATCAAAATTGGACTGAAAATTCAACAAAAAGCAGCTCTTCCTACAGAAGAAAAGGACTCGACAGCTTTCGGTTCTCTCTCAACAAAACCCAAACCCCATTGTTGCTTAGCTGGTTAGATCCTTCTCTCTCTATCTTTTGCTTTTACGCTGTGCTATGGTACTGTAGCGCATGGAGCCTTTTTTTTTTTTTTTTTCCACTCTTCAATATTCTTTTTTTTTTCTTTTGTAAAGTGTCAAAAAACAAGGAAATAACGTTAAAAACTTATAATTAGTCCATTGAGCGAATCAGAAAAGGACAAGTTTAGGAAAGGCTATAATTTTGTCTGAAATGTTTCTTTTCTATCATTATTACTAGTACTTGTTAAATCGAATTATGCTGTTCTATTGGTAAGAAAACTGATTATGAAATTACGGTGCAGCAAAATGTCGGAATTCGGAAATGTATGTTCTCATTAAATATTTTTGGGTTTAAGGAAATTGACTGCGCACGACCCCCGCTAAGACCGGGATTATGTAATGATGTTACTTAAGCTCTAATTTTCGTATAAAATATATAGTACTTATTACTTAAGTAAATAACTTCTATTATGAATCACTAATTAAAATATTTTACACGTCTTTGTTTGAAAGTTTTGTTGACATTTGCCATTAAAATGTGAATTAATCTATCATATTAAATTATTTCTCAATTTGTCGGCAAAAATAAATATGGTAGGGGTATAATATCAACATGTAATTTTGAATCATTTTGTTTGTAAAAAAAAAAAATATATGATGGCTCCTTTTCTTTGAATGTTTGATTAATTCATGGGCCATCAGTTAATTATATTTAAATCAATGGAGGCAGATTCCGATCTGTGCTCTTCTGTTGCCTGCCAATCTCTCACCTTTGACTGCCTATTGTTATCAGTATTATTATTAATCAAGACCATATCAATAATACGATTTGATTTGAGTTTTTTATCCGTTAAGTCAGCTGTATAAATGATGGAGTCATTGCCAATACCAATGTTTTCCCATAATCATCATCATATAGGAAATCATTTATGTGCTCTTATTTTCCAAGACCAGACAAATCTTGTAGTTACTAGAAATCAATACATACAAATCCATCAATAGTTTTTTAAGTAATGTTAAAAAGAATTTTTGTGTATGTGTTCAGATACCTTAACATTATCGTGAATATTGTTGTTAGACGAATTTTATTACAGTTGGGTAAATCATAGTATGAATTAGATAAATCACTACAAGTAAAGAATTCATATAGTTAAGAAAATGGCGTGGGTTTGGTGGCAATATTCTTGTAATGGAGTTTTTTTGGAGGTTTAAGAATTGATTCCCATCAAGAAAAAATTGATGATGTGAGATTAGGTTCCAAGTTCATCAAGGAATATATATACGGGAAACTCTTCAACAAAATCACCAATATTAAAGTTTTCATTAAGAAATGGAACAAAACGTGTCAAAAACGTAATACGTCAAATTATGGGTGACTCATTTCCACTAAGGACATGACAATTGGCCTATAAATTAACCTTTGAAAAAAAGGCTTTAGAGGGGGGAAAAAAAAAACTAAAAAAAAGGTGGTTGGGGTTGGGGGAGGCTAGGCCGGTGCTAACAGTCGTCATTCCCTTCCTACCAAACTTGATTCCCCTATATCTCATCTTGGCCCACGTTTGCCACGCACCCGAATATGAAATGAAAATTCAATTCGAGATAATCCAACATAATTGAAATTAAAAATTATTGTGATTTAACTACTGATTGTAATATTTATTATTATATTTTCACCTGTAAAAATGAAGTAAAAATAAAAACATTACATACTCCATCTTTATGCATGCATCATGAATCATGATGCCTGGAAGTGAAACTTACGACAAATGTGATTTCTTTTCTGCACGTATAAAGTATTTTTATGATAATTTCATACTAAAATTAAAGTTACGTAAGTTTTAGTTTCAGGTATTCTTGTAAGAGAAAGAATACTGGACCACTCAAATTCATCCCCCGAAAAAGGGTTTGTGACTATTGGTATTAGTTAGTTATTAAGAAAAATTAGAGGAACTTTTATTTCTTCTTTTAGTAAACTAATGCAAAATCTGTAGTAGATTCAAATGATAATGATTAAGGTTGAAATAAGATTAGAGTCAGAAGAATCATCACCTGTAGATACAGGTTTATTTTTTATTTTTTATTTCCCATTGGTGATGATAGCATGGTGAAGTGTATATCACATGAAAAAAAGAAGATCCATTTGGCCTCGAGCTATGATTGATGCATGTGATCAATTATTATTTTGGTTCTTACATTATTTAATTTTTGGACCTCCACATCATAAATCAACGATGATGGTGATGCCATTGCCAGAGATTTAGTTAACATGGCCCTTTTAATTTTTTTCCTCGTAGTATAATCTAGTTGACGGAGAATTTCGTTTTTTTAGTGTGTTTTTAGGTATTTTTTATATTGAAAATGTAAAAAAAAATATTTTAAAAATGTAGAAAAGTATGTTTAGACAGGACAATTTGACCCTCTACATCCAAGGCCCATTTTCCATTTTTTTTCCCTTGTGTAACATGGAAAAATAAAAATTTCATTCCATATATCTACATTCAAAATCGATTATATTTCACATTCTGCTCCTAATAGAATTCCGATTCTTTCCCGTTCAGATATAAGTGTTTTACGTTTATAATTATCACATGCATGATTAGTTGATTATTGTATCTAAATATAATAAGCTAAAACGTTCAACTATTGATTGATTGTAATTTGTAGGCTTAAGGTGATGCTATAATAGACTTTTTAGCAGTACATGGAAAGAGACTTCCTCAAGGAGATTAACTAACTGCAGCTTATCACTTTCTATTTGTTTGGTACAGAATTTACGACTTCAATAAAATTATTAATAATCGACTTCAACAGTTTGGTAAGAAGTAGACAGCGCCCCAGTCTCCACTTTAGATTACTAGTGAGAGTGTTTCTTGTAGGGTGGAGCCTTAAAGTTGGTTGCCGAACCAACATTTATTTTGTTTTTGTTTATGACTAATCAAATCACATGACAATTTTCACAATATTTAGTTGGCACTAAACTCTCGTAAAGGGCTGTTCATTTCAAGAAAATCGAGCCGACCCGAACCGTTATATTGGATCGGTTCGAAAACGGGATAGTTTTTTTTAAATCACTAATGGTTCGGTTCAAGTCAAACTTCAGATCTGACCCGAATTAATCTGAAATGAACCGTTTCATTTCATGATGATGTCATCAAAAGCAACGATGATGTCATCACGCCAGCGCCGGTCACCGGTTATCGGAAAATTTAATTTGCCGGTGACATTGCCAGAATTCTCGCTGGAAAATTTTACCGGTAGTGGTCCACGATGGTCGGTGGTCAATGACGATACTATTTAAATTTATTTTTTTGGGTTAATTCGGTTCAGTTTGGATATTCACTTGACCCAAACCGATCCTAACCATTCCACATTTTAAAATTATTGATCCAAACTGAAAATAAAATTCGGGATCAGTTTCAGGTCGGTTCGGTTCGGGTCATCAGTTCGACATGAACCGTAATTCAAAATGACCAGCCTACTTGTAATTTACTATTCTCTTTTTGGATATTCCATACAAAATGGAAGAAAAATATAATGGGCAAAAGAAGTTTGTGAATAAGGTTTTGGACTTTGGAGTTAGTGGGAGACATAAAATGACAAATATGATATTGAAATTGAAAATCCACCAAAGTATGAATGACAAGTCAGAACTTAGAACTCTACTACTACCCTTTTTGACTATGTATACAAGATCTCCATAACCACAAGCATCGCTTTTGTGTGGTGTTGGAATAGAAGAGTTGAACAATTGTAATTAGTCATATACAAAAACACAACAACAATTATAAAGTCTAAACTAGTTATATTGCTAACAACTCGTTCTCTTTGTTTTTGAGAACGATCAAGTAATCTAAGATTCTATTTAGGACAAATATCACACACACAGACACACACACACACACATATATATATATATATTTGTATTTCACTTACTTTTTTGTTGTTTGTGTTAATATATAATTGACATTCTTCTTTTTTCCTTTGATATTGAGTTAAATGACAATGGAAGTGAAGGCTTTGTGCCATGGATATACAAGGTTTGAAGTCTCTACATTCATCAGACATTACAAAAAGTTAGTATATGGAGATCCATCTACAATGACGGTTTTGGACCAAATGTACTATCTATGTATACGTTCTAAATATTCAAGTTTCGAGTGGTGATTATGGAGAAAATAGGAACTACCATTTTAAGGAATTTCCACATTTTTGTAAAAAAAAAAAAATCATTTCTCAATAACATATTTGAGTTACCCTTTTTTAGATGCGAAAAACCCAATAAGAAAAAAAGTTAGGGTTATATTTTAATTTTATATTAATTCGCATAAAAATAAGATTGGATAAGGAATACCCAATAAGCAAAAGGCACTGGACAGAACATCCACGCAAGCGCCAGATAAGAAGCCCTTTATAAAAAGCCCATCCATATCCAAAGGATGGCGAAGAAAATGAAAATGTAGTGAAAAATGGATTAAGAAAACAGAAATTAATTCCATATAATCCGACAATCCGATTTCCACCAAAACTATAAAGCCGTTAACAGAGTGAATTAAATTCACTCTCGAGTTCTCACCTCTCCACCGTGAATGAACTTACAGCTCCAAAACGATGTCGTCGTCTTACATTGCATGCATTCTCCGGCGAAGATTTCACCGTCAGCCTACAACTAGCTGCAGACTACTGTCGACGGCGACGCCGAAGTTGAAGAATGAGAAGAACCGCAGAATTGAGAAGATACTCATAGCTAACAGGGGTGAGATCGCATGTAGGATCATGAAAACCGCGAAACGATTAGGCATACGAACTGTTGCCGTTTACAGCGATGCCGATAAGGGTAGTTTGCACGTGAAGTCCGCCGACGAAGCCGTTCGTATCGGTCCACCGCCGGCTCGGCTCAGCTACCTCAACGCTTCCTCGATCATTGAAGCTGCCACCAAAACTGGCGCTCAGGTAAAAAAAAAAAAGACGTTTGAAGTGTAGAAATGCTTGAAACTTTGATGCTTTTGAAGGAAATGGAAGTATTATAGTATTGTTCATTTCAAATATTTTTCTGTTGGAGGATTTTAATTTGGATATTGAGATAAACTAGGATCATGTGAAGAAAGAATGATGGAAGCAGTCACGATTACTAATGCTTATAACAAGATAACAATGACACAGATAATAAGTTAACATATTTTACATTGGAAATTGTTCTGAAAACTAGAATCTTCTTTTGATGATTAGGCTATCCACCCAGGTTATGGTTTCTTATCAGAAAGTGCTGACTTTGCTCAACATTGTGAAGACGAGGGTTTCACTTTTATTGGACCTCCTGCATCTGCGATTCGAGACATGGGGGATAAAAGGTACAATCAGAAGTAACCCTGGTGTCTTCACCCATAGATGCCTAACTAATGACATGTAGATGCATAGGCAATGGAGAATTTCAAGGCGCATTTAACTGCCTTATTGCAATTGTAAAGGAGGTTTCGTTAATTATGGGAGGAGTTTGCAAGTAGTTCGGACACATTTTAAACGTTATTCAAATCTCGGTCTTGGATTTAAGATTGAATGTACGTTGGGCAGGCTTCATTGGAAAATTAATTGAGATCAAAACGGTCAATACTGCGCACGTACTGATTTATATGTTTGGCTTATAGCTTGATGCATGCCGAATACTAGCCTCAGTTTACATCATATGTTGCTCCAAGTGTTTCTCTTGTTTTCCAAATGTAATTAACAGTAATCGCTGATCTGGTATTTGGTTCACACGGCTTACTTGTCTGCACTGTCTGGCAATTGTAATATTTGTTTATGAATGAAAACTAGTATGCTGGTCATCAACATATTCCTAATGACATGCTTTGAAAAAGACTATTGTACCCTTTTCAGTTTCCTGATTTAGTATGGCTTCACCAATAGCCTGTTGTTTTCTATCACCTTATTCTTCTAAAACAGCTACACAATCTCTGTATTCCTGTCTTTCCATTTTCTTCAATGTGAAAGGGAATCAGTTTTAATTATACTGTCACATGCAAAGATTGTCATTCTTTTATGCTTTGTGAATTAGTGCTTCAAAGAGAATAATGGGTGCTGCTGGTGTTCCCCTTGTGCCTGGATACCATGGTCAAGAACAAGATATTGACCTTATGAAGTTAGAAGCAGAGAAGATAGGATATCCTGTTATAATAAAGCCCACACACGGTGGTGGAGGAAAGGTGAGTTTTGTTAGATAATATTTAACTTAACATAAGGAAACTAGTGTAAGATGGTGACAAAAATGCCCTGAAATATTTAGGAATGAACCTCTTAATTTTGTTTAAGAAAGATGTTCTCATGCCTGCTTGTTCTGCTTTCTTACTTACAGGGTATGAGGATTGTACAGAAGCCTAATGAATTTGTGGACTCATTCCTGGGAGCACAACGTGAAGCTGCAGCTTCATTTGGCAATGATGCCATATTACTTGAGAAATACATTACAAAGCCCAGACATATAGAAGTTCAGGTACTTGCCTTTTACTTACCTCATACGATTAATCATTTTAACCTGTCTGTGGATTTACTTGCTGTTTTTGGTTTCGTTTTGAGAGACTCACGCTCATCATGTTTGTTTGTTTCATCCCACTCTCTGAATTAAACGTGGCTTGGACGGTAGAGAGTTTGCTAGGAGGAGATAGTTGAGTTTGTGCACACACTAGAGCCATCATTAAAGCTGATTTATTCGTTATTTTACATAATCATATTGTGAAATCTTAAATTTTGTAGATTTTCGGGGACAAACTTGGTGATGTTATTTACCTCTATGAGAGAGACTGCAGTGTTCAGAGAAGGCACCAAAAGATTATAGAAGAAGCTCCTGCAGTAATTCTCATTCCCATCCATGTTCTTTCAATTCCTTTCATCTGTTTGTTTTCTAATATGTCGATATAATTTTCTACATGCAGCCAAACATCAGTAGTGATTTCCGTTCTCACTTGGGTCAAGCAGCTGTAGCTGCTGCCAAGGTAATGTGCATCTTTGCTGTATGATGTCTTGGATGGTTGGATTTACTGAATGTCTGAGTAGGTTCCTAGAGAAATGTATAAATTGTTTTCTGCTAAAGGAAGCTACAGATCTGTTCCAATATTTGTATTGCAACCTTATTATAACTCTTGTTGCCATGGAGGGGTAAAATGCGGGGAAATGGAAAATTATGGTAGGGAGTGAACATTCTTATTCAGGACCGTAACTTATCTTTGCTTTTATATACGTTTTGAACAAGAGAATGATGTAGTTGGAAGAAGAAATTGATTAGAAAAGTGCAGTTTGAAACTCATTGGTCTTATGGGATAGTGGTGGTGTTTTTTTTTTTTTTTCTCTCTATTTTTCATTTTTTGATAAAATAAAAATGAGAAGGATTTTCTTGTTGGTCCAATTCATACCAGTTACATCGCTTGTATGTCTCTTTCCTATTTTACCGCTTCTATATCATTGATATTAACCTTATGCCTTCTTTTAACTTTGAAGGCAGTTAATTATTACAATGCCGGAACAGTGGAGTTTATAGTTGACACCCTTACAGGAGAATTTTACTTTATGGAGATGAACACCCGTCTTCAGGTGGATAATCATTCAGTCACTTACAGTGCTGTTTCCTGTTCATTGACTTACAAATGATCACAATGCCTCTTTTCTCATCAGGTGGAACATCCTGTTACAGAGATGGTTGTGAGACAAGACCTCGTTGAATGGCAAATACGTGTGGCAAATGGAGAACCACTTCCGATTGGCCAATTACAAGTTCCCCTTGCAGGTTGCTATTTTTTAAAATTAATACTTTCAATCTGAGGTTTACTATCTCCTGTATTTATGATTCACTATAACTTGTTATCAGGAAAACTGGAAGCTTTTACCTCTCTGGAAGCTTTTACCTCTCTTTTATCATATGATCGTATTCTAGATACTCCATTTACGGGGTCAAGCATAATAATATTAAGCTTGTACCTCTCCTTTATCATATGATCGTATACTAGATACTCCATTTACGAGTCAAGCATAATAATATTATGAAATGCTCCATCCTATTAAATTCAGTTATTCACTTCCCTCAGGGACAAGTGAGGAACTCTGATTTCATTAAAGTACGATAAGACTATATTTACTGAAATATGCTTCATCCAGCATTTTTTGGTAAATCTGACATTTAAAAGAATTACTCAGTAGCTTTTCACTCTGTTTATGGCCTGGAAAAGTTACTTTTAGTATTTGATCTGCAAGAAATTTTGGGCTGCTAAAGTAAGTTGTCAAAAGATTAGTTCCATCACCCATTGTTCTTCAGTTAAGGAAATTGAATTCTGATAGTTCTCTTCATACTGCAGGTTGACATAACTATCTTTTCAAATTCTATTCAAGTGTACTGAAGTTCTACTGAGATATTCATTACTTTGTCACAGAACTGAAAAACAGGATGTCATTGATCTTTTTTAGTTTCAATTTTATGTCAGGTCATGCTTTTGAAGCTCGTATATATGCCGAAAATGTTCCAAAAGGATTTCTTCCTGCAACCGGGGTTCTACATCATTATAGGCCTGTTCAAGTTTCACCAGAAGGTGCGGTGACATGACATTTTCTAGGATAGAAAGTGTATGGATTTACATATAAAGGGCTTTTGGTCTCCATGAAGAGAATGTTTTTGTCTAATCTACCATATAAAGCTTTTTGCTTGTAAATATTAGTAAGGTGGGGAAGCTCTGAGGTCTGTGCTTGTGGAGTTCTAGTTACACTTACACACTCTAGTTTTTGTTAATACTCATTTCACTTTGTGCTCATGTCTAGATACGTTTTTGCAGTCCGAGTTGAAACCGGTGTTGAGCAAGGGGATACTGTGTCTGTTCACTATGATCCTATGATTGCGAAACTTGTTGTATGGGGAGAAGATCGTGATTCTGCTCTAATCAAAATGAAGGATTGCTTGTCTAAGTTTCAGGTATATCAAACATGGCAAATAATTGAATGCGCTTTTATATCAAAGTTTGAAGTTTGGTACTCAGCTCTATTCTACAAGAAAGGCACTCTTCAGGCCAAACTGGAGAGGCAATGGGGCCAACATTGAGCATGCTTCTAAGTTGGATTGTTGATCAAACAAATACCCTTCTTAACTCTCCAAGATATATTCTGCCTCCACTAGTCTGACATTGGCTGGCAGATGTTTCGGTTTTTATGTCGACCTGCTTTATTCGAAACTTTCCCTCAAAAAGTTGACCTGATTTATTCGGTTTTTCCATTTTCGTGTTCACAAAAATTTTCTTTCTTTAATCAATTACCCACATTGCTCCTGTTTCCATGTTTGTAGTTTCTTTAAAAGATGGATATTGACTACAGTTAATAGAGTCCCCTGTAACTTAATTAAGAGAGTATTTCATCCCACTGGGATATGGTTGTTCCATCTATGTATTATTCGCTTTACATGTGCAATGTAGGCAATGACTGTAATTGCAGGTTACAATCTTGTTGACACGACTTGATTTCTTTTTCAGTGATCTGTATTAATCTTCGCTTATAAGATCTCTTTGATATTGCAGGTAGCAGGTTTGCCTACTAATATTGATTTTCTCTCACAACTTGCAAATCACGAGGCTTTCAGAAATGGTCTTCTTGAAACCCATTTCATTGAGCATCACAAAGATGATCTATTCCTTGATCCAAGCAATTCTACATTAGCACAAGAAGCATATAACACTGCGGTACAGAGTGCATCTATTCTAGCTGCTTGTATTTCTCAAAGGGATTATGCTTCAGCAGAAAAGAGTACTCCTGGTAAGTTTTTGGCGTCCCACCATCCATTGTTGATTTAGTTTAGACTGCACCCTCTAAGTACTCCCCTTACTTGTTCTGGGCAGGGAAACTCTCTGTATGGTATTCTTATCCTCCTTTCAGAATGCATCATTTTTCCCGGCAGATGATGGAATTGGAATGGGATGATGAATACAGCCGAATTACAAAGTTAATAAAGGTTTTCATCACTTATAAGCCAGATGGAAAGTATGTCATTGAGGTAACTGCTATTTGAAAAAGCAGGTCTGAATTCACAACTAGTTGACATTGGCCTGATCTACAGCATTTGTAATGTAATTGCAGACCGAGGGTAGCGAGCTGCCTGGACTTGAGATTGAGGTAGTGGACTTGGGCAGCTGCAATTACAGAGTTGAAGTTAGTGGCGCAAGCACAAAAGTTAATGTTGCTGTTTATTCAAAGGTAAAAGTCACACATTATGCGCAACTTCAGTTGATTATTTTCTAAGTTTTCCGATATGAGGGCAGATGATTTGGTGACTGCATCTCAAAAGATAAACATTGCTTTGAGTCCACATCCGCGAATTTTGACAAATTTTTGACTCACTGATCTGTCAGATTCTGAGTTCAAATGATCTTGGCGACTGGAATATGTACCTAAAATCCAAAAAGAAAAGATTTTTTATTTTTTTTTAAAAAAAAGAAAGTTGATAAATACAAGAAACTTAGGGAAGGATATTCAATTGATTCTCTAAGTACTGGTGTCATGAGTGTGCTCTTATGAATTAGAATGTATTTCTTGCTGGTACTTGTAGGATGGAAGTGAGTACTTTCACATATGGCATAGTACACATCATCATCAATTTAAACGGAATAAGAGAATTGTCCTCTCCGAGGATGATGACAAACCACACAAGCCTGCCAAGGAAATGACATCTCATCCTCCTGGAGCTGTCGTTGCCCCCATGGCCGGCTTGGTGGTTAAAGTTTTAGTGAAGGAAGGGGACAAAGTAGAGGAAAGGCAACCAATAATTGTATTAGAAGCAATGAAGATGGAGGTATGACTCAGGCTGACTTGTAACTTCTTTCTTCCACTTCATTTATCCAACTTCTTCATGTTCTCTTGTTTGATTTTAAATATTTTTCTTTTCTTGACCTCCGAAATATAGCATGTTGTGAAGGCACCAACTGGTGGTTATGTTAGTGGTCTTAAGTTCACCCCTGGCCAACAGGTTTTCGATGGAAATGCTCTCTTCACTATCAAGGTTAATCGAAGTGTTGTTTAGGTTTTGTGCAACTTTATGTCCAACTATAGAAAGTCATGGCAACATTCCTGGATCTAACGCATGATCTTTCTGGAATGCTTGTTCAACAGAATGGATGAATATTGCTGACATAAGCGTGCTAACTTGGAAGTCGTTGGAAAAACTGTGGATACGTTTCAGTGGAAAGACAGACAACTGATAGCACAATGGCGAACCAAAGCACCTTCAGAACTTTGGTGCTCTTTAGCTTTGTACAGCTCTCGTCAAATGTAAAGTAGATGGATGGTTGGATCCCCTCCCCTTGTGTCGGGTTAAACCACTTCACTGTAACAAATCTGGAAATAACTTTTCTCTACTCGATAGTTTAAGTCAATATCAGCCAAACTAACAATTCTCTGCATAGAAGACATCGATGGATACATAATTTGGAACTCTATATACATAAAACTTTCTTCATGGGACTGTGAGAGGTAATATCATTCCATCATATACATGCAACCAACTCTTAATTCCAAAAGGAACTAATATTTCAACAAGAAACTTGCAGACTGGTCACTAACTTCAGATCGTTCTTCATTTGAATATCATCGCTGCATCATGTCAAGAAGTCCCTTTTCAGACGAAAGTACAAATCATATATGTACCAAGCACTAAAAAATGTGATGCTAGGGCTTATTTATCATCATATCAAAGTTGTTTCAATTTTCACTACTCAGCAGGCAAAGTGGGCTTCTCGTTACCAACATAATTCCTTTCCTGGAGAGGCTCCAGGGAATCTACGATGTCTCGCATTGATGGTCGTGCTTTTGGGTCAGGATTTAGGCAATTATGAGCTAACACGGCAACCTTGTGAACATCTTTTATGGGATAATCCCCTTCTAGTTTTGGATCCACAATGCCAAGCAGTTTTTTCTTGTCTCGAAGCAAGGGCATTACCCAAGTGACCAGATTCTGCTCCCTAGGTTTTCTATTTTTATTCAATGACCTTTTCCCAGTGAGAAGTTCCAGAAGAACGACACCGTAGCTGTAGATATCACTTTTAGAAGTCAAACGACCTAGAACCCAAAATAGACAAAAGAAACGGTATGAGCATCAAAAGAATGCAATGACCACAGCTGCAATATATAGAGGTAATATGCTGAATAAAAACCAAACTTTGATGACATTGAGACGCCAAATGGACTTCTTTAGATGGAAAGAACAACGAGCAATTTAAGCTACTTTTCTTTTTCAAATTGCTAATCCGCCAGCGAAAACTGATAATTACCTGTTGCAACATATTCTGGTGCAGCGTAACCGTATGTCCCCATAATGCGAGTCGAAACATGCGTTTGTTCACCAATTGGTCCGTCTTTTGCTAGACCAAAATCAGAAAGTTTTGCATTGTAATCCTGTTGACACAGATTCACAAACTTACAGTGGTCATGCAATGCTTCTGCGAAAGCTGAATGGTCTTTGTATCGATTCCAGAATATATATGAGAGGGCATTTTAGTTACCTACCAAATCTAAGAGAATATTAGATGTTTTAAAATCACGGAAGATGACGGGCCTATCGAGTTCATGCAGGTATTGCAGTCCTTTTGCAGCGTCAAATGCAATCTTCATCCTAATTGACCAAGAAAGAGGATGCAAGGCTCCTGCACCAGCAGAAAAGTTTCTACAGGGATGAAGTATGCAATATTCGAAGAAGTAATGACACCTTATGGAAAACTTCAAAGTTCAATGATGCAGGTAAGTAACTGAACAAAGCTGCCCGATTACCACCAGTGACTGTACCAAACATTTCAACGGAAAACTTGGTGCTAATACAAAACCATGGCTCATGGTTTTAGTTATTATCATAATATGTTGGAATCAGGCTTCGCTTAGAATCAGGGTAAATCAGGCTGAGTTTTATTAAGACTCCTTTATAAACCTTCGCCCTGTTTTTAAGTTAACTTAATCACTGGAACAAGATAAAAAGTGCACTTTAAAGGCAACAAATGTGGAGGGTGATGACTCACAATCTACTATTGAGTCTGAAGTTCGTATTCAATATATTTGCTTTGTCTTTAGTTTTTTTATGGTTTCATGGAAACATAGTACTTACTTGAGAAAAGGTCATTTTCCACACTGCCCCCAGCCATATACTCATAAACTAGCAGCCTGTGCTCATCTTCGCAACAGTATCCAATCAGTTTCACTAAATTCGGATGAGAAAGCTGGCCCAAGAATATGACTTCAGCCTGAGAATCATAAATCAGCCATCAGTAGTTTGAAAGGCTATGCAAGTAGTGACATTTGTAACATCACTTGGAAAGTTTTGAAGACTTACCAGCCATTCTCTGTGACCTTGAAAACTATGGTTGCCATCATGTCTTTTAATGGCTACTGGCATTGGCTGAAGCCCTCTCTTAACATCTTCGGATAAGAAGCCCTTGAACACACTCCCAAATCCACCTGCACCTAGACGCTGATCTGGTCTAAAGCCATTGGAAATGGCCCTTAGCTCTTCCAAGGTGAATACAGTCAGAGGATTAGCAGCTACATTATGACGAAAATGTTCTACTTCCTGGGCAGAGGGTAATTTACTTTCATCCTTCCTCCCACTTTTCAATGGACCACGCTTTGTAGAGTCTGAAGACCAGCATAAAAGGGCCAAATTAGTCATCAGTATATGATTCAGTTTTCAAAACAAAGTCCAATAGCTTAATAGTGAGCATTCTAGTTCAACACAGCAATTTAACAGTGCTCATGATATCCTCATTTGAGAATTGAAGATGAAATGTTCATCAAATATGTATCCACAGAGACAAAAAAAAAAAGAAAAAAAAGAAAAAAAAAGAGAGAATAAAATTGCAACACCAAACCGATTCTCCTGATCAGCTTACCTCGGTTCCAAACTGCTTTCCACGGCCAGGCTAATAATGATTTCCGAAGTCTAGTGGTCTCTTTTCCTCTTTGATGCAAATCTTCTCCCCTAGTCATCGGGGCAAGATTCTGAGTTAGTTTTCTTGAGTTTTCTTCAGCAGGTGGAGATTCTGGAGATATGACACTCCTCTCCAAACTCTTGGTTTTTGGAGTATGTAAATGAAATGAATGCATATTTTCATCCTCTACTCTGGAATACAACAGAGAAGAACTCATATGGCTTTGATGATTCTCCAGTGCCTGCTCCAGACTTGACACAACTTGAGCCATTGTAGGTCGTCTCTTTGGCAGCTGGTGCAAGCAATTTTCAACAATTTTCACGAAGTCTCTGAGGCTTCTTGATGAAATTTCCCCCTGTAATCTGGGATCAACTATCCTACTAAGATCATCATTGGCCACACATTCTTGGAAGCAAGACAGAAGACTTGGTTCCGTTAAATTTTGAGCATCCAATGCAGGTTTCCCCGACAAAACTACCAACATCACAATCCCAAAGGAATACACGTCAGTTTTTCTTGTCAATCTCTGAGATGTAAAATAGTCAGGATCCAAATAACCCACTGTTCCTTTAACTTTTGTGCTCACGTAACTCTTAGACTCTGAAATTTCTTCAAGTCTAGATAGCCCGAAATCTGAAATCTTAGCCACAAAATTCTCATCCAACAGGATGTTTGTATCCTTGATGTCACGGTGTATGACTCCATATGCACTGCTAGTGTGGAGGTATTCCAATCCACGAGCAGCACCAATGCAGATTTTAAGCCTTTGCTCCCAACTAAGATGAGGACAATCCTTGCCCTTTCTTGCAAACTTGTAAAGATTTTCAGCCAGTGTGCCACCTGAAATGTGCTCGTATACAAGAATCATTTCCATACTCTCATTACAATAACCTATCAAGGAGACCAGCTGAATGTGCCGGAGCTTTGTAAGTGTTTCAATTTCAGTCCAAAACTCGCGTGCTCCTTGCTTGGAATAAAAATTAAGTCTTTTTATAGCAACCATATCTGGAACCCCAGGAAGGAAACCCTTATAAACTTTACCAAATCCACCTTTTCCAATGACAAACGCTTCGCTAAAGTTTTGTGTAGCTAATTTAATCTCAGCAAGGGAGAAGCAATGGCAAGATAGTTCAGCCGTAGTTGATTCTGCACTTTTTCCATCATGGCAATTCTCTTCCGAAATCTTCCTCAAGTTATAGATTATGATGCTGAACAACATAATGAGGAGTGTCATAGCCGTCCCAATATCATTACTTTGGCCAAAAGCTAGATAAGAATATTCACTTTTAAGGTTCCAAGAGGTTGAGAACCCTTTCGGAAAGACAGCATCTGGAGCTGCTAAATTGCTTTCAGGGTCACTCAACTTGAAGATTTCCATTCCATTAAGGAGACCAAAAGCTAACTCATCAATTGATTGTAGGCAAATTATAAGATCAGACTTGCTGGCTTCTCTATCTCGGTCCATTAATACCACATAGTCCCTGAACACAGGGATCCCTACATCACCACTCCATCTAAAGATATCTGCATTCTTTTCTGCAATCTGATTATTTATGATAACACTGAACTCCCTTGCCTCTCCATCAGCCATCCTGTAGTCTAGCTCACAGAAATGAAGCCTAACAAGATATAAAAATCCTAATTCAATCGGTACTTTCCACGTGAAATTATGATCCATCTGGCTCACATCCGTGTCTATTTTCCAGGATGTGTGGTAAATCTTCGAAGGTGCAAGAAATGCTTGAATGGTTTTAGACTTAACCGGAAGTACCAGATTACGCACTTGACGAGCTCTAGGTTCTAGCAAGTAACTAGAATCCTCATTCCACTGGCGATACATTCCTAAATCCTCAATTGAGTTTATAGAGTTCCCTCCAATATTTAACCTATGTATCAATTCAAGAGCAGTGCTATTATCGATAAGGTAAAATCGATTTCTTAGGCCAACAATTCGGACTCCTAACTCGTGCTCAGGAGTATAATACAGACCAGTTGGTATGGAGATGATCTCAATACCATTCACAAAAGCATATGTTTTCCCCTTCTTTGGCTTCTCAATCAAAGAAGGGGAAAACGTAATAGTCAATTCTTGATGTTCTTCATCTACGTTCAAACAGAATTCTTTAACAATGTAATTTACACCAAAAGTACGGGCAGCAATTGAAGCACTATAGTCTCTAAGGAGGGTAAATGGACCAGCTTTAACACTGAAATAGTCTATTGATTTCTCAAAACCATGGTAGGAAGCAGGATAAAAATGTAACCGGATGATTTTCTGACCTGGGATGACTGCAAATGTATATTTGAACTTACTGCCGGAAATTCTTGAAGTCTTATAAGGAACATCATCAGGGGCGGCGCCAGGGAAAGAAGTTCCGGCACTTACAGAGCTTCTCGAGTCGCCTGATACGAATTCCTGCAGGGCTGATTCACCGACCCATTCACGGCCATCAGCTGAAGTTGAGTTGGCAACAGAGCCACAGTTGATCGCCACCTCACTGATCAAACCTCCACCGCCGCCGCCGCCGCTACTGGCCCCGCCGATGCCATTTTCAACAATTTTCCGGAAACCCAGCTGAGAACCTACAAAAACTCCTAAACCAAAGAAGATTAAAATCAAGGTTCCCACCAGAAGCTTGTTCATGATGTACATCGTTCGACATCAGCCTGGTAAAGTTTCTTCCTTTCTATACTACGATTAATCATATGAACTCAACTAGTTAATTCCGTTGAAAGCAATTCAAGAGTCGTTCTTTCAGGTCAAATAAACCCGGAATTAAGAATTGGACGCAATCTTTTCTAGTTATCTATTCCCTTACTACTATTATGCATGAAAGTGAGGAATTGAGTGGTCCAAATGGGACGGATTTGGTGGAAGTTGACTTTTACTCGATTTTGGTTGACCTGCCGATCTCGTGTTCATATTACTCCTACTACAATTAATAAATAAAAATAATTTATGCATTTGTGAGTTCGCAAGTAGGGATCGGTATGTTGAAAATAAGATATGTATACCAGAGACAAATTTTGCTACTAATTATGCGACAGTTTTAAGAACCATGTACCCGGTAGATTTTTGAATTGGATTGACAATCTACCGGTAAAATCGTGATTGGAGCACGGCTAGATTTTCGTGTTGATTGGATTGGAGTATTTCGTTTTTTTAATGTGTGTTTTTAGGTGTTTTTTTGTATTGAAAATATAAAAAAATGTATTAAAATGTAAAAATGTATGTTGGAATAGAAGAGTTATTATTTTAATATTTTGAAAATACTATCAAAAAAATCTAACCAACAAAGAAATTTTAAGACGGAATTGTAAGGATATTGGACAATGCTTGCTGTGGAGAAAACAGAGGGGATGATATGATCGACATTGATGAAGCCTGTGAAGAATGACCAGTTCACAAGAGAGGGAGTGAAACAAAGGAGTACTTTTAATCTTTTATGCTCACCTAGACCGGTTCATTGCGTGGGATATAATTACTCACCAAGGCCGGTTCATTGCGTCGGGATCGTCGACCTTCTATGCTCTATCAGCTGAAGATACAGAGACAAGGGCTTGTCTCGGAGGTCTTCAAGCTGCTCTCGGCTTGGGCCTAACAGATTGTCAGGTACAGTCGGATTGCCAGAACGTTGTTGACTACGTCAATGGGAGGAAGGCATGTCCTGTAGCCATTTGCTCTTTAGTATTATAAATTAAAAGGGTACTAGAGTCCTCTACTACAGATTGTAGTGTCATTAATGTTCCGAGAGAAATAGTAAAGAGTCGGTATAGGTTAGCAAAAGCGACCCTTCATCAGAATCACCCTGTGTAACACTGTTATTTTAATTTAAGCAAGATGTTTTACTCAAAAAAAAAAGGAGTACTTTCGTAATTACTGGGCTGTAAAAATATCAAAAAAGGAGGAAATTGCTGGCTGGCCAGAATAAGCCTAGACATTGGATCTGCTCTCCTTTTGATTTTATATTGTTATTGCTCTGAATAATGCATATGTTAACAAAAGGGCAAGTGATAAACTGAGAGCAAGTTTGTTATATTAAGAGCAAACTTTTTGCAAATATCTATATTACCCTTGTTTTAAGTTTTAATGCATTTGCCATATGTGTTTTCTTTTCTTTTAAAAAATCTTCTTACTGATTGTTGAATTATAAGTTCTCTCACCATAGAGATTATTAATATTATAAGAAAAAAGTCAAATTAAGATTTAATATAAATTAGAATCAACAATTTCGTAGAGGAGTTGCTAAATTACATTTTGATGCAAATTATTAGTTGTGAACATAAATTTGGAATAGACTATTTTTGAGGTGTGTGAGATTGCCTTTTTTTTTTTTTTTTTTCTTTCTGGGGGGTGAGACTATTTTTTTTTAATGTTAAAAAGGATGGCAAAAAATAAAATAAAATAAAATCCAAAGAAGTTTGTATTAGTTTTACTTTGCTTTTATATGACAGTGTTTTTTTTTATTAAAAGCTAAATAAATTCTCGGGCAATTTTCAACGTCATTTTAAATACTTTTTTCATAAGAACTCGAATTTTTTTTTTCTTACAAAAGAAAACTCGAATGGAAATCTTGGCATAACACAATTATGGGTGGGGGAGGGGGGGGGGGAGGCAACGTAATTTAATCATTTGAACACAAAAACGTGATGAACTTGTTGTAATATTGTAGGTAAGCCAATAAATATTACTTAGGAAGATTAAAGAAGACAAATATGTGAAATACGTTAAAATAATGAAGAAGGGTAACTTAGGTATTTAAAAAAATTTGCTATCTATTTAACAAAGTTGCTCTTAATTTATCAATTGCCTAACAAAGGTACTAAAACTGGTAGATTGGTCAATGCTCTTTCTCTAGTAAACACATGCGGAGCAATAACATTTAATTATCTTCCATTAATTAATATTTTAGATCAAATTTCAAACGAACAATATAAATGGGGTTATGGAAAGAAAGGGTTTATTCTGGAAAAATTAATACTGTAAATCCTGAAAACAATACAAGAAGGTAACATTAATAAATATTAATTTTTTTCAATATGTACCGTAAAAATCCTTTAAATTAATAAACTTTCTTAAATAATAAATATTCTCAGTCCTTAGTTAAAATAATTAATATTTATAAAATCCTTATATATAAATAAAGTATCCGTCGATTTAATAAATTAACTAGATGCTTGGCCCGGACAGATGTCCGAGCGCCCCCTCTAAATTACTATTTTATTAAAATCTAATTGAATTACTATTTTTTGAGAAATTAATTTGACGTATATATCATTTATGCTATGGTTTGGGGCTTAAAAAAACATACCTATAAATCTGAGGTTATAAGAGAATAATAAATAATTAGTTTATAAGGCATTATTCTTAATTGTTGGATTTAGGTATTTTTATTTTTTGTTTATATTAAGCCTGCAAAACTATACGATTGGACATTTGAATTTGAATTAATATATCCATTCATTTAAAATGTAACTAATCCTTATTTGTAGTAAAACATGTGTTTTATTTAAAAAAAAAATTATATAGCTTCTAATTAAAAGAGACTTACACGTGGCAAAAAGATTTCTGAAATATGTAATATGGTGCATTGGAGCCAAAATAGATGCATACGTAGTTGCCACATAAGTTTCATGTCTTCTGCTTTAATAGGGTAAAAGGGATAATTACCTAAAATATCAAGATAATATAACATAATTATGTTTCCTTCTATTGTGTCGTTAAAGTATTCTGTCTAATTATTAATTATTTTTGAATGTTTATACTAATTTAATTTGCACATAACTTGCACAGATTTTTTTTGTTTATCACATATAAAGCGATAAAATTAAATTTGTTTCTCGTCTTACATAAAAATTTTCTCAATCTCTCCTTATTTGTTTTCTCACATACAAAACTATGCAATTCACGTGCAATCATGTGTAAGTGAGTTAACATAAAGGTTAGGAAATTAGTAACTATTTCCTAAAACATTTTCACATAGTACAAATGAATGAGATAATCTATTTTTTCACCTATAACGTGTAAAAAATTTAATCACTTACTGTACGAGGAATTGATTAATTCATTTACAATATGTATACTGTAAATTTAATTACTTTACAAAAATTTACTTGTCTCTTCCCTTGGCTTGTCGCTGTCCATTCAAGTAAAACCAAATTCACGTTGATAAATTTATAAGTTGTTCTTCTCACGAACGGTAAAGCATTTATATCATTGAATGATGAAAATTCCAAGTCCGCAATTGCCCGTCCATCTTTGAGCTATTCTCAAATCAATAAAAAAAAAAAAAAAAGGAAAAATTTGACATAAGGACAATAGAGGAGATTAAATTTATAAAGATGGTAGAACCTTTTTTATTCCCTTTTTTTTTACTGCTTCTGTAAAAAAAAAAATTATATTGAATTTTGAAATTTGTACTAAAAATACTCATCCTCTTGAGGCGGATATTCCATGCTTGCATTACAATAACCTATTCAGGAGACTAGTTGAACGTGCTGGAGCTTTGTAAGTGTCTGAATTTCACTCCCAAAGAGGAGGTTCCGGTAGGATCGGCAGAGAAAACAGAGCTGATCTGGTGCCGGATTCCACAACTTGCAGTCCGGTGAAGCCGCAATCCCGTTATTGCAGCCCACAGGCTGGACACAAAAGCCAAACCTCCGGCAGAATTCATTGGTCACCAGGCACAGTCTCGTGCTGGTCTTCCATTCCTCCACCTCTGAAGTCCTTTGCCAGTAGTTCTGATATGGCGCAGTCGTAATGAGCAAAATTGCATACCATTGCAATTAACACTACGGCGCCATGCAGTCTGGACGATCAGGTACACCAAGTATGCTATAACATACTCCGCTCCTTCCTGGCAGTAAATTCACACCAGTCTCGCCGTGGAAACAAATAACATACTTCCCAACACCACGTTGATGTGAACAATTGAGATAAGATCGAAACCCGCGCACTTTAGCCTTGCATCTACAAGGACTGAATTGAAGGCTGTGATACTAGCAAGGCAAAAAAACTCATATTATGCATACATATACCAATGGGAACCTCTCGCCATTGTCATGAAAATTACTACTGGAATCTGTACATAATCGTTCTATATAATACACACACACACACACACACACACACACACACACACAAGTTTGCGGTATACTTCCGTGAAAGACTCTGTTTTAAACAGAAACCTCCAAGAATCATTTGATTAATTTTTTCTATTCTTAAAATCCCCGAAATACTAGTTAGTTCGAGTAAAGCGAGAAACATAAAAATTTTACATATTCTCGGAAAAAAAATTCAAATTAAACAAGTGACATCTGATTGTTGTAAGTTAAAACCTTATTTAGCTTAATCATAAACGATTGTGATGCGAAATCGTTTGGCGGTCCTATAGTTTTTTGAATTTCTTTTTCCAGTGAACAAATACCCTGAAATAATCAAGCTCTGGAGTTGGTTGAGACCCTTTCATCAGGGTTTAGCAAATTTGTACCATTTGTACCTTTTCTATGTTACCCTGAAAAATAACCGAATGGGAATTTACCAAACTATTGATCATAAAGTAATAAAAGATCAGTGAAAAGATTATTTTTGTAAACAATTTGATAAAATACTCCCTCAGGTCCTTAATATAAGTCATTTTAATTTGTCTTAAATTTCACCTAATACGCATTTTTATTTAAAAAAAATCTTAAAAATATTTTCTAACAATCAAGAGAGTACAATGAATGTGAAAATATATTTTTAAGGATTTATGTTTAACTAAAAATGCATGCTAGGTGAAACTTATGACAAATAAAAATGTCTTATATTAAGGACTCAAGGGAGTACATAGTAGGAAAACAACAATGAATGAATTGTAATAAAGTGAAAAACATAAAATTTCAAATTTTTTATCCAAAAGTTGGTCTCAGACTAGACGAAGATAGGGTGGGATGGACATAAATAGTGATATGGGATTTACAAAATCGACTTTTAGAGAAATTGAACTACGTGACTCCGGTTTATAATTAAATATCATGGTTAATTAATTTTTTTAGTAATAAATTTAATCAAAAGTTGGATTAGAGAAATCCAGTTTTCAGTATAAAAATAATATTCTGAGGAAAAATATTTTAGTGAAAGAGTTTATTTTTATTTTTTTTAAAAGGCTAGTCTGATACTGACCAAAAAAAAAAGAAAAACAAAAAAAGAAAATAGATAAATCATAATATCGGATATTGACATAAAAACAGGGAGGAAAAAAAAAAAAAAAAAACTGGATATACGACCACCCAGCAAGTTCGAACTCAGAAACTGTAGGTGTAGCATACTCATAACTATCAAACATTAATGTACGATAATTCCCGTACAAAAATTTTTAAAACTACAGCACCTAAACTTTTTATTTTAATTTTTTTTTTGGGCTGTTAACAGTTGTTAAAATTTTTCTGATTCAGACTTTCTACCCAATTGGCCAATTTCTTCACATGCATAATTAACATGCAAGTCTTTTTTATGTTCAAAACTTGGCTTATTCGCTTGAATTCATTTCTCCGGCCAATATCTCAGCGAATATGATTTTTAAAAGAAAATTTACCAATTTTTCTTAATATTTTACAATTTATTATTTTTGACCCACTATTTTAAATTTCTGGTTTCTTGAGTCAACTTTTAACTTTGGCCCACCATTATTGACACTAAAAGCAATTAGCAAAATTTGAAAGCTTGTAATTTGCCTTTGTAAATTATAAGAAGCTCGAGGTTTGTTGTGGGGAACTTTGATGGGGATTGAAACTGCTAAAAGAGTCACAGGCCCGACTTGAAGTGACTTTATATGTTCTGTGGCAACTCTGGAAAGCTAGAATATGCATGGCAGTTTGGGGAGCAAAAGGTAGAAGCAATAGAAGTGGTGCAGAAAGCTATTTCTCCAAGCCAATCAGAAAAAAGCAGGAACCTGAGAGAGAAAGGCAAGAGACTGAAGGAGTACAGGAGGCAGAAAGAACATCCATGTATGAAGCAAAAATAAGAGGAATTAAAGTAAAGTCCAATTAGATGCTAAGATTATGGTCACTTGGCTATAAGGGAACATTTCGATAATCAAGAATATTTTTCGGCTGAAATTTATATTTTGATTGTTGTAAATTTATATTTGTTACGAAAGTCTGGAACTCGGACATGTCACAAGCAAATGTACACAAAGTTGGGATAATGAGTCTCTCTTGTGGTTAGAAGAGTCGTTTAAGACGGATTGTATTAGTTCTTTGTAAATTATGACTTTAATCTTCATTCTTTAATAAGATTTTCGCTTTTGACAAAAAAATAAAAGAAAAAAGAATGGTAGTCAATTTCTTAAAACTGAAAGCACTTCAACAACCGTCAAGAACCAATACAAAAAGTCAATCAAAATTGCATAAACAATAAGAACCACAGAGCGATTAAGTTAATTTTGTTTGGTTCCAAAAAATTTTTAGGACGTACTTTTACGTTTCTCGTCCCTTTCGGACTAAGAAGTTTGTGATGTATGAAAAGTACCCAAATCAAAAAAATAAAAAATAAAAAATAAAAATAATTCAATCCATTTTTCTTCAATGACCAACAATGGAGTGGAAGATATCGTTTTAGGAAAGTTTGTAATTTATACGCAATTTCAGCCGTCCGGCTTATTGCTGAAAGTCAATATTGTGCCATATGGCATTATAGGGATTTTTTTTTTATTGACAATTGCAAATTCACAACCAAGTCATAATCATAACTGAGAAGGGCCACATACTATTACTAGACTATTTTTTATTTATTCTCTAATAAACTTTTTTTTTTTTTACTAAGACAATGTTTTCAAGAAATTACAAACTCATAGAAACTGTAATTACTAGCCGATTTTTAGTATCGTTGGCGCTGTAGAATTCAGGAACTTTTAATTTGTTATATTTCTCACTACCAAAACGGTAGAATGTTGAACATGGATACAATCAGGGCTACATAAACACGATGTGATGTAATTTAATCTCTATTTATAAGAATCTCAAAACTTGTTTTAAATATCAAATATAATATATGCTTGCTACTCTAAACTGATTATTTTATTTTTATCAAAATTATTTTTTCGTTTCTAAAATACTACTTCCGTCCTTCTAAAAAATAGTCCGTATTGAGTTTTTAAATTTACGTCTTAAAAATAGTATCAAACTCAAAACTCAATGTGAAATATTTTTGTGGGACGAAAGGAGTATAATAACTACTACTGATACTTGATAGCGTGAGAAATTACAGTTTTTTTCGTGTAAGTTCCATTGTTTTAGTACATGAAGATTTAGTTTGACTTGATTCTTCTCCTACGAGGCTGCGACGACTTCTGAGAATTGTCGTCAAATTTCTTAAAACGGAAAGCAAGTCAACAATCGTCAGGAACCGATTCAAGGAGTCAACCAAATTTAACATAATCAAAACTATAAGAACCAATTAGATGCTGCCAGCAAAGCGAATCTTGATCCAAAGCTGCTTCCGTCTTCCTCCCGCGTCCTTTGGCTCTTTCTTCTCTTATATATAAATCAGACCCATAATAGCGTTTCTCTGTTCATCTGCATCAACACTTTTACGCTACGGCTGTGTTTTTTCCCCCCATTTTTTTTTACGCCACTTAACCCTTTAGTTTCTTCCCATAATTTCAATCTGTTCTTAATTAAATCAAAGGGTTTTCCGGGATCTTCAAAATCTTCATTCTTTTCGTGTAGCTTTATCTTATCCTTGTATGTTTCTGCCAATTTATGGATTGGATTCGGTTTTATTAACGACCAGGGTAATACTTCTGTTGCCCAAGGGGATTAGGAAAACAACTTTATTAAAGGATCTTGTGAGCTAGCTACTTATCTCTTTTGAGTTGGGTCAAGTGAATTTTTTGGCTTTCTGTAATACAGAGGGATGATGGATTTGAAAACTGGTAAAGCTGGAGAGATTGCTATAATGGGTGAGAATATGGGTGAGAAAGGGGTTTTGGAATCAAAGCTGAAAGGGTTTGGTAGTTTAAGCTGTAAAGATACGTTTTTGAGGGCAGATCAGATTGATTTCAAGAGTTGGGATTTGAAGCTGGACAAGCAAATATCTCATGCTTGGACCAAAGATAAGGAACCCCATGAAAAGGCAGAGTGGGAGATTGATTTAGCTAAGTTGGATATCCGATATGTTATTGCTCATGGTACTTACGGAACTGTGTACAAAGGTCTCTACGATGGTCTTCAGGTTGCAGGTAAAATCCTTGGAACGGTGCTCAAATCTTTGTTTATCTTGTTAATTGAATGTTGAATTATTTTATTACAAGTCTAAAGCTTTTGTTAGCTTTATGTCTTTTAGACAATTCTAGTTCCATATATGAAAAGTGATCTTTCTGCTTTTCCGTGTTCTTGTTAATATAGTCAATCAATTTGACCCGCCCGCATATTTAGACTGCTTGCTGTAGAGGTTGTACGATTAGGGGGTTCGAACCCTTTTTTATAAAAGCTAATGCTAAAGAAAACAAGTAGCAGGACAAGAACTAAATTTTAAGCAGAAAGGTGACAGGTGGGAAATTAACTCATGGATGCACACTTTGGCATATGTGGTTTTGCTGTTTGATGTATCATACTTATATTTTAGATAATCACAAAGTGATGTGATTTTTTTGCAATTCTCACTTCATTGTAATTTTTAAATGCACAGTGAAGGTGTTAGACTGGGGAGAAGACGGTCTTGCAACAGCTGCGGAAACTGCAGCTCTTCGTGCATCATTCCAGCAGGAAGTTGCTGTTTGGCATAAACTTGACCATCCTAATGTGACAAAGGTTATTAATGCTAATCAAATTTCTGCTTATCCTTCTTCATTCGGATGTATCTTTCTGACCCATGTGTTTTTTGGTTCTTAATGTTGCGAGAAGCATTTACGACATAGATACTTTTGCTTCTAATCAGCATGTTTTTAGGCTTCTGGACTGTAATTTCCTTCCATGATTTGGTAACAAGTCCATTTTCCTGACAAGTCTTTGTGAATTTTGCAGTTCATTGGAGCTTCAATGGGTACTTCAAATCTTAAAATTCCTTCTCAAAATGGTCCAAGTGATGGTCCTAATTCTCTGCCATCTAGAGCTTGTTGTGTTGTTGTAGAATACCTTCCCGGTGGGACACTCAAAAAGTTCTTGATAAAAAATCATAACAAGAAACTTGCTTTCAAGGTGGTGATTCAGCTTGCTTTGGATCTCTCTAGAGGGTGAGGCTACTGTTCATAGACATGAGTTCATTGGGAAAGGTTTTTTTTTTTCCCCTCTATCTTACTTGGTTGTTTGGACTAAAGGAGTTATTTTGTCTTTCTTGTTTTGCAGATTAAGCTACCTTCATTCAAAAAAAATTGTCCATCGTGATGTCAAAACTGAAAACATGTTGCTAGACTCACAGAGGAATTTAAAGATTGCTGATTTTGGGGTTGCTCGCGTGGAAGCACAGAATCCAAGGGACATGACCGGGGCAACCGGTACTCTAGGTTACATGGCACCAGAGGTTGGTTTACCTTCTTCTGACTGAATGATGAAATCCTTTGCTGAATGGCGCTAGTTTAAAAATCAAATTTATGCCTAAGGTAAATTAATGAATGTCTTACATGATCTTCAAATTTGTAGGTTCTCGACGGCAAGCCTTATGACAGGAAATGCGATGTTTACAGTTTTGGCATATGCTTATGGGAAATTTACTGTTGTGACATGCCTTATCCTGATCTCAGCTTTGCTGATGTGTCCTCTGCCGTTGTTAATCAGGTTGGTGCAAAGCTTAGTTGGTTGATTCTTTAAATCCATTTCTTTCCTTCCATTTGAATCATAACTGAACCTAGAAAATTCTAAAACAAGATCCTTCACATTGCCATTATGATTTACTTGTAAAGTATTCTGCATGCTGGAACTTATAGTCTCTTTGTAGCTCTGCAAACTACTTTTCCTGTTGAACTTACTGACAAAAACGATCTCATTTGCCTGGTTTTGGCAGAATTTGCGTCCAGAAATCCCGAGATGTTGTCCCAGTGGGCTAGCAAGTGTCATGAAAAAGTGCTGGGATGGAAATCCAAACAAGCGCCCTGAAATGGACGAGGTTGTGAAGTTGTTGGAAACCATAGACACCAGTAAGGGTGGCGGTATGATTCCTGAAGACCAGTCTCGTGGATGTTTCTGCTTCGGCCCTACACGAGGTCCATGATCGAGCTCAGCCTCGCATCAGGATAACGCCGTGGTAGATCAAGGATCCCTGCAATGTAGACCTGCCTTTTTAATGTCCTGTGCTGCAGAGAGGACGGGATTGTCAATTATACATGATTAGCAACAATTTTTTCTTCTCGTGGATGATCATAGGGAGGTTCTAATAGGTAGATATGTTCCTTCGACTGCATATATAGTAGGAATAGCTGTTATATTAGTCCCTAGTCGATGGATCATCCGAGTTGAGTGATTAGCTTCCTCTTGTACCTGTAGCATGTTTTCTTGCTATTGGGAGCTATCATATGTTGTAGTTGTGCATAATAATTGGTGTGACTGATTTCATGTCACACAGCAGCAATAAAGTCATTATCACACTATTTCGGATTGATTCTCCGCTTACAAACTGAATGAAAAGGAAATCTGCAAGATTGTGTTCCTTTAGGAGAGTCAGAGGTGCTCATAGATTAATACTCCTACTTAGATGCCATTTGGTAAAAACTGAGATAATATGCCCTGAACCATCAAGTTTTCTTTTCATCTTGATCACGTTAGAATTGAGAAAGGTGATGATCCAGACCGCATTTGTGCAGTATGGGATTCTAATTTCCCTTTCAAAGTTTATTCTATATCCACTGGTATTGGCAGGGATGCTTGTGCCAAGAAAGACAAAAGACAAGAGATTCTTCTTCAACCCATGAGGCAGAGTGAATAAAGTTGCAGGGAATGCTGTCCCAGAATACTTGGCTTAGGCGCCATTACGTGTATACTGTTCTCTCACTTCCCTGGAATTGAATGTTAGAATGATAATATCTCTTCTGTACCACAAAAAATAACTCACATTGAGTTTTAAGATTTGCAATTAGACTAACTTTGAAGGACAGAGAGAGACTATGCTAAATACGATATTTTTTAGTTAAATCATAGATTGTATATTGTTTAGTAAATGACTTGTGTGAGATTCCATATGATCTCTGATCAAGACTCAACTCATCTAGCTTACAATTGATCGACATTGGAAAAGGGAGGGGGATAAAAATGTGAAAGGAAAGTTGAGAATTGTTAAAATTATCCGAGGCAAAAATGGAAAAAAAAAAAAAAGAAAAAAAAGTCAAGGATAAAAACAAAACCAATTCCGATACTGCCAATAACTGACTGCCGCGTAAGACAGGTTGGTGACTTGTTAACTGGTACACTTCACCTGGTCCCTGCAAAACCAAATCAGCCCATCGGACTTTCTTCCTGTGTTCTCTTTCCGGAAGTTAAACCAAATATAAAAAGAAACGCCCCACCATAAACCTCTGCGTTTGGGAGGGTTTGTTGTTGCTGGTTTTTTTGGAAAAAAAAAAAAAAAAGAGAGGAAAAAATGGGACTCCTCGACAACACAAATGCCACCTCCTCCACCTCGACGCCGCCCTCCTCCTCCTCTTCCTCCTTCATGTCCGATTTTTTAGCTAAATCCGGTGGCGTTGCGGTTATTGACGGCGGACTCGCCACGGAGCTCGAACGCCTCGGTGCCGACCTTAACGATCCTCTCTGGAGCGCCAAATGCCTCCTCACTTCCCCTCACCTCATCCGCTCGGTAATTATTTTTAAAAAAATTCTTTCTCCCTGTATAATATTGAATACTAACTACTCTTTTGTATGAAATGCACCTTTTTTATACTCTCTTAAGTATATTCCATTTTGTCTGTTAACGTGCTTTAATGCTTATAATATAGTTGCTTTCATTGTCTTGATGAAATTTTTCGTTTGTTTTATAACACTGGGGAAGATCTTTTCCTTTTGTTGTTGAGAGTTGCTTTATTTAATTAATTTGAATATATGTTATCAATTGCCGGAGTATGTCTCGTATGAGCTTATAGGTCCTGATTTTTCAACTTAATAAGGGAAGCCGAGACATTTAAAATCCTTACATGCTCTTTTGTCGAGCTGTTTTCTTCTTTTTCAATTGCACATTTTTGGATAATTTGAGCTTTTCTGTTGGTTGGATTGTAGTTAGTCCTGAATTTTAGAGGAGTAGATGTGGGAATTGGTTGAGCAGAGATATATTTTCTGATAAATGTGGATCTTGGACCACCATGTGATTTGAGTTCTCACGGGTCAGAGATCATGTTATGGGGAAGGGAATGGGTAGATCAGAACTTTTGACCTTGCATGACTTAGTTTACACATTCCCTGTGATCTAGGGATGGGCGTATGGTGTGATTATATGTAGCTTCTGCAAAGGGAAAGGTTTACCGGTTTTAAAACAAAAACCGTAATTTTGTGTGACAAGAGAGTTTCTAGCCGTACATGTCTTTAAGTTACTTAAAGATTGATTTGACTCCCAAACCTGCGTAGAAAGGATGAAGAATGAAATGCAAGATCTATGTAGACAACATTGGTTAAATTTTGTGTCGAACTAATCAATCAAGCATCACCACAAGTTGGCTGATACATAGCCAAGTTTGAAACGGGTTTTCACTTACAGCAGCATTGCCTTCCTTTTATTCCCGTTTTTGGTATTTACATAAAAGATCTATATGATTCTTTTCCCCCTGAGTCAGTTTATGATATCCATTTCTCATCATACCCCTGTAGCTTGGATGCTGTTAACTAATGTGAAAGAAATTTGTCTGGACTCTTGCTGTTCGCAGCAACTGAAAAATCCCAGTTTTCCAATTCCTCTTTTTGCTTCATATACGTCCTTATTTTTTTAGTTCGTTTGTTCATAAGGGATATTTTTACTGCCTCTGCATAATGATTAGCCATGTGACCCGGGAGCAGGTACACCTTGATTACCTAGAAGCTGGGGCTGATGTAATAATTACAGCATCCTATCAGGTAATACTTTTGAATCAGTTGATGAGGCTTCAATCCCTCTCTCAGTAATAAGTTTGAGAACATGGGTAAACTGGGCAGGCAACCATCCAGGGTTTCAAGGCCAAAGGATTTTCTCAGGAAGAAAGTGAAAGCTTGCTCAAGCGAAGTGTTGAAATAGCGCGGGAAGCGCGTGAAATATACTACGAAAGATGCAGCAACTCCTCGTCTGACTGGACTGGTGATGGTAAAGTTTTCAAACAGCGGCCTATATTAGTTGCAGCATCTGTTGGAAGCTATGGGGCTTATTTAGCTGATGGTTCCGAATACAGGTTATTGTGACCTAACAGTGACTCTATGTATTTCTTTATCTGGAGATGGCTATGATTTCTGGTACCATGGAATTTCAGTTTGTTTTAAGAGGAATTTGTGTATCTCCTGGGGTGATTGCTGTTGTAATTGATTTGATTTTGCTCATTATTTAATTAGTATATCTCGTCTCGTTGCTTTTTTTTTTTTTTTAATTTATTCATTTTTTTTTAATCATTCTACGGAAATACAGGTAGTTCTTGGATGTTAATATTGTTTATTAAGCTGATTTTAAAAACTGCCTAGTATTGCTTCACAGTTTTTTTTTTTGGGCAATTGTACTTGCAACACATGGCCTTGCTGATATTCTATTTGTTTTCTTTTTGATCCTTTATTCGATTCCTCTTAATATTCTTCCTGTTTTACTTACAGTGGTGACTACGGTGACGCTATGAATGTAGAGTTTCTGAAGGATTTTCACCGTAGAAGGATTCAGGTTCTTGCAAATGCTGGTCCTGATCTGATTGCATTTGAGACAGTACCAAATGGAGTTGAAGCACAGGTAATAACTAGACTGATGTAGGTACTTGGTAAACCACTTTCAACTTTAATTCTCGATGCATACTCCAGAAATGGAATAGTTACGATTCGGCAAATACTCGTCACTGGTCGGTACCACTCATTTATTATTATATGGTGTCTTTCTCTTCCTAGGCTTTTGCTCAGCTTCTTGAGGAAGAACACATACATATTCCTGCATGGATTTCCTTCAACTCTAAGGATGGTGTAAATGTGGTCAGCGGTGATTCTTTAGCTGAATGTGGAGCAATTGCTGAATCATGCAAGAAAATTGTTGCTGTTGGAATCAACTGTACTCCCCCCAGATTCATTCATGATCTAATTCTTTCCATCAAGAAGGTAGTCTTTGCTATATTTAGCAAGCCCTGTTTCTATAATTTTCATTTTTTGGGTCGATGTGTTTGCTGAGAAATTTATTCTAACAGGTGACCACTAAACCGATTCTTATTTATCCAAATAGCGGTGAAAGTTATGATCCTGATCAGAAGATATGGGTGGTGAGTTCAGTAAAATTACGATGCTGATTCTTATTTAGCTCTCTATCAACGTGTTCTGTAGCCTCTGCGTGTATGTTCCTCAGTATTTGTTGTTTTCTTTGATTTGCAGCAAAATACTGGCGTTTCTGATGAAGATTTTGTGTCGTATGTGTGTACGTGGTGTGAAGTAGGGGCATCCCTTGTCGGAGGTTGCTGCAGAACAACTCCGAACACCATAAGGGGTATTTACAGGGCACTGAGATTTCCTGCGTCTTCATAATAATTGTAAACCTGACGCAGATCATCCTACTGAGGTCTGCAAGTTTTGTTGCTAACTAATATTGGCTGACGGGGTACTTTATGTGAAAGCTTAACCAGGGAGCAGGTTAATACACGAACTTGTGATCATTTATGGCCAAGTTGTAATACATCAGCAGCCAATAGAGCAGACTTCGACCTTTATGGTATTTCAGATTTTTACAATGTCCTATGAATGTGGTTATCATCACATGTACCATCCTCTTTCTGTTTTCCAAAAGACTGTGTACTGGTATCAGCCCCAGCTAATCTCCATTTAATATGGAGAAAAACAAAAAAATTCAATGATGCTCAAACTTACAAAAGGAAATAACAAAAAAGATGTATTCAAAAGAAACATCACGACTAAACTAAGGTCTCAAATCATAGGATAAGCATCCACAGTTCTTTCAATTCACTTTTCACCGTTTGAATCAAATGTACAACATTACCCATATTCTGATTCTTTTGTTGTAGTACCGGTGACAGATCATTTGTTTTGCCCAATAGATTCATAAGCAAATGAGCACAGAATACAAATTCAAAATCTATCAACTTATCCAACAACATGTAAGCAACGCCTCGACTTCTTCGTTCAATTGCATCATCAGATACATCTTCAATCGCTTCAATCACTGAGTTCCAGAAAGAAACAAGCCGAGTTATTGTACGTACTATAGTAGGTACCCCGACGAGTATGACCTGGTCGATCTTGACCGGATTCTTGATTATTGCCATCTTCTATACCTCCTTGTATACTCTCCACAAGGTCATCATGTTGTTTTTGCTTAAGATCATCATTCATCTTACATGGAGCTCCAACAGCATCCACAATGTCAGGAAGAGAAGTGACAAATTGACAAGCCTTTACGTTCCACATTGCAGCACCCACAACCATTACATCAAGCTCATGAGCAAAACAATGAATATAATGTGCGTGCCTGTATTCTTCTGAAATGAGATTTTTTAGTTTGTTAGGGTGACCAAACATACAAGAAAAGCAGTCATAACCTTGACATCTAAGCTTCGACGGTGACAGTCCATTCTTCACAAACGGGGTCAATCAAAGCATTTCTCAAAGACTCTGCGGAGGCGCCATCAGTATGGAAGACTCCAAAAAATCATTCGGTCACCTCTCCCTGATTGTTCACATACCTCAAGAAAAACAGCCAAGTGCTGCTTTATTGAACCTTCAGGGACCTCATCAAGCAAAAGACAGAAATACTTGTCTCCAATCTCATTGACAATAGCTCTTCTCACCTCAGCCGCAAAAGCACTAATAATCTGGTTTTCGATTTGATAATAAGGCCCTCGATCATTTGCCAAATCGTCCACGTCCATCAACTTCTTAAAATTCTCATCATACGCACAACTGAATCTGAGAAGTTGAAGAAACTGATCCGGAAAAACTGCGTAGCCAAAGTGATCATATTGACAGAAAACCAAACCCTGCCCCAGAAGTGATCCATCCCCTAAAGCTATACGCATTGTAGTTACCATGCAATTAATGCGTCCCTCTCAAGAGGCACACTCAGCGTGGATGATCCACCCCTATTTCCATCCCCTTCCTGACCCGAAAATGATCCCATCCCTAAAAATAATCGCATCGTAGAGAACATCGGGAGTGCTGTCTCCCTATCTAATCCTAATGTCAGTTCCTCATTCTCCTCAGCTGTTGTTACCAGTAAAAGTTTACAAAACAGTGGACTAAATTTAATGCCGAATTCATATCCCAAAAATATACTAAAATAAAACCTTAAATTTTTTTTTTTTTGGTTTCATAAGGGCATAAGCAAAATTCAGTACCAAATGATGATAATCATAGAAAAGCCTAATGTTCGAAATCACGGAAGTAAAGGAGAGGAATACGAACCTTGGGGAGCGCCGGTTTCAGAGGAATCGTTGCATTTGGTTGCGCAGTTCTCCTTTTTTTATCTCCATCGTCGCAGCCGTTGTGTGGAGAATTACTATGATCTGATGGTTCGGCTTCATCCTCACTCGTCCATGGCGCCGACCTCTTCTTCATCTGGCTAATGTTGTTACTGTATTCTGACTCTGTGGAATGAGAGAGTAAGGAAGTTCAGAGGTTTAGGGTTCTGACACTTCTGACGGATTGGGGGAGATATTTAATAAGCATTCCCGCCATTGCTGCACCGGGCTTAAAATGTAGAGAGCCCTTTAAAGTGGACTAGTTGACTGTAGTTGTCGGGATTTTCATCATTTACATTTCCTCTTTTCCTTTTTGTTTGATGATGATATTATGAATTACTAGTTAGGAGTCTAATTAATTTCCAAGATTAAAAGTTGTCGAATGATTTCTTAGGATCAAGGCATGTTAAGTAATTCCATGCTTGACTCGGCAAAATGGTTGTCTATTCCTTGCTTGAGCAATAACATCAACAACCTCGCATTGGTATGCAGAGATTTTAACATTTAGAAATTCAAAACAAATATTGAATATGTCCATCATCATTCACAAACCTCAAAGACATAGCCATTATGCTCCTCTCGAATCTCATCAATCAAGAGGGAAAATAACTTATCGCCAATCTCCTCAGAAACAATTTTCCTCACTTAAATTGCAGAAGCAGTAATGACTTCGGGCGAAACCGACTCATCATCTACCAGTAAGTCTAAGTTTGACGCATTATTTACTTCTTCGCCATGCTCACAATCGATTCGCCGTCATCAACATCATCATCGCACGTCCATGGCGCCGACCTCTTCTTCTTCATTTTGGGCACAATTCTTCTGTCGACCTTGCGGAATGATGTAAATTAGTGTATAATCAGTCCGCAATGTGTAGAGAATTGTATCCTTCGGGAAATGGAATTAGACTTTACTTAGGTTGAGACGAATTGGGGGAAATATAATTAATGGGCCTCCCGTGGACCAGAAATGTGGACGTCTCGTTCAAAGTTGGACGGGCTTCAACCATTTTCTTTCCTTTCCTTTTTCTGTTGGTAGGATTCTGATCACTCTCCTCCGTTTCTTTGCTCGTTGTACATATTAATGATTAATCTGCCCTTGCCAATTCATAACTGGGGAGTTGACAGTTGATATTAACTGAAGGGAATTCTAAACGTTGTTGCCTTGGGCCAAAATGATCATCTATGATAGTAGTACTAAACAACTTTATTGTCGCTGTCACAATGTACCAAAGGAAAAACTTCCACAGCTGACAGCACAATACACTGACACAGAAGCCAAATTTGAAACTATTGAGAACCCTGTTATACCACGAACTGCTATCTGAGTGAAATAGTTCAATAGCAGGTATTCTCTGTTTCCCGGAGAACGAAACCCCCTTAAGAATAGAGCCGGGTGCCAGGCCAGACAATTCCTAAAGGATGTTTCCTTTCTCTGGCGTTTATACATCTGTTTCCGCCATTGACAAGCAGGCAGATAATTAGAAATGCAGCTTCAATCAGGCAATAAATTCCGGCCAGAACTAAATACGAACACAACCTCAATACAACAACAAGCCTTTTTCCCACCTAGTGAGGTTGGCTACGAACAGAACCTCAATCAGGCGATAAATTCTGGCCAAAACTAAATACGGCCACAACTGATGTGAAGGTAAAAAGATTTAATTGTGACAGATGAAACATACTCTGCTTAAATACAATGGAAATCACTGACTCAACTACAACATAAAGAATAGTCTTCTTTTCTTCTATCCATAAATCAAGAATCAAAGCCAGAGTAAATACCACTCTCCCTCAAAAGCCTCTTCTCTTCTTCTACATAGTTCTTCCCTCTGCTAGCTTGACCAAGGTCTCTTTTCCTCTTCTCCTTCTGTTGAAAAGAGAGCTCCCTTCTCTCTCTCGACGTCACTACATTCTCAAGCTGTTCTCCTTCCAGCAATGCAGCTTTAGTCTTCAATCTATCTTCATACGTTTCTTCAGTCTCCTTTGACCGGTTTTCCTCCCCTTTTGACCATGACCAGTCCTTCTCTTCATCTGGTTCCGCTGGAAGGGGCACCTCCAGAACAGACGGCCCGCCTTTATACCCATGTTTTGCTAACGCTTTAAAAGCCAATTCTCTCTTTTTCTTCGCTGCTCACCAATAAAATTCAACGTTGAATCATAATAATAGACATAAATTGGATAACTTGTTTAACAAAATCTGGGGGAAAATATCAGCACCCAAACATAATTATAAGCAGGAATTGATTCTAAATAAAAGAAAAGGAGGTGGAATTTAACCTTGAGAAGCTTTGGTTTTGGAAGAATCGTCGCTTTTGATTGCAGATTTCTGCTTGCCATCCTCATCCTCGCCGTCGACGGTCGAAGAATTATCACTATTTGAACCGGAATCGTCTTCGTCATCACTCCACATGTACGGCGCTGACCTCTTCTTCATCTGGGAAATTTTTCGCTAGCCTCTGAAATGATACGGAAAATGTGCGGTCTTTCTGGAACTCGATTTGAACTTAGGGTTTACGTGGAATTTGGGGAAAAAAATTTTGATTAACGAATTGCATCCAGGAAATAATTACCGACCCGAACCGTATTGATTCTATGTTTTGCTTGGGCCGATTTGGACCTGAAATGTACTTGCCCTATTTAAGTGGACTGGACGGGCTTCAACCTTTCCCGAGTATATCCAAAAGTGACTCAACAAACAGATTTTTCCCGCCAAAAAGTTTCCAGATAGATACCTCAAATTCGACCCGAGTTCAACAAACAAAACCGAATAAATTGAGAGCCAATTTTGAGAAATGGCAACATTAATAAAGCCATCGGCGATGGACGATTTGTACAACACTCATGTCAAACTCCTTGCTTCTGACTTGCTGAAACTCACGCCTTCCCCTTCCCGGAACGATTCCTCCGCCTTCCTCCGGCGAGGCAAACGTCTCTCCCGTGCTGAGACGGTCGGAATCGTGGTGACGCGAGACCTTAAGCCGGGAAAGTTCGTGAAATTTTCTGTGGACGATGGTTTTGGTTGCATTACTTGTATCCTATGGACTAATCAGCTTACCTCTGCTTACTTCTCCCGCCGCAACCCATCAGGTGTTCGATTAATTGCCGAAGTGGCGAACGATTTTGCCTCCCGCGTCCAGCTGGGGGTTCTTGTTAGAGTACGTGGTAGGATCACTGGTTACAGGGGCAATATTCAGATAACCGTGACCGATGTTGTGGTGGAGAGGGACCCAAATATGCAGATACTGCATTGGTTAGATTGTGTGAGGTTGGCACGTAAGTGTTACAATTGAAGGGAGTGGACCACTCACCACTGGATGTTTGATTGATCATTCTGTGGGTTTTTGGTTAGTTATTATTGCTCTCATTGTTTTGATTTGAATTTTTGCATCTCTCGTTGGATTTCACTTATAGTCAAAGCATGGAACTGTTCTTACTGCTATGTGACTGCTTTAAACTTAGGAATGTATACAAGGAAGTAAAAAGTATTATTTCTTCCCATGACATCCTTAAGCAAATGACTAGTAAATGGCCTGGTCTATGATGTGTGTTTGTATAGTGCATTTTGTTAGGATGCAATGTGGTGTTTGTTCATTATCTGTGATGCAGCATTTTCTGATTTCACCTAAGGTTCATAGAGAGTTTGGAGTTTTTGCTTTTCACTAGTTGAGAAATTTGACATGAACATTTGGTTAAAAAGTTTGTGTGGATACCTTTCAATAGGCGTTCTTGATGTAGGAAAAAGTCAACTTCAGAAATTTATTGTTATTTACTGAAAGAACATTCTTTAGATTTTATGATGGCCCATAACTAGATTGTGACCTTTCAACAGAGTTGTGCTTGGTAATCAAATAATGAACAAAATGCTTGGATCTTCAGACAGTTGTTATGTTGAAAAAGAAAATTTCCATCGTAACTGGTTTTTATATGCTTTTGCCTTGTACATTATTATGAATATCTTTCTGCCCAGTTAATTATTGATTAGCTGTTCATTATGTCCTTTACCTCCAGTTTTAGTTGATTAATCAAGCTACACCTACCACCAAACCTCTTTGCCATTGCTTTCCACTAGCTTGCTAGGTTGGAGTTAGTTCACTTCTCTTTTTCTGATGACGGACAAAATCTATAAATTATTGGCTTGATTTCATCATTAATTCCCTTACTAATTTATAATAACGTCTACAAAGAATCATTAGGATAACTGACCAAATGGTCTTTTTTTGGTTTATTTTTTTTTTTTCCTTTCTTGTAAAGAACTAGTTATGTCTGTTTATCCTACCCAGCAATAATTGATCTAGACCAAGAGGTATATAATACTCAAAAGAAACAAGAGGTTTAAATTAATTGCAGGAAGGACTGATGTTTAGTACTTCAGGCTGATTTTCTTTTCGTTTTCTTTTTCGCCTGTTGTGTTCAGGGGATATTGCTGGCATTTAAGGGTATATCCTATATGCAATATTTAAACAATTAACTTTGGGTGGGTTGAAGCTTTGATGGTAATGAGATGTAGATTGGAAAAAGAACTTCTTCCTAAGAGCTTTGATTCGTTAGACATTTTATTTGGAGAGCCCCGAAGTCCGAAAACAAATATAGAAGCTACAAATTATGGATGAACATGTTAGATTACAGTCGTTCGTGCTGAAAAACTTGTTACATTAGTACATTTGATACTCATTCCTTTACAAAATGTGCCCATTTTTTTTTTTTTTTTGTCTAGAATCGACACATTGCACAATAGCAACCAGTAGGTGAAGGGTGGTTCTTGCTGGTAAGAAGATTAAATGCAATGAAAAAGACAGGCTTCACTATTTGATGGGAACTTAGATTGATAATTTGCGTTGTAAAATGAGGCGTGGGGAAGACAATGACAGATGTTTATTGATCTGGGCAAGGTGATTTATAATAGTTTCTTACTGTTATTATGAAAATTATACGCAACCAATTTTGTGTTTTTCTTTTCTTTGGGTGGGGTATTCAGTTGATCTTTTCGCTTTTGCAAATCTATCCTATAAATGAACGTTTTCATTTCAGGAGCACTGGAATATTCAAAGTGTTTCGGATTAGACAACTGCAATTTATTACATAAGGGGTCTCCTATTAAATTTGATGTAGCTTGATGATTAGGTTGTCATTAGCATATTTTAAGTATTTCATATGATTGGCTTTTGGTAAGGCAAAAAAAAAAACTAGATTAGTGAAACGCACGTCTATATTGAAGAATCCATAAAGGGGGTTCAATCAGAAAAGCAGCACGTCGTTATCCGTAGTCGTATCGAGCTTAAAACGAGTCATTAGTACAGACAATGGATGGCCACTATTCCAATTTTTCATATCTTGCCATGCTCTTTCAATCTTCTCAAGGTCTCAACGGTGTTAATGTGACATGAAACAAGATTTGGACATAACTCGAAAAATAAACGTGTTCATAATAACACAAAACTTGATATCGTGAGTTTCAAAACTTGACGTGGAAATTATAACTTGTAAAAACATGTTAAATTGATTTTGAACTTTGGACTCGTTAACACTGAAAACACAATCCAAGTTAACCAATTACCATCCCTTCTTATATGAATTTTGTTTTTTCCCCGGAAAAAAGTAGCCTGTGGTCCTGATACTTGTGCCTCCAGAATGCTGATTCCTCAAAGAAAGTTCATTGCTAGGAGGGTTACTTCGGTTTTAGAAAAAAAATTGCAGATTTAGGGCATAGTTTTTATTAGTTTAAACTCTTTTAGTCCTTGAACTTATTAAACTAATGTTAGAAGCAACCTTGAAATATGAACATTAAGACCAAGCTCAGGAAGAAGACACAGTCTCCCACATGTAGCATGTGTAGTTAACATTAGTTTAATCCAGAATTTGCAAGCCTGGAGGGGTTAATCCAAGAATTTACTTTCTTTCAGATTATCCAGGTTAAAAAAAAAAAAAAAGAGGAGGGATTTAATTTTAATCACATCAACCTCGGATTAGGCTTAACAAGATCCTACACCTATGTGATTAAGTAGCTCAATAGTGAAGGCATTCTTCAAGCACCAAAACATGAAGTTCACATTAACCCATGCATAAAATCTCTAATTTGTATATATCTCCTTGTAATACTCCTCTTATTAGGTAACAAAAACCCTCAAATATTTGGACATAAGTATGGATTGAACAAAACAAACAGACAATATGTTCTTCAATATAGTTACAAACCTCATTGAAGAATACATTTTAGCCATACAAAATATATATGACATGGGAATGTCCAAAAAGTTAGCAAAAACCAACTCAGTTTCGAACAAAAATTCTCAAAACCCAAAGTTCTACATTGGAGACACATCCAAAATTCCACGCACACACATTCCTCATTCAAAATCTCCATAAAGCAAAAGAATTTTGATTTCTCATACCCCAATGAAGCCAACTTGAAGATTCAGTCTAAAAAATCTCTTACAAAAACCTTACCAAATTGATGAAGCTAAGCAAAGCCCACATTGTTTTTTAGACCCTTTTTCTCCAAAGGTGTCTCATTTACACATGCTCCTCCAGTAAAAACCCCAAATTCCAATTATTTGTCCAAGCTGTAATTTTCAGCTTGCAATACCATCCCTTCACTTTGTTTTTCTCACCTTTGCTTTGGCTTTTGGAGGACCAAATTGACATGATGAAAGATACTGCTTGGATTTTAGACCAAACCTCACTTTGCTGACCGCGGGCAGGTCAGTACAGTGTGTGAGTGTGTGTTTTGGAGTGGACCGGGCAGATTGAGTCTTTGTTGTTTGTGTTTGGCAATTGGCACTAGCAATCCCGGTCAGCCTCAGTCTCAGGGCCTTGGATTTTGAGGCAAAAAGCCTCGAGGGAAGATAGATAATAGTGAGAGAGAGAGAGACAGAAATAAAAAAAGTTTTTGCTCCCACAACGCCAAGCTGCACTATAACACTGCACTTTATTCTCTCTTCTTCAAATACGATACTTTGCTCTGTTCCCAGACCGAGGTTAAAACTTTTATTTGATGAAGGAATTCAGACACACACACACAGTCACACACTAAAAACCACATATTTACAAATTACAACCATCTCTTTCTATCTCTCTTTTAACACCCGGCCTCTCCCTCTCATTCATTGTCTTGTTCTACATTTCAGAATCTTTAACTTGTCTTCCTTCCACGCATCATTAAACTCTTTATCTGTTTTTTCGTACCAGTCCCTCTCTCTTTGAAAATCTTTCTTTCATTCATTCTTTCTTTTTTCCTAATTTTTTCACCGCCAGTTTTTTTTCTCTTTCTTTTCTTCTTGACCCACATACAGATTACAGAAGAGAAGACAAAGCTCAAGACAAAAAACAACACAAATACCAACTGGGTTTTTTTTTCACTTTTGAGGATTGGAATATCATTAATGATTATTGAAAAAGAAAAGAACCCACATGAGACAATGCCATCACCATGCAAATTCTCTTCTTTCTCTTGGTTGTTTCATCATCCTGATATGAGTAAAAACTGAAACTCATTAGTCTTTCGCTACTCCTGAATCTTTAATTCTTGTGTACAGGAGTAGTACTTAAGGACATTCTGTCTTTTTTCATCAATTTGTTCGTCTGTTCATTCTTTTTCATTCTTTGTTTCTGTAATCCGTGGAAGACGGACGATACGGAGTTTCCAATAGCAATTTGAAGGGCTGGACCAGAAAGCTTGGTTTTTTTTCGAAGATCACTTATTGGGTTTATATGAAGTTGATTAAAGATGAGAGATGGGAACTCCAAGAAAAACAAGGTTTGTTACAGAAATTGGAAAAATTATGGATCGTTGAGAAAAGTTTGTGTATTATATATCTTCAATGCCGAGAAGGGAAAAAAAAAAAAAAAAACTGCATTGTTGTCTTTTGTTTGCAAGATTACTAATTTTTCTGATTCTTTTGTGTTTGATAAAGCTTTCATGGACGAAGATGCTGGTCAAGAAATGGTTCAACATCAAGAGCAAAGCCGATGACTTTCATGCTGACGACGTCGTATATGGAGGTGAATGCCGAACTGTTTTGCTGTTTGCTCGTCTTATCATCAAAACCAGAATTGGTTTTTAATTCCTTTTCTTATGATTTTTCTTTTCTTTGTGTAATCTGGGTGTTCTCCTTCATATTGTGCTCAATTACTGTTCATTGTACAGTAACTTGGCATAATTGATGACTTAACAAATTCCTGTGTGCAGACCAGTTTGAGATCTGTTCTTTGTTTTACCCAAGATTTTAAAAATTGATAAATCATTATTTTCGTGGGTTATAGTGATAATTGTGAATGGTTTAAGTTTGGAATATATTGGTGGGATTCAGTAACTGTGGAAATGGAGCAGCTTTAGTAACTTTATGTAATTGCTTTTTCAGGTGTTGATGAAGAATGGAGGAACAATTTCTCAGAGAGGAATGCATGCACTATGAAGAAAAGCAAAACAGGTGCAGTACCACAGAAGCAGTATATTTTTTGATTTGGAGTTTGGACCACAACATTCATACTTTTTAGTGCACTTAAGAGCTTCACTGACAGTGAATTGATGCTACAGTGTTACTTTTTGAACTAAATATTTTGTGAATAAGAATTCTTGTCTTACTTCATCCTTAATGAAATTAACAGAGAAATCAAGTAAAAGAGGTTCTGATCATGTCCGGCGAAGCAAAATTGATGTCGATGCCTCCCTGGTCAGAGATGTGCAGAATTATAGGTCTGCAAATATTTGTGTTTTTAACCCATAGTTGCCGGGCTCTTTCAACTGGAGTTCGTATTGACTTCTTTCTTTTTTTCCTCCGAAATTTGGTTCAGGTTATTTGTAGCTACATGGAATGTGGCTGGGAAATCTCCACCTAGTCATTTGAATCTTGAAGATTGGCTGCACACTTCACCTCCTGCTGATATTTATGTTCTTGGGTGAGTTTTTTTAATTTGGATTAACAGAGAATCAGCCTGTATAGTTTCATCTAGTATTAGGCAGAGAGTTGCTTATCTGTACTCGTTTTTTTTTTTCTGGCTTTGGGACTTTCAGGTTTCAAGAAATTGTTCCTTTAAATGCTGGAAACGTGTTGGGAACAGAGGATAATGGCCCGGCTAAAAAATGGTTAGCACTCATTCGTAAAACTCTGAACAGTCTTCCTGGTACAAGTGGTGGTTGTTACACGCCCTCCCCAGTTCCCGATCCCATTGCTGAACTGGATGCGGACTTTGAAGGGTCAATGGCCCAGAAGGCCCCATGTTTTTTCAACCGTCACTCTTTCCAGACACTCAGCCGTAGCATGAGAGTAACTGAGAATGACATTTCAGGGCTGGAGCCTCGGCTTGATCGTCGATTTAGTGTGTGCGATAGGGTTATGTTAGGTAAAAGGCCTAATGACTATGGTGGGTCCTCTGATGATGAAAATGAGGAAGGCGATTCACCCTGTTCGACCCAGTATTCTCCAGATTCATATGATGGCTCTGTGTCCATGGATGAAAGAGAGAGACAACCAGGGCAGTCTAGATACTGTTTGGTAGCCAGTAAGCAGATGGTAGGGATTTTTCTCACTGTTTGGATAAGGAGTGATCTAAGAGACAATGTCAACAATATGAAAGTGTCTTGTGTTGGCAGAGGTTTGATGGGCTACCTTGGGAACAAGGTATGTAATTTCTTTATTTCAATTTGTACAATTTGATAAATCTGCAGATTCTGAATCATGTGGTTGTTTCTTTATCGGGGTTTTGCCAGGGTTCGATCTCAATTAGCATGTCTATACACCAAACAAGTTTCTGCTTCATCTGCAGTCATCTGACTTCTGGACAGAAGGAAGGTGATGAGCTTCGAAGGAATGCTGATGTCATGGAAATTTTGCGTAAAACAAGGTTCCCTAGAGTTCGTGGTTTGGGTGATGAGAACTCCCCACAAACTATTCTTGAGCATGAGTATGTATCATTTAAGTCCATATCCTAATCAATCGTTCAAGCCTCCAATTCTTCTTGTGAATTCTTTTCCAGCATTTAGTTTGGAACCTGAAACCTGTGTTTTTTCTGCAGTCGCATCATTTGGCTAGGGGATTTGAATTATCGGATTGCTTTGTCCTATCGAATGGCTAAAGCACTTGTGGAGATGCGCAACTGGAAAGTATTGTTAGAAAATGACCAGGCAAGTAAACAATTTTCATTGAAAGAAAACAAATAATTTGATTGCAATATGCTGTCCACTACTGACTGTAAATTGGTCATAGCTAACATGAGACCAACTTTTTTTTCAGCTAAGGATAGAACAGAGGCTAGGACGTGTTTTTGAGGGATGGGGTGAAGGAAGGATATATTTTCCTCCAACGTATAAGTACTCAAATAATTCAGATAGATATGCTGGTGATAATATAAAAGAAAAGCGAAGAACACCCGCATGGTAATATTTCTGTCTATATATTACCATAGTTACATGCAGTGGTATTTCATAGTTGCCGTTTGGATTGATATTCAGATTCACAAGGCATGCATATACCACTCCTCCTTCAGAAAGAATCACCAATTGAAGAAGCAGTCTTTTGAAATTTTATGCTCATTAATTTCTATCAAATGACAAATCTATTTTTACTAATGCAGGTGCGATCGTATATTGTGGTATGGCCGAGGAATTCATCAATTGTCTTACGTTCGTGGTGAGTCCAGATTCTCGGATCACAGACCAGTCTACAGTATATTTTTAGCAGAGGTAGAATCCATTAGTCGTAGCCGAGTCAAGAAAAGTATGAGTTGTGCTAGTTCTCGAATTGAGGTCGAAGAGTTATTGCCATACTCCCATGGATATAGCGGACTGAACTATTTCTACAGCATGGATCCTCAGTGAAGTATGATCTCTGTTTTAATCACTGGGATTAAACATCCCGTGTCCTGCTAAATATTGTATGGGTGAGTAAGTTTAATTTATGACTTATTTGCCTGTCGGTATAACATTTTCGCTTTTCAACTGAAACAAGTTTTTGTGATGGACAGGGCTTCCAGACATCCATGTCATGAACGCAAATTCAATTCATAAACTTTATCAATCTGGCTTATAAATTTCCAATGGCAGGTAGCTCTAATCTCTTTCCTACTTTGTACTATTTCTTTTGCAGAATGCATTTCAAGTTTTGTTCTTTGGCACATACTTTTTCTTGTCTGATATATCAAATCCACAATTTCAGGTCAGCCTGGAGAAAATGTCCACTGGTTACACTGGAGCAGTTTTTGCCTCATGCTATGAGGTTTGCCATTTCCCATGGGACCTTTGTTGTCTGTGGCTGTTTTGGTGATGTTACACGTAGTCATGTCCTCCATACTTTTTTCCTACTGCCAACGGGTTCTGATGGCCTAAGTTTTGTCCCACTCGGCTCAACTCTTTTGATTCTTTTCAAGCATCATCTCCCCTAAGATATTGACCTCCATGATGTGCAATGACAATTGGATAAGCACACAGTGATCATAGTTCTGTCTGAATCGGGAGAAAAGGGCTTTTTGTTTACCATGTTGATTCATGGTTTTCGGGGTATTGGCGCAACTCGGACCATATTCGCTGGTTTATTAACATAGATAGACAGATTATAGGGGTGTAGAAGAAAGTCAGTAAATTTTGTAGAGAAAAGAAAACGCACTGTTATTGTGAATTCTGCTGTAAATGGCTAGGCGATAAAATGAGAGAGGGAGGATCTCTCCCTTTGGTGGATACTTTAATCAATGTACTCTGTAACAATAATGAGTTGAAATGATTATTTGAAAGTCAAAGGAAAAAAGATGATTTGAAACATGAAGCCCCATTGTCTTTCCTTCAATTGCTAGCTTCTTTTCAGTTTTCACCCCATCCTTCTATTTTCACTTTGAGTCAATTACTCTAACTTTGTTGCGATTGATCTGAAAAGTAAGCAGCATTACACTACAGTGAAAAGCAAAGGAGCAAACACATCTGGTTGTCGCTTGTGGTTAATTCCTCATCTCTGTCGAAAGTTTTGCAATTATTATTAGTATATATATTTTTTTTTAATCTTCACATACACATTGTGTCAGGATTCTTCTTATGGGTATGTTGTAATGATAAATACAAGAATGCTGCTGTCCAGTGGTCTAAATTGTGGGGTGCAAAGTACAGAAGAAATTTTACAATTCAAGTACACATACCACATGCTTCCCTCTCTCTGTGTGTACATCTGGAATTGTATTTGTTTTTTTTGTTTGTTGCTCGTTTGCTCCACTACTGCATATTCTTTCTACATATTCATTCTGCAACTTGCTTGTTTTGGCAAAATGAGGCATGGTCCGCAATCATACCTGAGATTCTACGGATTCTGAAGGCTGAATCTTGGGCACCCTTCATCACTTTAATTAGGATGACAACTTGGGTTACGTCGCTGTTTAGTTAGATTTACGTCGTATTTTCATGTCGTGTCACAAATTAGTCCGAGCCAAATTCGGGTTCTTGTATCTGTATATATATTTTAAGTCCCTCCCTTTTAATGATAATAACCAAAAAGAATTGACTTAGAGAAAATGGAATGTCTGCTACAAATGCGACTACTTTGGTTTCTGAATAGTTAGCTAACTTTTAGCTGTTGTTAAGAACATTAAAAAAAAAAAAAAAAAAAGTTGTTGTTAAGAAACATCCAAAACCGGAAAAGAGATTCTTGCTCCTTTTCAAAGTACTTTATAGTAGTTCTTACATCTTGGAAATTTTATTAGGTAGCTGCTAAACTTGCTATTAGTGTTATTACTTTTCCAGTTGTGCAAAAACTGGGAAGTTTGTTCCAAAGTTGTTCCCTCCCAGTCCATCCATTTCTCCTTCAAAAATAAAAATAAATTATAAAAAAATTGCGATTCTTCGTACTTGTTAGCCACTACTACTTTGCCACGTTTAAACGAATCTCTGCTTCTTCAGAGACATCTTTTTTTTTTTTTTCCTGGTTTTGTTGGCTTGTTTTTTGTCTACCTCTGTGGCTCTGGGCTATTAGCAGTGTTTTCAGGAAGATGTTACTCTACAGCGTGGATTTGGAGGCCTCTTGACCAAAATTTTGGTTTGGATTATCTAATAATAATATTTGAGATTTTGAACGAAAAAAAAAAAAAGCAGTAGCACTTGTCTTGCCAAGATCTAGAGATAAGTGCAGTTTTAAATGCTTGAAACCTTGATAAAATAAGGGGCAGAGAGAATCGACCAATTGCTCCAATGTGAGAATAAACCATTGCATGTAGAAATTGGCTTATTATTAGTTATTACAGTCAAAGACACTTTTCTCATTGTAGTTTTTTTTTTTTTTTGGGTATATTACACATCCGATGTCTTTGAAATCATTGGTTCGACTAATCTAGATTCGAGTCGGAAAGGTCCTTTCGGATGGCAAAACTCTCTCAACAAGTATTCTAATCACTGCTGCATGTTCATGCCCGGGTTCGACTCCAGGTCATAGTTAAACTGGCACAATACTTTTTCTTATTGTAATTTCTGAAATCGTTAGTTATAACTTTTATATTTGGAAGTGTACCGTAAAATTGACGAAAATGTATATATATTATTTATAAGTTAATCCTGTTACTTATCAAAATACTTCATCTGCTCGATTTCAACGAACTTATTTTCATAATCATTGAATTACGAATAACTTAAAAATTTGTGATGAATTGTCCTGAACTATTTTCCACAAAAATACTGTTTGTTTATTACATTTGTGATAGCTTTCATCCCTAGAAAGATCTTGTTCATTTCAATCAACCACCTAAGAATAAATAAATAATCGAAATCTTAAGAAAATGTCAAAAATCAAAACAAATTCCACACATGCAAACGAGTAAAAAAAGCTTGGCAATAGTTTAGAGCCTAAAGGGGGAGGGGGGCACAGAAGAGTCAGAAGGGGGGGAGTCTGGAGCCATCCCATAAATTGAAGGGGGTTAGGGAGCTGGTCCCAGACAGGATGTGACATTTGTTTTCTGCTCTGTAATTTTTGCATCAAATTCCCTCTCTTTCTTTCCCTTTTTAAAATATTAGATATATTTATTTTTGCATTGCATGGGGAATTTCGAATTCCCCCCATATTTTCATGCTTTTTTGTTTCCTTGTTTGTTCGTTCATGCATCAACTAATTAACTAACTTTTGCTTCTCTTTTATAATGCATGATGATTTAATTAATTCTGTCACTTCTAATTAATTGTTTATATTTTATTAGTACATCTCTGTTAACAAGCACCGCCCACACACTGGAGAATCGTGTGTCTTGTGGCCTGATTCCGGGTCATGACTCATGAGACTCATGCATGAAACTATATTATGAAACTGAATCAAATAAAAGTGGTATTTATAAAATTTTTTTCCAACAGTGCCAGTGGAATAGCCATGTAATGTGGTGGAAAATGTAGTAAAGTAAAATTTGACCCATAATATAACTTTTTTTGTGTCCATAACTGAGGGGGCCAAATCGTTTTTCTTTCACCAAAATAAATAATGATATGGTCAAAAGAGTGTACCTTTGTACTTAGATTTGAGATATCCATCAAACTGGTGGCATCTTTTTTATGGGACAGTTTAAAAGAAATCTCTTTTTTTTTTCTCTATAGATTTTGTGCTGTTGTCTTCCCGTCTTTCTCACTTTTTCCATACCTCTTCTCGATCGGTTTCTTTGAATTTGATAAAGAACAACATATTGTACTACAATGCATTTCTATTAAATGGATGGCCTAAAAGATGGATTTTTTCAAGCTCTAATTATTTGCCAACAGGAAGGAAAAAACTCAAGAAATTTGGGGCTTAATCAATTTGTTTACTGTTATTCTGTTTTCCAAAGTGAGTATCTTCTGAGGTTATTGAACAACCAAAATGCGGAAACTGTTCTTAATTTGTCAAGGTGTATAGCTCCAATGTCCAATCTCTATATATATGGGTAGTATAGTGTGCTACTGTTGATTAAAAGCACTAAAACAGTAACAAATATAGCTTTAGAACTGTATGGAATTTGAAACTTCCGTATGAAAAAAATGAAAGCAGCAGCTGCAAACAGGTAGAGATGAAATCTAGTACAATTAGTATACTATTATTCAGACAATTATTTACACGTTCAAGTCTCTGTCAAATTTCAGAGGGTTTGATTCTTCTTCTTTGAAAGCGACACAAGAAGATATCCATAAGGCAAAATGAGGGAAGGGGCCTGGTTTGGTGATGGTGAAGTTGCAGTATTGTTACACCTTTCTTTCAAAAGTGTATAAAAAATGACAATTTGCCATGCATATATATCCTCAGAATTCTTCAAAATCCGCTGATCAGAAGCAAATTAAATGCCAACGCGCACGCACGCACGTACGTCTTTCTTCTTTGGCAATATTGTGTATGTTGTATGTATTTTTGATGATGAGTGATGACCTTATGAAATTATAGTCTCGCATGCGATTTCTTCACGTTTTCCTCCATTTCATTAATGCAGTCCAAATTTACTATCACTATCAGTAGTACGTACTGTTTGCACTCTTCACAAGCTTACAAAATGGATGATGTTGCACGACTTGAATCTCTTCATAAATTCGAAGGGGATCAAAAGTTAACCTAAAAGTTGGGGCTTGATCCGATGAGATAGTAAAAAAGAAAAATAAAACAGTATATTTAAGTAGGGCTGGTCATTTTGAACCGCGGTTCGGGTCGACCCGATGATCCGAACTGACCCGAACCGAAATTAGAATTTCGGTTCGGATCGAAGATTTTAAAAATTGGAACGGTTCGGGTCAAAAAAATCTACAAATTGAACCGAAAAAATCCAAAATCAAAAATTAAATAATTATATTTAATAATGACATCGTTGACCGCCGCCGGTCGCCGTCGGTGACAACTTCTGGCCAAAATTCCAGCGACATTGCCGGAAATTTATTTTTTTTCCGGCGGCCGGTGACCGTCTCCGGCGTGATGATGTCATCGTCATTTTTATGACGTCATCACTAGCAAAATGGTTCATTTCGGGTCAATTCGGTTTAGACCCGCAACTCGAACCGAACTGAAACCATTTGTGATCCAAAAGAAATTGACCCGTTTCTGAACCGAACCAAAATAACGGTTCGGTTCGGGTCGGTTTTCTCCAAAAGAACAGTCCTATATTTAAGAACAGTCCAAAAGAACGTATGTGTTGATCTCACGTTTATGTAATGTGTATTGTTAAACGCTTTTAAAGATTTGTAACAATGTTGCTATGGTCATATAATAACCTTAAATCGTTTGGTCAACCATCTCAGTTATCGAGATGTCTACAATATAGCAAGAGATTTTATAAGTCAGTAAATATGCAAAAAAAAAAAAAAGATTTGCTGAGCTTGTCACACATTTTTTACAAGGACTTGTTCCTCCAGCACCATGCCTATGATTGCAGAGCATTTTGATAAAATGGTACTTTTTTCGTCGAAAAATGGTTATTATCTTTGTATTGTTTATTCCTTATTCCATTATGATAATAGTTGTGTATCTCTATTTCCAATTCAAATTATTATAAAATATTTACTAATTATTACATGGTGTATGTGACGCGGAAGGGAGACTGTAATTATTCAAAATAAGATTTCTATACTTTAAAATATACTCGTTCCATCCAGAAAAATAACGGAGAGTATTAAAAGAAAAGAGTGTATGCATTGTTTTAATTAGGCTGGGCATTCCCGTGGAAGCTAGCTACAAGGGCCATGGGCTGATTAGGATAAATGCGTCATGGTCCATCAATTCAATTCAAGCCTCGCCTCGGATCGGGGCCTAGAAACCGGGAAGAAGGAGCCCAGCATCATATTGCGCAAGCAGATTTCAGATATATATAGTATTATTATTGAACTCTGAGTTAATTTCAGTCCTGAATTATGAGTTTTTAACCGTACGGGGTCTGCAACTGACAAATCAGTGAAATCACAAAAGAGTTTTGACGTAAGAGAGAGTGGTGAGGTGGTGTTACCGTCACATGATTGGAAAATGATGTCATGCATGATGGGAGGGGGTGGGTAGGAGGGGAAGAGTAGCTAGGGTAAGATATGAAAGAAAGATGGATTGAAGAGATGGGAGTTTTTTTTTCTTTTATTTTGTTTTTGGATCAGTGAATAAAAATAGCAACTGGGACTTTAACTACTTATGGCAAAAACAGAAAAGTAGAGTAGGTACAAGGGCATGGGTTTGTGTTCCTCATCAATTATTGTGCTTTCATTTTGTTTTTTTATTTTTATGTGGTAAGTAGTAGTACTAATAATAAGTAATGTAGTAGTAATTGAGCACAGAATTAACCAGTGAGCAAAAGATTGGTAAAAGGAAACAATATTAGAACCTAAAAAAATGATCAATAATCATCCAATTTTTTATATAAATTTGAACAGATTGATCATTTTTTAAAAAATAAAAAATAAAAATGGGCTCAACCATCCATCCAACAATGTGGAGGTGATGTTTTAAGCCCGGTGGAAAATCAAACGTTTGGAAAATGGAGATGCCATTCTTACTGATGGTAACTACGTACGTCAGGGAGGAATTCCCAGGAGAAAGAAGAAGAACTGCGAGTCAAACTGGCCAATCAATAATTATTACAGTGGTGACTATTTTACTGTCAAACCCTTTTTTTTTTTTTTTTAACACAAAACACTATGCCATATTTACAGTGAATTTAATAAGAAGTGGGAAAATGGAAACTTCAAACGTTGGAGTGTTAATTGACATGTGCAAACATGACGTCACAGATTGCAGAGTGATGGAAGAGGGGAAGACTTGAAGAGTAAAGAAGTTATTATTCAGATGCAGTTGCTTGCTTGTAATTATAAATTGAGTTGTCAGGTGAAAAAAATTCCCAGTAAAAGAAATGCGTACTAGAAGACGCACCCACGAGGCCCTCTGTGAATTTTACCATTTGTAATGCTAAACAAAATGATGATGATGATGATGGTAGCACAATTAATAAGATCCTTTCTCCTATCATTATGTTCAATGTTATCTTTTACATTGTAACAAACATATTTTTTTTTTTTTTACAGTCAATGTCTTTGTTTGTTCATATCATTGCTTTTCATTGGTTATTTTGGCCTTTTAGGTGATGAATGTGTTTATTTCTTGTTCTTGATTCTTGTGTTATCCTAAATTAATGATTGATAGAATAAAAGGGGAAAAAAAAAGCAGTATCTAATACATTGCATGATAGAGAAGATAGGTAATGACAATAAAGTAGTGAAGAAAGGTCAACAATGTTTTTGTAATAGTAAACGATAAGAGAAAACGAAAAAAAAAGAAAGAAGAAAACTCAAAACATGAAGGATGGGAACAATGGAAGGAATATCATTTCAGTCAACCCTGCTTAAGGGTATATTTGGATCGTTTTTGGAGTGTGTATTTTTAATTATTTTTTAACAAGAACATAAAAAGATATATCAGAAATGTGAAAAAATATATTGGAATGGAAAGGTACAATTATTATTAAATTATTCAAAGATTTGAAATAATTTCTTGTGCTTATGTACAGTATATTTAAAAGAGGCCAAGCACCTAATACATAATCAAAACATTCCACGGGGCGAAGACACCGTCGTATCCAAGCCCTAGTCTCTATAAACTGTGGATTCTAAATCATTTTTGAGTTGCGTGTTGGGTTGTAGATTTCCACAGTTTTAGGAAGGAAATGAACTGGACTTTTGTAATGATCCAAAAATTCTAACCAATCTGTATTTGCATTTCACCAATGTAAGTTGTGGGCTTAAACGGAGGACATCCATCCACATTCTTCCACGGGCTACCTCAAACAACCCAATTACATTTCCTGATTTCCACATCCAATAGCCCACCCTTCAATTCTTATGGGCCGAGGGAGTTAGGATCGCCCCATAATCATCATTCATCAATGATTTCCCCAATCCTCTCTGCTATTCACCTCTGAGAATATATAGCAAAAAGAGGCCATGCATGAAAGCTTAAAAAATGTGATTCTGTTTCCATAAAAAATGTGATTCCTTCAGAACCTGTTGTGAGGCAATTCCTGATTTGTCACCTTTTACTAATCTCTTCTTTTCATGCTTTCTTCTTACCATCTTCTTTATAGTGTTTTGATTCTTTCTTTTTTTCCTTCAGAAACATCTTTTTCCTGCTCCTTCTTTTCACATTTTTTGGTCTGCTTCTGACTCCGTTGCTATACTAGTCTTTGTTACACAAGAAGTTCTTCACATGGGAATGATCAGAAAAAAGAAGAAAAAGGAAAAAAGAAGCTTATGCAGAACACCAGCCTTTTTTAATCAGTTAAAGCAAAGAAGCAAAGCATCTTCTCCTTACACAACAAGCTCCCTCCAAGTTTCTGTATCTTTGCTTTTCTATGTAAGTATATATTCCAACTTTTCTTGCCTTCCAATTAATAACTATGCTATGCCCCTTTTTTCCTTCTTCCATCTTTTCCTGTTTTAATGATATTTTTTTCCCTGTCTTTCTGTGCAAAAATATATGCTGTTGTGCACAACATCATCATCTTTGTTTTTTTTCAAATATTGTTTGAAATTTTAGAATCTCTTCCTCCTTGCAACCTCCCATTAATGCAGAGCTTCACTTTCATTCCTCGTTTCTCCATTCATTAGTACTTTTATAAGCACATTCATTTTAATTCTTTGCTGGAGAAGCTATTCTTGGAGTTATTTAATTCCCAAATTTTGGCCTTTCTTTTCTTCTTATTTGGAGTTGGTGTAACCGATTCATCTTAGTGTGGTTGTTTTGTTTAGAAGATTGAAAATTTGAAACACAATTGATTCATTCCAACAACCCAAGCATATTGGAAGTTGTCGGCCACTTTGTTGAGGATTGAATTTGCCAGATTATCGGGGTGATTATACGAACAAAATGAACATTTTAACAGGCACTTCAAAGAATTCATGGCAGCCAACTGTGACTGCAGACACAACTACTTCAAGTTATTGGCTTAACTGGAGGGTGACTCTTTGTTCCCTTTGGATTCTAATATCATTGGTTTTTGCATCGATTCTGATCTCGAAATATGAATATCCTCGCAACCATTCAAGGGAAGGAAGTAGAGAAGCATTAAAAGAATCACCTGGAACTTTATATCAGGATGAAGTTTGGAAGCCCTGCCTCAAAACCTTACATCCTGCTTGGCTGCTTGGATTGAGAGTTATTGCTTTTTTAGTGCTTTTGTTGACGTTAATCCTAAATGTTGCCGTTGATGGAGGTGAAATTATGTACTATTACACTCAGTAAGTTGTCTGAATTCTCAAAAAGGAACAATTTTGGAATGATTTGAGAATGATTTCAGTAGTTGGAAATGATTTGTGCATCTAATTTCTGTTGTTTGCCAATGCAGGTGGACATGTACATTGATCACTATCTATTTTGGGGTAAGTATTCTTAAATTGATGTTTCTTGGAACAATCTTACAATATACTTTTCCTTATGATGATGTATCATATTGTAGCTTGGATCTCTGCTCTCCATCTATGGATGTTACCAGTATCACAACAGAGTTGTTAATATGAATGAGGATGATGGCCCTGATATGGAGCCTGGTGTACATGGTGAAAACTCTAGGATGTCTAACTATGTTAAAAGCTTTGGCTCTAATGAACAACATGACAAGCAACTTGCTGGCTTTTGGAGTTATGCTTTCCAAGTTATGTTTCAGGTATTGATAATACAGAAACCTACTCTACTGCTCATAACCATTGAATTAGTTTGTCGAAAAATTCTGTCATATTGTCGCGTTTGTTGAAAATTAAAAACTTCTGTTGGTCTCCCTAGCTAAGTTATGTCACTCTTCGAATTGAATCCAATTATTTGTGCCATTTATGTTGAGATATAAACTAGAGGAACTATTTGAAAGGCGCAGAATCAATGGTAATAATGTTTGATTTTGCGACTGGATGGAAATGTACTTACTACTTACCCTCTTCAGATTGAGTATTTTCAGTCTTTAGTTGGTTTTATGCTGCAAAGTCTAACAAAAAATTTCCATTTTCCTTCCTCAAGATGACTGCCGGAGCTGTGCTGCTCACTGACTTTGTCTTTTGGGTTATAATTGTGCCTTTTCTCACCACAAAAGATTATGGTCTGAGTTTTGTAAGTGTCCGAATTCCTTCAAGCCTTCAACTGCAGTAATCCTCTAATTTGCAATGATTGATATCACATAAAAGGAAAAAGCATGCTATCATTAGTTAGTCCTCAGATGCTGCAGTTTCAAACAAGCACAGTTTACAGATAACAACTTCTGTGGCCAATCGGACTAAACTTTTATTGTGTATATCTGTAATTTCTCAATCTTCATTTTCCCTTTCATATTTCTAAATGGTAGAATTCTGTCTGTGCAGTTAATAGTCAGTATGCATTCAATCAATGCTGTTTTTCTGCTCGCTGAAACCGGATTAAACTGCTTGGTGAGTTTTGATTGTTTGTTGAATCAAAGTTATTTTTCTCATCTTTTGTGTGACTTTCTTTTATGTTATGATTTGGTTTTCAGCGGTTCCCTTGGTTCCGGATTGCATACTTTTTTCTGTGGACAGCTGTTTACGTGATTTTCCAATGGATTGTCCATGCTTGTATGGCACTTTGGTAAAGCCAGTTTGTTCTTCCCTCTTCATCCCAGAGAACTGTTTCTGCTTTCTGCTTGCTTTTCTTTTTTTCCCTAACTAAAGTCTCCATAACAGGTGGCCATATCCATTTCTCGATTTATCTTCTTCTCATGCTCCATTATGGTAAGTACTCATAACAAACTATGTACAGTAATATCTGCTCGTATCAGGACAAATTCCAGAAAAGAAACCTCATCTGCATTTTGACACTAAACATTCTTTTGGTATATCTTCTTGTATGGAACTCTTTATCGCAGGTACTTATCCGTCGCATTGTTGCACATTCCATGTTACAGTCTGTTTGTTCTGATAATGAAGCTGAAACATTTTTATCTATCAAAATGGTTCCCTCAATCACATCAGAGTCCTCAATGATCCCGCATTGAGACATCTTGAGAGAGTGACATTTTCCCTCAGAAGTCCAAGTTGACAATGAGAAGAACAAAAGTTTTGCACAGATCGCGGAGCTGATGTCATGTGTTAGATTCTGATAAACTATACAGCTAAAATGAGACTATAGCCTATAGCAGGATGTAGTATTTTGGATACTTGTAAATACATACAAATATTTGAGAACTGCATTAAAGATCTAAAAAACAGAATTTCTCTGGTCCAGATAGTTTAGTAGTATTATAGCAGCATCTGGCATCAGGTGTATCCTCGAGTTCAACTTGGAAGATTCAGGCGTACTCGCCCGTGCTTATATCGAGCAACTTCTAAGGTCAGTGACGATAAGAATCTATGAGGTTACATTCAGTGCTCCAAGGCAAGGAATTTATCAATCATTTTGGCCAAAATAATCAATAGTGAAGATGCTAATTTTCTAAAACACTATTCCGAAGAATGAGATGCATGTAATTTGGGACCTGCGAGCCCGGAGCCATCTTGGGGCAATGGACTTGTGCCCTTAAAATATCGATGAGTGGTATATCTTGCAGTAGAAACCTAAGGAGTTGATTGGATTAAGATATTACTGCCACATCTTGCATCTCTACGGCTGAAAATTCTTCGCGAGAACCCACGGGAACTGGCTTGTGATGAGCCATAATGATCCATTTCATCATAAATATCCTCCTGATGATCAAAAATTTCAATTGTTGTAAAGGGATCATGTTTCCAAAGAGAGTGATTAGGAACATGTTGAATAGCAAAATGAAAACAAAAGGAACTCAAATGATACCTTTAGTAATTCCTCAATAACATCTTCCATGGTGATTATACCAACTACTTCCTCTTCAGGAGGGACAACCACTAGAGGATTGTTACTTAAATTCAAGATCTCAGGGTGTGATTCTCCTGACCATCGCCTACTTCTGGAACTTTCTCGTCTTGAAACATAGTCAATCCCAGGCGAAGTCTTCAGATTCCTCAGTGATCTTCTGAAGCTTCTTTTCTGCTCAAGCCTTTCACCATCAATCTCCAATCTCACTTCTCCTTCTGAGAAACGAGCTTCTTTCCGTGGAAATATGAAGAAATTAATATGAGATCGGGGGCAACCGGTAATAAGTATTGATACTCACATTGACATTCTATAGTCATTGATGTGTCACTACTTCCAAGTTTTTATCACATTTGTTATCATTTTGTTGATCATCACCAGTTAGTGAATTACATGTCTATCGCTATAGAAGATCAACGCGATTTTGTCTCTATGAGTATCATTCCTCATCAGTAATAAATGAACTGCGCTCACCATTATTCTGGGGCCTAATGGAGGCCTTCTCTGCCTTGCCATTTCGCGGTCTGACAACCACAGCCATGTGGCTTAGGCCTCTCTGAAACTGATTCAGTAGTTCAACTAGCAGCATTGTTTCTGGAATCCTATCAGTGTAATCACATTATTCCAACTGTTGTCACTGATGATGCAGTAATCTAATCTGACAAACTCACATATTGGTCTTGCAGAAACAAATTACACAAACATGGTTTTCTTTATCAGATATTATTCCATAGAAGAAGTTAATTGTCTTTCCTAATGACTTATTAGATTAGTTCCACAAGGAAAATAAAATTACCTAGGAATTGAACGAATTGTGATGTTCTTTATGGGCACCTCATCTTCTGGATTAAGAGTGAGCAAGTTCTTAACCTGCATTTATATATTCAGTTATACAACTCTACCTCCTGTATTATCCAATCTTAATGTATTAATAGAACTTGAACTTTTATACCAGAATGAGACCAATAATATCATTTGCATGCCCATGGAAAACTGGCACCCGACTGTGTCCCTTTTGTAGAATCAAGTTAATCAAGTTCCTGATTGGATAACTGAAAAATGTTAAAACATCTACTGAAAGACTGAAAAAATAAGCCTTCTCTTTCTAGTTCTGTTACAAGACAATACAGATGTTGTATTTCTACCTGTCAAGTTTGGCATTGATGTCAACTGCGAATATTTCAGATGCAAGGGTCATTGCATCTTTTGCTGTTTTCTCAGTGAGTTCAAGTGCACCTTGGATAATCGATACCTCATGATGAGACAAATCACCACCTTTTCCAGCCTAGGCAATGTAGGCGAACAAAGTGTCTTTTCAGTTTTAGGTTAGATGCACCAAATCTATGTTACACAGATAAGAGGATACTATTAAACATGAAACAGAAGATCCATCGCCAAGGCGGAATGAGCTATACCTTATTTCCAAGCAAGTCAAAAAGTGTTTTTAACTCAGCCCGACGATATAATGCAATGCGTCCTTTACCAAGCAAAAGGTCTAACAGCTAATACAACAGAGGACAAGGAGATAATTAGGTTGAATTATTACAGAACACACTAATCTCAATATTTAAGCAAGAAGAGTTTGCATTCAGAGAAATTCACGATAACGTTAATTGAGTTTTGGTTAATGAAAAGACCTTGCTAGTTGGATATGCAACCGGAAAGCAAATCCATACAAGACAATGGATTGCAGGAGCTAAGGCGGCACCAATTACCAAGCCATACTTTGAACAAACAGCATGTGGTATTATCTGCAAACAGAACTTGCATCTAATCAACAGCAACTATCACACTAAACAAGTGTTATATGAAATGATCATTGTGGTCTGAATTAGTTGTTGCTGATATCTTACTTAAAGAGAATGAATTTGATTGATTACATTTCCATTTGTTGTGGGTGAGTAGCCGAAGACGACATAACTTTGAGTATGCTTGCCATTAGTATCAAAGCTCAAAACAGACCTAGGACCTTACCTCACTGAACAAAAGGATTAATGCTGCCGAAATAAGAATAGTTGGCGTTTCTGGAACTAAATGATGGAGGAAAATTGGAAGAGCCTGCAGAACAGAAATTATACAACAAAAGTGAAAAAGCACTTTAAAGACAGAGGAAAAGTAAACCTGATACTACGAATTCCATCACAGTTCAATGTTTTGCACCCCCACACCGACTTACCTCCACTGCAAATGCTTTGGTAGTTATGAGCGTACATAACAACAAATGGCGTTTCTTGACCAGAGGTAAAATCCTTGCTGCAAGCGATAAGCATGGTATTCAGTCAATGTGGTGATAATAATGATAAATATTGCAGAACAATGGAATGGAAATGAACATACAAGCGTAGAAGCGGGTTTTCGATGAGCCAGATTTCTGAAGAACTTCAAGATCAACACGATTGATGGACATGTAACCCAGTGTGAGGCCATTCATCAGACCAGCAACTAAAATGAACACAATGACAAGATTGAGTTGCAAGAAGAAATCGGAATCACAGCATTTGATGTACTTCTGTGGGTGATGATCCTCAATAAAGCTGTTAAATCCCATCTTTGCATCCTATTCTTGTTCATTTGTGATCCAACTTTTCTTTTCTCTTTTTTTTTTTTTCTGGTCAGTATATGAAGGTTGCGGAATCAAATGGAACAAATTTTTTAATTCAAGGCGGCAATTTCAAACTTATTGCATTATTATATTATTATTATTATGAACGAAAAAGGGCATATTTTTAGCATGTTATAATGTGAAATGGAATATTATTGAAATGATTCTTTGTTACAATTACTAAAACCAGTTAAGAGTTTGGCTGCTCATTCTATATCTATAGGGAGTCTAATTAGCCAGTTTTTTTTTTTTTTGTTACAAAAAAGGAGGCGTGTAACGCCTAGTTGTGAACTAGTACATAATGTGGGTAAGAGACTCCTATTACATCATGTGCTAGCCAATTTTTTTTTTTATTATTTAAAGGGCCAACGGAAAAGTTTTAACTTTTGTCAAATATTTCCTGAAAAATTTTATTCAGTGATCCTTCGGCCAAAAATATTTCCCCTAATAGAAAATATTCAGAACTATACTATATTTCCGAATTTTTCCTTAAAATATAGGTCAATATCATATGAACAGAATCACACCATATCATTAATGTAATTTTTTTTTTCTTTGAAATTCTTTCCAAATTCTATTTATTTGTTTGTTTTATAGAAGGAACCAGTGTTTAAGGAAACTCCGTCCGTCATCATAGTGGCATCCGTCATGAGCTAGCTGTATTTTACACTTTGGTAATTCGATAAAAGCAATTCAATCCAACGACTCTAAATTAATCAAGTCTTTGCTATCTTCTTTTCTATAAAATCGGCGCCAGTCCCTTTTTTTTTTTAAATATCCCCATTGGAAAGCCAGCATATCTTACTTAATTTTATTTGTTTTCCCTAAATGATTAAGAAAATCAACTCCAAAATTAGATGTAAAGAAACGAATACGTATTTCATACGAATCTAGCCGCTCCTATACTCTAATTCCATATTAATGTGAGTTATTTCTTTCTTAAACCATAATCAATTTCAAATATTCAATTAAAAAAAATGTCCCAATTTAGTGTGAAAAGTATAACTTTTGCTAAAAAAGTTCTACGAATAAAAAAGGTTGAATATTATAGAACGGTAGGGGTATTTGGATGTCATAAAAAAGAAACAAAGAAGAAATGAAAGCATACATAAAAAGTTGCAGATTTAAAGCTAATAATATAAATGTTTATGGTTCTGACATATAGAAAAGCTATGTACAAGAGCTAGCTGAGATCCTGAGCTGCGAAATAGTAACAATCAAACAAACACATAATGCAATAAAACTAATTGCATTACAACCCCTGAGGTATATAGATAAGTAAAATTTTCCCCTACAAATCTTTTGCTACCTATTATACTTTTCTATCCACTGCTTCTTTTCTTCTTCTGAATTCTGACAAATTTTTCAGACATGCTGACGCTTGAACTCATTCCCCCGCTTCTGCTGCTGATTCCCACTTGCTTGAGCGCGCAGCAACTCTTGGTTATTATCAATTGATATCTGGATATCACGGCATACAGTAGAGCAGAATCCACAAAAGTCCCTGCAGTAATAGCAACGATTAAGTTATTACGCTCATATTCAAGCCACATAAAACCAATTTCTCTAGTCCAGTTCTAAAATAAAACACGTATAAATTATGGTTTTCATTATTATTTTCTAAGTTCAAGGAGATATACTCTCTCACAAACACATAAATTTGATACGGATGGAACTCAAGACGGATTCATAAAGGAGTCGTCAAACTTGAAGGTACCATCTTAGTATGTCCACCACCTTATGATTTGGGTTACATATCAAAGTCATCAAAACTACTATGCGAGTTTGACGACTTTCCACAATCATCAAAACTGCACTATCGTCCACCCAAACGACACAGCACTATGATTCACCGGAAGTTCACAGACTCACCAAAACTATATAAGGATATATATATATGATTCATCTAAATCACTAGAATTGTATGGTATTAGGGCGATGACTGATCGAATTTACCGGCACTACTCACCGAAAAAAATTAGTTACTCAGTTCGATAATAAATGGTTAAATCTACTTCAAGTTAACAACTTGTTAAAATTATCGAAAAAATACGACATAAATGCGTCAAATTTACCAACTGACAATGTGGTCACTCGCCGAATCCTAGATGTTTATATTAATATCTACCGATTCTGAAATAAATTTTTTAATTGACGTTCTTTCATCGCTGGAAAGCGATATAAATACGTCAAATGTAACAAACGACCGACAATACTGTCACTCGCTGACTGTTAGATGTTTACAGTAATATCTATTTGTTTAGAAATAAATTTTTTAACTGACGTTCGTTCACCGCTGGAAAGCGATATAAATACGTTAAATTTAACAAACAGACCAGTAATATTGTCACTCGCAGATTGTTAGATGTTTAGATTAATATCTATCTATTTAGAAATAAATTTTCTAATTGACGTTCTTTCACTGCTGGAAAGCGATAAAAATACGTCAAATTTAACAAATAGACTGGTAATGCTGTCAGTCGCCGATTGTTAGATGTTTACAGTAATATCTATCTATTTAAAAATAAAATTTTTAACTAACATCCGATCATCGCTGGAAAGCGATATAAATATTTCAAATTTAACAAACGGACCGACAATACGGTCAGTCACCAATTGTTAGATGTTTACAGTAGTATCTATTTATTTAGAAATAAATTTTTAAGTTGATGTTGGTTCACCGTTGAAAAGCGATATAAACACGTTAAATTTAATAAACGGACCAACTTCACTTCCCGATCGTTAGATATTTACAGTAATATCTATCTATTTAGATATAAAGTTTTTAAGCTGACGTAATTTCACAGTTCAAAATCATCATAAACACAATAAAAATACGTCAAATTCACTGAATCGACCGACAATGCGGTCATTCACCGAACCTTAGATGTTTATCTATCTCAATAGAAGAAAAAAAAAATTAAAACTTTAGGGAAGGAAAAAAAAAAAAAGAAAAAAGAAAAGAGGGACTCAAAGTTAAACTTGAATGAACTTGAACCCGTGCCTTGAATTTACAAACTCTTTTGCACCTTTAACTAATTACGAGCCATAATTGTTAGTATCTAAATATTCAAGGCAATTAGATAGATAATAAAATCTTTTTAAGGATTAAGAAAAATATTTAGGGAAAAAAATTACCAAGTAATGTGGATTTTGTTGGAAACTTGGTACACTTGCGAATTATTTTATCTAATCACTCATCTGGATAGAAAATACTATCAAATTAACATCTTCAAACTTGAAACTAAAACATTCAACTACTTTTTGAAGATGTATTTAATTATATCAAGGGCTGAAAGTGAAATGCAACCCAAAAATTGGATCATTTTAAACTTTGCCCATATTACCAAAACTTTTCCCCAAGTGAAATTGGTTTCAGTTCAAAAAAGTAATCACAACAAATACAACAAAGTAAGTTATGCTGGAACAAGAACCAAATTTTTTCAAAAAATAAAATAAAATAAAATAAAATACTCCCCTCGTCCAATTTAATCGTTCAATTAGTAACGATTAAAATGAAAATAAGGGAGGGTAATCAATTAGAAAAACCAATTTAGGAGTTCAACCGTGAATTTTGAAAAATTTACAAAAAATAAAAAATAAAAAATCCAAAGTTCAATTCAGTAAATAATTTTTACCTGTACATGAAAACTTCCTCATTGTCCCGAATGAATTTCTTGCAATAATGGCAGTTCCTCCAAAACTCACCCATGTATGGGGGAATACCAACACCCTGAAAATTATTAAAATTTATTGATCGATTATCAAAAGCTAAAATAGAATTTTAAAAAAATTAAAATTAAACGAGAAACGGGTCAACACACATAAGACCATAATAATGCGACCCACCCAGAAACCGGTTCATTACCTTCCCCGGGGCAGTCACAAACTCCGCCGGAGCATTAACGGCAGCCGCCGGAGTAATCTCCACCAGCGGCAATTCTGCTTCGGTGCTTACACGTCCGCGCTTCTTCATCATACCAAACCCAAAAAAATCCAGATAGAGAAGAAAGAGAATAGGCGAGAAAAGTGAGAAAGATAATTTGAGGTGGAATTTGGGGATTTTTTTTTTTTGTGTTTTTGGGGGAGGTGGAATTCACAGGGAGGAATTGTGGAGTTTGAGTGTTGTATTCTGCAAGTTCCTCTTATAATGGTGGCTTTGGGTTTATTTTTTGAGAAGAGGGAGACGGTGCTAGACGTCAAGTATTTATAGGCTGTTGTGGACCCTTTTGCTTTTGCACTTCTCAACTAACCAAAGGGAAAAATTAAAGTGAGTTTTTTCTCCCTTGATTATGTGCTTTTTGTCACACTCCCAACCTTTCTTTTTTTCTTCTTTTTCCTACTTTCACCATGGCCACGTAAACAGTGACATCCCATTGAAATTTTTTTTTACCGTTTACCATGGCTTCCGACTCTCCAAGGTGGCGGAGTAAAGAAATCAATATTGGAGGTGCGAAATTTAGACAAAAATACTAATGATATTAGGAAATTAATGTAGGAATTTGAAAAATTATTCCACACATAGTTTCTATTAAAAATCTAGGATATCTCTACTGATTACAAAAAATTGAATAGGTGTGACCGCGTCCCTCCGTCCCCCTAGCTCCGCCACTGACTCCGGCATCAGTGATATTATTCAGTACATTCGTTACGCTACCATTCGAATAATAAATTCCAAAAAAGCATATAAATGAATGGAAATATAGAACTAACATTATGTTTCGTATCTGATCAGCTATGCGATTAACCAGAAAAACTTATCAGGCACGCCTGATGAAGCTGTCGTCATTGTAGTCTGAAGTTTTTTCCAGAGACCTCCAGTAAAAAGATAATAATAATAATAATAATAATAATAATAATAATAATAATAATAATAATAATAATAAGGGACTCGTTTCGTCAATGTCTGCAAGGTAAAATTATACATATATATAGAGAGAGAGAGGGTCAATTTATAGAAATAACAAACTACTGCAGTTGTATTTATGTCTATAGTCAAGTTAGTTAATTGGATCTCAAAAATGGTTATAATACTAAGGGTTAATATAAAAAACACCTCCGAGGTTTATTGATTTTTTAAAATATCTTTACTGTTTAATAAAATATCAAAAAAAATCCCTTGACTACTGATTAAAATTATCAAAAAGATCGTTTGGCGACTGAAAATTAATGTATGCATGTGAATCCAGTACAAGAAGTACTCAAAGATTGTTTACATTCCTAAGAAATCATTCCTAATTTTTCTTTCAAACTCTAATGAAATTCGTATGGGTGCAAATTTAATTCTAACTTTATAAGACTTCATCCATTCAGGGTTAGAGTGCTGATTTTGGGATATGCAAAAAGTGAATTCTAGATTTAAAAGTCGATATTTAAATTTATTAGAGTTTTATAAAAACTCATGGAGGGTTTCTTGAAAGTACAAATATTTTCTTGACACTTTTTGGCTGATTTCATATGCACATATAAATTTTCAGTCGCAAGAGGATCCTTTTGATTATACTTATGGGTTAGGGGCTGATTTTGATATTTTTAAAAAATTGTAAGGTTGTTTTAGATAATCAATTGCACATGAGGGTATCTTTTATATTAATCCAAATACTAAACAATTTGTTGCCCCAATTTGAAGAGTTTGAAGTAACATAAATAGTGAAAAATATAGTCAAATTAATTTTAGCATTTTTATTATTATATGAATACAATATAAAAAATTATGAATCATCAAAACGTTTACAAAAGTAAAGATAAATTAGGATTGTCAAAAAAAAAATACTCCCTCCGTCCCACAAAAATAGTCCAATTTCAAAATGTACAACTTTTTTAATTTAGTCAACCCTTGCAATGTACAATTCATTTTATGCTTCAAACTTCCAATTTTAACCCTGACTAAAAATTAATTTTCATAATTATTAAAAAAACAAAAACAAAAAGCCACCATAAGTTAGGGGTGTTCACGGTCCGGATTGGCCCGGATTGATAGTAATCCGTAACCAAACCGTTCATTAAGGTTTGAAAAAATTTCAATCCATAACCGGACTGGATTGGTGTATAATCCGGACCAATCCAATCCGTTTTTAACAGTTTAGTTTGGACAGATTTGCGGATTGGGCTTCTGATTGGGCTTTTTCATTTTGGGCAAAAAATTAAATATTTTTTTGTTATTGGACCTTTTTTGGGGGCTTTTCCTGAATTTTTTTGGCCTTTTTTGACCTTTTTTTGGAGGCTTTTCTTGGGAAAAAAAAATAGTCCATGGGGGATTCGAACACACGACTTTCAGTAAGATCTAGTGTAGAGTGAACATCGACAATGCCAATGAGATAACTTAGCACTTTCAATAAAAGTCTCTATCCGACACTACATACACAAAACTAATATATTATTATTTTCTAATATATATATACGGTTCGGTCCGGATTGACAGACGGTTTGACAGTGCCAAACCGTAATTCGGACCGGATTAACCGGTTTTCAATTTTTCAATCTGCCGGTTTAAAAATATAATTATAATCTGTCCATTAATTCGAACCGATGACCGGATTGGGCGGTTCCACCGGTTTGAGCCAAACCGTGAACACCCCTACCGTAAGTTTCCCAAGCCAAAGGAGCTGTCAGCGTGTAATCATCATCAATCAGCAACTCTGATCAGTTTCACCTTTTCAATTGAATTGTCTATCGTTGCCGCTACCGCTGTCGCCGCCGTTAGCCATTCATCTCCGATCAATTTCATGTTTTCAATTCGTTCGTTTCCGTTGCCGCTGAACAGTTCCCAATTTGGTTCGTCTCTATTGCCGCTGCCATTCGCCATTCAAAGGGCTTCTTGTATCCATACAGTGATTTAAAAACTCAACACTGGTTCGTCTCTGTTGCCGTCGCCATTCGCCATTCAAGGGGCTTATTGTACCTTCAAAAACTCAATACCCTAGTGCCGCCACCGTCAAGAAATCAAAGGAAAGTGAGCGGCACTGTGGGCGATCGAAGCCAAAGAAGAAAAGGAAAAAAGCATGGGCAGAGTTCGGTGAGAAATAGCTGATGGTAGATAGTAACACCGACAATGGTGGCTCTGACTCTCAAAATTTCCTCCAGGTTCATATCATAGAAAGTTGGAGTAGATCTAGATGCTAATTGGACATCATTTTACTTATTTCAATTTTGACTTTTTTGAAACTGGACTATTTTTTTGAGACAAGATTTTTTTTTTATCAAACTAGACTATTTTTGTGATACAGAGGGAGTATCATTATATATATTAAAGGAAAGAAAGATAATCGACACGTGTCGCTCATTGAGACCACCAAGTCTCAATTAACACGTGTCATTTGCTAATTGGTTGATCATTAATCAGTTAAAATTTTTTGTAAACAGTTAATAAATTATTTACAACTCCTTCCGTCCCACAAAAATAATCCAATTTAATAAAAAATCTTGTCCTAAAAAAATAGTCCAGTTTAACAAAAGTCAAAATTCATTGAATTGAAATGACTTAAATATCCAAAAGAGTAGTGGTATGAAAAACAAGGTCCACTTCCTTTGATTTTCATTTTTTTTAGTTTTCTCTTATTTTTTTTCAAATGATTATATCTTTTAATACATGAATAGATAAAAAAATGTGTTATATATCAAATTAATCTACGTAACGAGATCTTTCCATTAAGATCCATTGTTAATGTTTTTTGAGATAAAATTTTGATCAAATTTAAGTTGTAAAATAAATGCATATGTAGTTAACTTTTATAGAAAGAATTAGAAGGGGCGTTAGTGGAAGTTAAGGGAATGAAATGAGTTGTACATTTGGTGTGTTGACCAAATTAAAAAAGTTGTACATTTTCAAACTGTACTATGTTTGTGGGACGGAGGGAATATATAAGATTTTTACAAACATTACAAATTCTTGATTGTGAGCTTGAAAATGAATATTTTTGAAAATTGCTGAGAAACTCTGACTTCAAAAGTCCTTTCATTTACGAGTTTAAACTTTCAATCTATTGTCATTTTGGCCCTTAAAGTTCCATTTGTGTGCTATTTAGTTTTCAAGTTTATCGATTTTACATTTCTAAGGACGATTAACTGTGTCTCATGTTTTATTAGAACTACATCTAATCCCCAAAGTCCACTTGCCTATAAAAATAGGTCATATGCATCTAGACATAATTTACGCATTTTTTAAATACATTTTTTAAACCAAACATAACATTAGTTAGTGGTGACAATTTTTATTATACAACTTTTGAAAATCTTTGTTGTAATATTTTTTACCAGATTTTACAAATATACCTCTCATAAATAATATCAGCACCTCTCATTTTGATCTAAAACTGATTAATAACAAATATTACAGTTTTAAGAAATATTAGTAACTACATTTTTTTAAGAGAATAAGGACGGTATATTTGTCACTACATTATCTAATCAATTCTTTTGAAATATAAATTTTCAACATTGACAAAGCCGCACAAAGCGCGGGACACACACTAATATATATAAGAGATAACATTTGTCAAAGTTATATTTTAACAAAAAGATCAATATTTCAATTAATATCAAAACGAAATTTTCTTCCTTTTTTTTCTGTTGCTTTTGTGGCCGAAATAAAATGGCTGGTGCAGACCGTGCCTGGTTATATATACCACATCAAATTGGATTTTGGTAAGGAATAATTAACTAATTGTTGCAGCTATTGAATAGTATGCTTACTCATTGATGCCAACTTTTTGAATCAGCAAAAGCTAATTAACGAAATACTATACAGAAAATATTACAGTACTAACATTTTCATGCTTTTAGTTATGGTATAAAAGTTTTGTCTTTCTAACTTTCTCTAAGCTAATGTCAAATTTGGATGTCAATTAATTTTTTTTGAACAATAATTTTGGTTAATCAATTTTCCATTATACTAATAAAGTATTCAATTACAAGAAAATGATAATTAAGATATACTACAATTGCTACTAATTAAATCATTTATATTGTTACAAGAGTTTATATAAAAAAATAAAGAGAATTAATATTTATCTATAGAGGTACCGATACTCTTATTTTTTTTATGCATTAGCAATCCCATTAAATCTGACCGTTTATATAAATGTTATACTTTTCTTTTGCAAGCATTATCATATTTTTGTGGTGTAAATATGTACAAATGTTGTTTTCTCAAGGAAGGCTAAAAGATTATTTTTCAGGGTGTAAATATTTATAAATATTGAGTTCCCAAGCAAGGCAAAAGGATTATTTGGACGCAGAATTATTCACAGACAAATTACTTTTACTTCAAAAAATAAGTAATGTATTTGTAGTACTCCCTCTGGTCCTTAATATAAGGTATTTTGATTTGTCCAAGGTTTAATCTAGTACGTAATTTTAATTGATAAAAATTTCTTAAAAATATTTTATGCAATCAAGAGAATATAACGAATGTGAAATATATTTTTAAATTTTTTTATCAATTAAAAAAATGTGTACTAGGTGACTTCTAGGATACAATCAAAATGCCTTATATTAAGGACCAAGAGTATGTTAAAACCACCGTAAGATTTCACTATCTTGAAATGTAAATCCCGTTTTCCTCTTATGCTCCCAATTGATTAAGGCATTCGAGCCAAGTCATTAAATCGTTAACTTGAGGAAAGCATTGTGTGGCCATATAAATGTAATTTAATTTTTCCCATTTGATAAGGCGATGAGCTATTAAATTATTTGTTTCATAATTAACTTTCCAAGAAAACGAAAAACAGTTATTTTGGTGACTCAATTAAGTCGCTAGCTACTAGAATATATAAAAGTCTATAACCATAGCCTTTGCTAGGTTAAGGGGAAAAAATCTCTGAAATTTATTAAGGACCTTGTATGAGACAAATATACTATATTCGGATAAATAAATTGAGGTTAGTAGGAATCTTATTGACCTAATTAGTATCCGAATTGCAAAATTCCATCGTCCAAATGCGGTGTGCACATACTCCCTCTCTCCAAAAATTATTGTCCACTTTGAAATTTAACTTTTAGTACAATTTAAACTAAAAATAAAAACTCAAACTGGACAATAATTATGGGATGGAGGGAGTATTACATTTGATTTCCACCTAGCTAAAATGCCTAAAATGCAAATCAGCTAGATTACAACGTAATGATATTTTAAATTCACGCCTAAATTAATCATATATATATATATATGTGTGTGTATAATGTAACACTCATGAGTTCGCTTTACGTGTTTGGTGATTAATTAAAACTGTTCGCTGAGCAATTTCTCATCTATAAAACAATGTGACACATAATAAATGGATCTAATGTATATGTAAATTCAAATTTTACACAGCGAAAGGTTCAATTATAACGTAATACTCCCCCGGTCCTATAAAAATAATCCAGTTTAATAAAAAAAATTTGTCTTAAAAAAATAATCCAGTTTCACAAAAGTCAAAATTAATTGAATTGAAATGACTTAAATATCTAAAAGAGTAGTGGTGAGGAAAACAAGGTCCACTTCTTTTGATTTTCATTTTTTTTTTTAGTTTTCTCCCATTTTTTCAAATCATTATATCTTTTAATACATGAATAATTAAAAAATGTGTTATATATCAAATTAATCTTCGTAATGAGATCTTTCCATCAAGATCCAGTGTCAATATTTTTTGAGATAAAAATTTTGATCAAATTCGTTGTAAAATAAATGCATATGTATGTAGTTAACTTTTATAAAAATAACTAGAAGCGGCATTAGCAGAAGTTATGGGCATAAAATGAGTTATACATTTAGTGTGTTGACTACATTAAAAAAGTTTTACATTTTCGAACTGGACTATTTTTCTGGGAGGGAGGGAGTAATATTAATTCACACCTAAGGGCCTGTAGGCACCGTTAGCTAGCTTTACACGCCGCGCTTGGTGATTAACTGGGTTACCCACTGAGTAATTTCTCGTTCAACACAAAGTGGGCCAGAATAAATGGATTTAATATAATGTAAATTAAAATTTTACACAGTGTAATGACAGTTGCTTGAATCCCTTATTGGTGTCGGAAGATACCGGTGTATGGTTTATATGTGCTTGGGTTCTTCTCCCTTACAAACTAACTTTTGTGGTGACCCCCAAGAGGTATAACAAGTGGTATCAGAGATGGTCCCTACCCTTCGTGTTGACCCGCAGAAAGAGATACCTAGAGGAAGGGCTATCCTGAGTCACGCAGAGGGTGAGCCGCCGGAGGAAAGGGGTACTTGTGGAGTGAAGCCGTCACGGAAAGGGCTATCTGTGCCGGAGTGAAACTGTCTAGACTCTAGAGTGCAGCCGCCGAGACGTCAGAACGGAAGCATCATGATAGTATGTAATGATAGTTACTTGAATACCATATTGGTGTCGGATGACACTGGTATGTGGTTTACATTGGTGTCCTCTCATTCTTTCCCTTACAAGCTAGCTTTTGGTGGGCTCCCTAGAGGTATGACACACAGCGGAAGGTTTACAACGTAATGATGAGGCTTAAAAGTCAAAATTTGTTGACACTACATAAAAGTCCATTGATTGATGTGAAAGACGATATACTGCACAAGTGCACATCATTTTCATATTGGACGTTGGATTTCCTAACTAGAATGTTACGGAGATCTGAAAACCTATTGATAAAAGTTAAGCTCTACTTTTTAATCAACAATTGAAATGTTTGTTGTGTTTAAATTTTCTTTTCCTCTAATTTTTTATTTACATTCTTGATTTTTATGAATTATTATGTTTTATTTTATTACTAAATTTTTGATAATTGTAACAATGATACAAAGGATTGGATTTTGGTTTTCATCGACATGTTAATTTGTCGGCAGATTTCATCAAAATCCAATATGTTACGATTTTTATATTGATAATGATAAATCATTAATTAGTACGTTTTCAAAAATGAGATGTTTCATTATGCATTAACAGACACAGAAATCAGTTTTCTTTTTAATAACATTTCGTATTTTGTTAGTCTCTAATCGATTTTTGAACACCGACATCAAACTTTGTTTTTAATAACATTTCGTATTTTGTAAGTCTAATCGATCTATGAACACCCACATCAAACGTATTTTGTTAGTCGTGAATCGATTTATGAACGCCGATGTCCAAGCAGAAAACTTACATAAAACTCAGTATGAAATGATTGTTAAAATGGTAACCAAATGCCATGCGCTTTGATTCACTATTTTTGTCTGTTCAAGTTGGTTTCATATTTTACCAAAGTAATATTAAAAAAATAAAAATTCAAATTGTACAATTATTTCGAATTAAAAAACATACGATATTTAAACTCGTCTGTTCTTTAAGAGCAACATTATTGGTGTTAACCAACTTCTTTTACTTTGTTCCAGTGTGGAAACTCACACACCTATGGATTTTACCTGCAAATTACTGACTGCACTGGGCCAACTTACATAAATCAATGGGGCTTCTTTTACTTTGTTCCAGTGTGGAAACTCACACACCTATGGATTTTACCTGCAAATTACTGACTCCACTGGACCAACTTGCATAAATCAATGGGATGCCAATGCATTACAAAAAGAAACAAAGAGTATGTGGGTTCTACATATTACCCAAATTGAAGTAACACCAGTATAGCAAAACAAAGATTATAGTAAATGGAGTTCAAGTCAGTCTATGTAGCAAAAGAGGGCCACCTTTTCAACCATACTAGATATTTTCCACTGGGCCAATTTGCATAAATCAATGGGATGCCAATCCATTACAAAAAGAAACAAAGAGTATGTGGGTTCTACATATTACCCAAATTGAAGTAACACCAGTATAGCAAAACAAAGATTATAGTAAATGGAGTTCAAGTCAGTCTATGTAGCAAAAGAGGGCCACCTTTTCAACCATACTAGATATTTTCCACTGGGCCAATTTGCATAAATCAATGGGATGCCAATCCATTACAAAAAGAAACAAAGAGTATGTGAGTTCTACATATTACTCAAATTAAAGTAACACCAGTATAGCAAAACAAAGATTACAGTAAATGGAGTTCAAGTCAGTCTATGCGGCAAAAGAGGGCCACCTTTTCAACCACACTAGATATAGCTCGCTCTGATGCACATGCGTGTCTATACATAGTTGACGTAAGAGAAAAAAAAAACAGAAAGAAAAGACGTAGAAAGAAAACCGGTTCCTGTTGGAAGAACAGTGCAATGATATGAAACACGGGACGCAGAAAAAATGAAAGGGAACAAATTGAACAAGGATGTTATTTGTTGTTCTTGCCTGCTCAGTTTTATTCATAATAAAAGGAGTTGCGTATCTTACATCTTACACCCCATATACCCCGCTGTTACACACAAATCACACAACCACATCTTCCCCAGTTACAATATTTTTCACACACAATTTACAACAAAACGCATGCAGAATTGCAGATCATCAGGCCTCTCTTTCTCTCCCACTTCTCTACAAACTGGAAAACAAAAACATCATCTTTCCTTCATTGATTTTCCGACGGTTTCGATTTCACTCCACGGCACGTCCTCCCTCCTGCTGCTGCTGACGTGGTCCCCTGAAGAAGTACTCCTCTTGCTGACTGTTGAAAACCTCGTCCACTTCCCTGGCTGAAACCCCGAATGCCAGCTCTTTGGCTTGCCTCTCAAGTTGGTTCAACACATTGTTCCTCCCTGCAAGAGGGAATTTGCGGTTTTGGAAGGCGTTGATTTCAAAGAAGACTATCTCCAGATTCTGGTTCTGGGAGGCAACTGAGACAACCGGATGCCCTGGTGGGATGATGAATACGGTTCCCCGTCTTAAAGGAGAACTCACCTTCTGATAACGGGGCGGCCCCTGAGTTTCACCGTATCCACCCTGTCCCCGTTGACTTCCCTGTTGACGCTGTGACCCGGGACCACCGTATTGTTGTTCTTGGCCCTGTTGCTGCTGCTGCTGCTGTTGTTGTTGCTGCTGGCTTCCTTGTCGACTTTGAGATGATAAATGGGGACAAGCCATTTCGAAGTATCCTTCTCCGTTGACCACGTATCCTACCTTTGTTGCCTTTGAGCTATACATTATGGAAGTCATTCCATTCTGGTGACCAAAAATCGGATTTTCGTGTATTTGTAAGCTTTTTGGGGATCACTAATTTTTATGCAAGAAACGAAAACAGAGAGCCGATCGAAATTATTGTCCAGTTTAAGTTTTCATTTTTAGTACAAATTGAACTAAAAGTGAAAACTTTAATCTGGAGATTATTTTTGATACAGAGGCAGTATAATTTACCCTGGTGACGTTAACGAGGGAAATGGCAACGTTAAGGTCTTGAAGCTGCCTGTAGTCATTGAACTGGACCTCGTGGACTCGTCCGTACTGGTTGGAGTGAGTTGGGCGTTTATTGAAAATGTTGAATTTCGATTCAGACTCTCCACGGAATGGCCAGATTCCGCCGGTTTCTCCCTGTTGGCTCAGGGACCTGATTTGTTGCTCCGAGGCCCTGACGATGACTCCCTGCCTTTGCTGTCCGAAAACTCTCTGTAATCTTTCACCCCTTGTCTGAAATCCAGTTGAAAAAAATTCATCAGGTGATGGATCAAAATAACAACAAATCAAACAAATTAAAAAAGCCGAAGAAAACTAACATTGAATACGGCTTCAAGAATCTCGTTGCTGAAGGTCCTGTAGAATGACTGTGGGTTTTCACCTCCAGCTCCAAAGAAGTTCTGCACTTGTACAGAACCGAAAAATCAATCCAAACTATCAATTGAAACAGAGTGTCCAAATTTCTAGTTGAAATTTTATCTACCTCAAAGTGACCTGGAGCACCAACAGGCTGCAAGAGCTTGGCTAAAACAAGCCTATGATTGTTGTCCCTGTTGATGAGATAAGTCGTGGTTCCAGCTGGAATCCGGAAAATATCTCCTCGTCGGATGTTGAAACTCTCCCTGTCGTCTTCACGCAGAAAACTAACAGCCCCATTACCTATAATTAATTAACAAAAACCAAGTGATTAGTACCTCTGATAATATATCCACCACCCATAAGCCGAAAATTGGTCTAACTGCATCGATCAGGAAAAAAAAAATGAATCGATCAAGTGGTCACCATGAGCAACAAAGATGAGTCCTTCAGCATCCATGTGATTCGGGATGATGAAAGTGTTGGGATCAGCTTCCAGAATAGCAAACCGGTAGTTATCGATACCGCGGTGAAGCTCCGATCGCTGAGTAAAACGAGGAAGAACACGCACTCTTCCGTGTTGAGTCTGGATCTTAGTCTGGAAATGCTGTTCCTCAAACACGTACGGATTCTGTTCTCCTTGCTGCTGCTGTGGCCCATATTGCTGCTCTTGGGCATCATTCCAGAACCATTCTCCTGTTCCTCTTCCCACAAGAAACAGGGCAAACACTATGAAACAGAGTAACGTAAGAAACTTCATATTTTTTTATTAGCTAATTGATTTTTCACCGATTCTTGAATGGAGATAAAAAGGAAAGATGTGAAATTAAGGACAAACTACATTGATGATATATGGCAGCACAACTAGCGATGAATTTATAGCAAGACGAGGGAGATTGGTGATAATGTAAGATAGTCATGCAGGAAGACGGGTGTCAAAAGATTTTCTCCTACGTGGCTTATACGTGGAAATGGGTTGTGAAAAACAACAGGACATTTAATAATCGCCGCGTAACCAACAATACTAATCAGACAAAACTTCCAGCATGATCAGCATTTTGAGCTAACTGATTAGAAAAAAAAAAATTGGTTGTTTGCAATGAGGATGAAGATCACGTGAGACGGCCGGGTACGGACGGCCGGCGAGTCACGTGCGTTTACTGTACGGGAGGAGGTGTCTAGTTGTGACACTAATCAACACTGAACTCATGCATGAAGCCCACGGGGTTCCAAAGTATTGTATATTACTATTTGAGGTTATATTTTGGAAAGATGTTATTTTTGGATTTCATCAATCTGGTGCTGCACTTCTCACAGTTGAGAAAATAACAAAAAAGAGTTATTGCTTTACAATTTTGATTTATTATTTGTTCGCTGTCGATAAGCACGAAGGCGCAAAGTTTTGGGGCTTATCTTCTGAGCATTTCTGCTACTTTCTTCTGTTCCAGTACTGTGTGGGCAATGAATTTGAACCGGATATTGGGACATGTACATGAGCATTGAGAAAGTTTATTTACTAAATCAATTTAATCACCCACAAAAGAAAGAAAGAAAGAAAGAAAAATATGCAAAAGGGCAAAAAAAAAAAAAAACAAATGAAAAGAAAAATGACAGTTTTGTGTGCTGGGGTGATCACGGTCTCAAAGTTGAGGTCATTGATTTTAAAACAAGGGGATTAACTTAAGAGGTGGTGGAACTTGGAAGTGATAACTTTTTACCAATTTATGTAATGTCGTTTGCATCGATTGGTTTGAAAATTTTCAGAGTTTGTATGTTTTTTCACTTAAGAATTTAAATTGATACTCCCTCCATTTCAAAATATAAATCACTTTAAATTTCGCATGCAAACTAAGAAGACAATCATTTAATGATTAATTTGTGTATTAAATATCTATTTTTACCCATCATTATCAATTGTTTTGAAACGATAACCAAAACTATATGAAAAGTGGTTAGCATCTTGGGGGCAAAGTTGAGAAATTAACCTTTAATTTGCCATGAAATTCCAAAATAAATGTCGTTATCACATTTCAATGCACTTTTTGTCTAGATTTTTTAAAATTACCCTCAAAAGAATTAATGCTATTGGTGGACATTTTTTTAATGGGATTGGTTAAGGATATTCAAGTAATTTTATTACTGCATTTAAGAATTTCTTAAATTATGTGCAAAGTGTAAGACGACACTTATTTTAGAATGGAGGGAGTACATTTTAAAATGTTTCTCCAAACCTAAAACGACCCATGATAGATATAGTTATGTTTTTTACTCATAAAGTGTGTTAATTCCTTATTTAAATAACTCTAATAAATACGCCCAATCAACTCATTTTTCTAAGCAGTCTTATTAGCAGCAGCTTAAAAAAAAGCTTCATATTACTCTTACCAATCAACTCATATTATTATTTATTTTTTTACAAATAAGCCCAATCAACTCATGCTACAAATAAGCCCAATCAAACATAAAAAAAAACTTTTACTTAAAAGGTATGGAAACTATGTATTTAATTTAATTACTATATAGGCTGTCTCACTTCAAATGATTTGTGTTTGAGATGGAACAATTCAAAATTAAGCACAACATTATTTAATGTAATAAAACTAATTTCCTATTTAAAATGTTGAATAAACTGATTACAAATTCAATTACTGTCCATAATATCTCAGAAAAGAATCTCGCCGTCAATAGAAAATCATATAATTCGCCATGAATATATCACATGAGATGTTGTCACCCAATAATTAATTGAGTTTTTCCTTATAATTATGCAATAGAGCCTTGGACTTCCCTGCAAATTAATAGACAAGTAGTTTTAATACTACCACAAGAGATCAGAAGATGGAAAAGTCCCTCATTGTTTTTGTAGCTGTTGTTGCCTGTGTTCTTGCTCTAGATAACTCATATTTCTTCTAATAACATGTCAAAGTATAATTCGATTTCCCATGAAAAAATTTGATCAAAAGAAAACTCATATTTCCTCGTTGTCAATTTGATTTATTTGCAGCCATTTTGTGGCCGGGTTTCATTATGCAGTGGATAAGAGTATTCCTATGGTGCATGGATTGAAGCTTTGCGTAATTGATTTAGCATCAGCGGGATGTCAAGATGCTACATGTGTTTCAACTTGTGCAGGTGCTGTTCCTGCTGGAAGTCTTGCAAGCGCTCAATGCGTTGATCATAAAAAAATGTCTTTGCTGGTATTATTGTGGTTAAAACTTAAAATTTAGGCTTTTGATATTGCAAAATCGGCACTATGATGATTTGTAACATTCTTATATTTTTTGTGACTTGATTTGTCAATATCTGCACTAGAAATGACAAAGCAGTTTGGCGAATCCTAAATCGAGAGCAATTATTTGCTTTTCTATTGAAAGTAGAAACATTAGTTTAAGTTCCTGACCGCTAACCAAATTCGTATTTCTTTCCTTTTTTCTTTTAATCAATAAACACTTGTTCTAGGATTCGTGCATGTAACTATGAGTAATTAAATTCCATCAGCCCCTCCTAAAAAAAAGTTGTATTTCTCGTATTATTGTAATTTAACTAATAGAATTTTAGCTTTGTGATGGATAAAGTATTTCATGGCTTGTCAATCTTTTGTTAAAAGTCATATCTTGAAGGAAATTTATAGGTCTTACACACACACACATATATATATATTATATATATAATTTCAAATGCAACAAGATTACTATTTTAAATAAAAAATATAAAAAAGGTTTTTTTTTAAAGTACAAAAAAAGAGGCTAAAACCCGACGTAAATTAAATTAAAAGTAATAATATGCTAGGCGAAAGCTCAACTTGAAACCGGGACGCGAATGACCTGTCCGCTTCTTGTCAGCTTTTTATTTTATCTTCTTAAAAAAAAAACTAGATACTTGTCCGGGATAAGAGCCCGGAAGCGCCTGTTTTATAAGCTTGTTACATAAAAAAAAGGGAAAAAAACATTCGACATATCATTATCATAGAAACTTTTATTATGATAATATATATAATAATAATATCGAATCGGAACACAATAGTAAGTACTATTAAATAAAATGTACATATACAATATTCATCAACAAAACTTATCCCGCAACCCATATTTGCAATTCTCTCCCATATATTCACCCGGCATGAAAAGCTGGGTCGGACCTCTATAAACAATTGGTTTACAGCTTGCATTATTGGTAGTAAGTCTGTCCGTCTTTCCTGTGATGATGAAAAGCATAATTAAAAAAATGATTAATGATCAATGAATAATGAAACAAACATTTAGTTGTTAATTATTTGACCTAATGTGTAATAACAACCGCAGCAACTCATAATGGAAACTACAATGCCCAAAACAAAATTGTATAATTGCTCCAGGCAAATGCCCGGGCGACTGTCTATATTTTAGATTTGTTAAATGAAAAAAATACTTTAAAAAAAAAAGAAAACAATGGACAACTTGAAATTGAACATAGAGAATGGAATTTGGAAGAACAAAACAATCTTTATATGGTTTCAGGATGAGCTTTTAGGAAATCGACTGATTATATGCTCAAAAAGCAATAAAAAAGGTAAAAATTACCCAAACAACGAAACCCTATCCATCTGTTATGTAAAATCATCATCGATTGTCTTATCACTTCGACAGCAAAATGCCAAAAAATGTATGCTATCAAAAACAATACTTAATGGTACTATAAACTTGATGCCAATTCTGGTAGCTAATAATTTTCCACAACCAAGCCCACCACCATCCAATATGTGCTAATCACAATTGGATCATAAACAGCTCCAGATTCCTTCTCATTAGAAACCGAAACCACAGGAAGGCTCAGAGCTTGACCGCATCTAAATTAAGAATCTCTAATATGCAGATATCGTTATAACCTACAGTCAAAAAGAGGATCTCAATAAAAGTTAGGGTGAACCAAATTATGGCTTTAAACCGAGGCCTCTTTGTTTTAATAAGGGCAATGAGTTCAGACCATAGCTTGTGGATTACTAATAGAATGCAAGTGTATGCAAAAAACATGTCAACTAAAGATAACAGAATCCTTTGACGAAATGGAGATAGAACAGTAAACTCTAGCCACTTTATAATTACAAAAACTATGGATGAATTCCGCAAACCTGAGATCAATGAGGTGGCCGAAAATTGAGTTGTGAAAGGAACTGATGATGAAGTCGTCGTTTAGGACCTTTCTCTTCTCCATGTGAATCTTGAAAAATTTAAAAGATATAAAATTCATTGGAAGCAGTAATTAAATTTATGAAAACTAACGGAGTTATGGATGATTCCATTAATTAAAGTTGTTATCAGTACTTGAATGTATGCGTATCCCGTTCGACATAAATTTGAACAACCAAAATTGATTCTGTACTAATCAAGCAGCATCCCTCCTAGGTTTACATATTCAGACTCAATGTGTATGGGATATGTCTTGCTAGAAGAGGTTAATTGAAGGATGGAAACTTTTCTCGGCTGGAAACCATCGTAAATCTGAGCTATTGGGCAGAGCGGGGCTAGTAGCCCAACATTCATACAAAACAAACAAACAAACACCAAACACAACAAAAAAACCCAAAAGCTCTCTCAGTTCCAGAATTATTTGACCAAGTATAACAAAAAAGAAAAGAGAACAGAAAACGATTAAAAAGAGAAACTAATCTACGGCCAGCCTGCAAACCAATCCAGGCTCATATTAGAAAACCTGATACAGCTTACCAAATTGATACCATGAATTTTGACGGAACTTTCCACACTATATCAAAGAGCTAAAAAA